TAGGTATTAAGTAATTTATAAAGCGAGCGAAAATAATATATATAACTCGGGCTTATATTTATTAAATATATCGTAGCCTTTACGTATTTAGGTCATAGCTTCTCTAGGAGTCCTATTCTTATCCTTATTTTAATCGATTTAACGATAATAAATTATCTAGCTCTCTTATCCTTATTAGTTAGCTCTTTAGTATTCGCCGGTAATAGCTCGAGATTAATACCTTCTTCTTAAGCCTAGATTTTATATCCGGTTAGGCCTTTAATCCTAATTATTATTCGTTCGTTATCGTATCGGAGCTTATAAATCGAGAGGCGGAATTATCGTCGTACTTATCTTTTAAAGAGTCGAATGGTTTTCGTAACTAAGTAACCTTATTTATTCTTAAGGGTTTTTACCTAAAGTATTCCGTTATATTTATCTTTAATAACGAGTATTTATTTAAAGCCGTCGTATTCTTCCGGAAAGTTAAATAAATCCTAATATATACGTTAAAAAAAGCGTAGCGAGCGATATAATAATAGTCGGCGTAAGATTACTCTCTTGTTTATCGTAAGCCTGTAATACTCGTACTTAAGCGTAGGTATACCGTTAATCTCGATATTCTAAGCATACTTTACGAGTACTTTAAGCGCCTCCGGGCCTAGGTACCTAGCTTTAAGGTACTAGAATTACTCGGAGCCTTTTTTCGGTTTTATTTAATCTCTTGATTTTCTCTATCGGGTTTCTTTTCCCTTAATCGTCGGAATAATAACGAGCGATACTACGTTATATAGTATTATTATAAGCATACGTAACGGTATTATAGGAAGAATTTACGAATAAACGGAAAACTACTTAAATTTAAAGAATATTAAGTTATAACGACGTTCGAGCTTTCTTATAATAAACCCGTTCTTAATCGACCCCCGGCGAAGAGAATAATTAAAACTATAGTATTAAATATTAATAATAAAAAGCTTTACTTCGGAAATAATATTAATATAAAAATCTTTAATAAGAATAACGTCTTTAAGCGTAAGGTCGATCGTAAGTTTACCCGACTTATTCTAAAGGTAGTTCTTAATAACGCGTATATTAGTACCGGTAATGGAAAAGCTCGTAATATTAGCTTCGATGGTTTACCCGTTTCTAGCGGGAGCGAAGGAACCTTCGACTAATAAATCCCGGTTATTAATAAGGTAAATAGCTCCGTAATTATCGAAAATAATACTTTCGGAAAAAAAGTATCGTACTAGATCTATAATAGAAAATATTCCTACGTTAGAGGTTATATAAATAATGCGTAAGTCGATTATCGTTACGTTAATATTACCGGACTACTTATTATTCTTATTACGCTTATTCCGAAGTAAGTTAGTTCCGAAGGAGCTACCTTAACTAAGAGTGGTAATTTTTTATTCGTCGCTCTTAATAAGGACTCGGAATAAGGTAAAGTCGCTTAAGTTATACCGTTATTTAATAACTAGTTTTACGTCGTCGGATATATATAAGATTTATCGTAGCGTTTTACCGGTAATAACGAATTAAAGGTTAGCGTATATCTCTAAAGCCTAACGGTATTATTTATTATATAGATACTTATTAGCTTTAGCGTTATCGGTCGAATTACTAAAGCTATTAAAGCTACTAGCGTTAATCGTTCCGGCTTTATATCTTAAAGTAGCTCTTTAATACGTAGTTAAGATATAAAGGCCCGATTTACCTATCTTCTTATCCTCGGAAATAAAAGCTCCGAGTATTTTACCTAGCTTTATAAGGAAAAGTAGCTATCGTTTAAGCCGGTCCGCCGTAATTAGTTTAATAGTTACGCGAATAACTTAATTTAAAGCGATCTTAACTTTAATAGCTTCGAAGAAGTCCTTTGCTTTAAGTACGCTTCGGATTTCGTTAATATCGTAAGCGAAAGCTCGGTAGTAAGCGTTATTTTAAGTAATAAAGAATTATTTTCCGTAAAAAGTACCCGCTTTTACCTTTTATAAGACCTCGCGGTACTCTTAACGAACGAGCGTTTACGTAGTAATAAAGATAAAAGCGAAGTAATCGCGGAGTAATCTTACGATATTTTAAACGTTCGGCTTAAGTCCTTAAACTTTAAATTATATACTAACGAATTCGAAATAATTAAAAAAAACCGAGGATATAATTTAATAGTAAAGAGCTCGGTAGTTTTTACCGGCGATAATAGCTTAAGATTCCTAAGAACGACTTTACTCGAGTAATTACTTATATTCTTCGATAAAAAGGTAGCGCGGGTTTTCGGTTAGAGCTTTCGGTTCCTTCTTACGAGTCTTAGGATCTTTCTCGACTTATTCGTAAAAAGCTTAAAGGTACTACTTCCTCGCTCGCTTCTTTTCTTAAGTAATGAATTTTTTAAGCGATAGAAGTATCGCCGAGCTTAACTTATAATCGTTTACATTAAAATTAACATCCTTCTAGATATCGAATTACTCGGCGTAGTTTTAAAAAGTAATAAACCATCGTAAATATTCGTCGAAGTTACGTAGGTTAATATTAATAGGTAGCTTTTTAATAGAGAAGTTTCCGCTAGTATCCGTTATTATTATAGATATATTACTCGAGAGGAAAACGAAAGCGATATTTAAAAGAAAAACGATTAATCGAAAGATTAAAGAAATAGAAATAAATAATAAGATTACTCGGAAGCTTATGTAATAAAACCTTAGTTAACTTAGCTCCTTAGAAGAACTACCGGGCTTATAATTAATACGTAGATTAAGAGAGCTACGTAGGTACTAAGGTTACTTCTTAGGAGTAACGAAAGGTAGGAAGAAGAAGGTAAAAATTAACTAACTATTTAAGAAGGAAGGAGATTAATAAAGGAGATACGAGCTACCTATATATAGACGATAGGGAGTTACGAGCTATGTTATATAAGCGAGCTAGGAGCTATGTTAGGTAAGCGAGTAACTCGAGAAGGAGTAGGGAGCCATATATAAGTGGCTCTCTATGTGACAGATTTATATACTGAAATAAAATTATAATATATTAATATATAAAGTATTAATAAATAATAAAATATAGTTAAATATGTTTATTAAATGCTATAGTAAGTTAAACATCTTTATATATATGTATTTAAGGTAGTGGAATATAATATAATTTAACATAGGCGTTACTTGCAGACCTGGAGCCTCTATTCCCCCGTGGGTAGCCGTGGATCGCCGTCCACTCTCACGTACATGCTACCGCACACGCATCATATCAGTAATCGGTTTATCCTCCCCTCCCTCACCCCTGGGCCCCTGGCCTGCGTGACGCAGACTTTCTGTTGGGATCATACCCTTTCGAAAAGAGGATGAGAAAGCGGACGAGGCCGGGGCCTTTCCGTTATTGCCCTTCACGGTAAAGACGCAGGAGAACTATTGGATTCCCGGATATGCACCGTCCCGGGAATCTGGCATGCCACGCAATATTCTCCGTCGTGCTGGGAATCACCTCTCTAGTACATTGACATCGACATCCCTCCAAGAACCCAGAGGCCGGTGCCGAGATGATCGCCCTGCGAATCGTGGCGGCCCATTGGCGTCTACCACTTACATACAACCCAACCCCCACACACAGGTGTGTCCTCAATCATTCTTGCTCTCCTATCCTCTTACCAAGCAACGGCCCTCCCCCTTGCTCGCTCACTCGCTCGCTCCCCCCCCCCCCCGCCTCCCCACCCTTCTCTTTCTGTCCCTTCGCCAGCTACGGTCTCGGCAAGATGGAACACTTATATGAGGGGAGTGGTATACGATTCCTTAGTTGATTTGCGTAAGAGAGAACGGCCGAGGTAATAATACGTAGAGGCTGGCGAAAGGCCCTTGCAGCCGGCGGTACGCCACATGTGTGTGGAGAGGGACGTGAGATATCCGGCAATGCCGTCAACAGGTTCGAACGGCGATGGCGGTCTGGCCTCTTCTTGGCCGCCCGATGATGAACATCTTCTCTTCCTTTCGGACGGCGGCGAGCGGCAAGGGTCTCGTTTCGCCTTCATCCCATCGTCATCCCTTGCTACGTATGCGAATGTGCTGATAAATGGGGCGGGCTGTCAATCGCCGTCACACACGATAGATCCACCAGCGTTGGGTCTCGGGTTGTTTCCCATCAGTCCCGTGCTGGCTTTTTACGTGCCATTTCCTCGCTACAGCCCCTTTAGCGACCTGCCGTCGCGTAATACCCGCGGTATCGTCAAGCCTTCACGACGGCTCCGGCCAGGTCGAACACGGCCTCTGGCGCATCCTTGGCAGAGGTAGGTACCTTAGGTACCTAGGGTCAGTATGTACCGCGTCAGGTACCCGCCTAAGTACCTGCCCGGTGTACCCGGCACCTATAAGGCGGGCCCCTGGGTAAGTGTATACCGATCCTGATCCTGACGCGAGAGGTACCTCCTAGCTTGCCTACACGCCTCCCTGCCCAGGTACCTTCCTACCTAGGTAGGTATTTACCTAAGTACCTAGGTAGGTAGGAGGTAGGTACCTCCTAGGCACCCCTCCTCCACCGATACGACGACGTATCGATCTAGTAGAGGCTGACAAGCCGACGGGTGTGCGTCGATGTACTAGTATCCTGACGGAGTACAAGGCGTCCAATGATGGAGACCATCCGAATATATCAGTATACTGCGTAATCTACGAGCTAGGGTCTTCCCGGACCCAAGACCCTCGGCAGAGGCCAATCAATCTGGCGGGACAGGGAGGGATCTGTTCGTCAACCAGCCAGCTGGGAACGCAGCACGAACAGGGCAACCCCCGGTCTTCTTGCCAGGGATGTCTCCTCCTTGGCCATTGCCGGGTCTCCCTCCCTCCCTCTGTCTCCCCCGTCCGTGTGTGTGAACTTGCGACAAGCTCCCCCGGGCTGAGCCCTCTCTTCCTTTAGGTAATAGGCGAACGAGCGCCCACACCCTCATCACGTATCCGTCGGAAAAGTGCTCATCACCAAGCATATCACCCAGCCCGTCACCCAGCGTCGGCAAGGTTCTGACGGGTCCGTGGGCGCTCGCCACAGGATGATACTATTATACATACATGCGTATATACGTAGGGGCCCCCCCCTCCCCCCAACCCCCCTGTCGCCATCTGATTCGAAAGGAACTTATCTCCGTCCGCAAGCCCGCCTCAGAGGGACGGCGTAGATTGCACCACCGAGCCGCCAGCGAGCTGCCAAGTAAATGACAAGTCACATTGTCGTCTCGCTGGTTCGCTGGCCCCGTAAGTATGTACATGCCTACTCAGAAAGAGGTAGCTAACACGGATGTATGTATGTATGTATGTATGTATGTATGTATGTATGTATGTATGTATGTATGTATGCATGTAGGTACCTATATATGAATGTGAAAATGTGTGTACATGCATACGTGCACGCCTACTGTGTATACATACATACGTAGGTACCTCAAACCTGTAGGGTACATGTAACTGTGCGTGCCGTCCCCTCTGGTTGGGTGCCGTTCAACATACAAAGCAGACCGCGGGAGTTAGAACGTGGATTGCGCGAGTTGCGACCAGACAATCAATCTCAAACCATTACGATCTTCACGTGCTCCCCTGCTCGTCGCCTGGTTACAGCGACCGGCTGCTCCTTTCCTGCTCCCGAGCCCGGGAGGATTCCGGGCTTCCTGCCTGGGCGCCGGGATCGTGGGCCGCCCGACCAGCACCAGCGCGCACGCGCGTCTCGACATAGCCGGATCTGGGGTATCCAAGGCCGCTGGGGATATCTAGCGATCGCTGGGCCAAAGGCCCACGTGGCTTGCATCGGACCAGTCCAACGGAATGAACGGGGTCAAAGCGGATCGCCAGATGAGTGTCTGGCAAACACGATTCCAATTTGTCCGACGAAAAAGTGCGTAGGAACGCCGCAAGCGGAATGACGAATGTCGCGAGCGCGCGGTTGGCTATGGGGGGAAGGGGGGGAAGGAGGCGGCGATATTACAGCCGAGCAGGGTAAGTGAGGAAGGACGGCGGAGGATCACGCATGTTCGTGAGCTGCCCCGAGCAGCGGGTAATGAGACGGATCGAATCTAGGCGCTTTTCACGATGCACGCCGTCGACTCAACTCCCGTCTGCTCCACCCGGCGCCCTATCTACCCAAGCGTACCCCGGGCATCTGAGCACGCCGCACACCCACACCCACGAGAAAGGGAAAGTTGGGAGCTGAATCTAGGATCATTTCTCTCGCCTCGGAGATAGCTAGCGATGGTGAGCCTTCTACTCCTCCCCGCCTCCCCCCCTCCCTCCCCACAACCACAGCGGCATCGATTCCGAGACGACCTTCGGCCATCCGCGATCCCGCTAACGGAGCCCTCGTGTGTAGTGCAGCATACTCAACTTCGACTTCGAACCAATGATGCCTCCCCATCTTGTGCCCCGATGGAAGAGAAACCAGGGGTCGGGGAGGAGGGGAAGGGGGGCAATACGTTTCCCGTTTCGACCATGGGACAGCGTGAGCTTGCAACTTTTTCTTCGGATCCCTCTAGCCCCCCGCTCCCCCCTCCCCCCTCCCCCCCCAAAAATTGGACAGTGGGATATGAAGAAAAGATGACAAAACATCGTCAAGCGGTAATACATACTGCAATGCATAAGGGAACTGTGCGAGCGCGATACCCAGGGACCATAATGACGGGTTTTTGTGCTGCTCAGTTCTGACGCCGGGATGCATTGGTTTAACAACCAAGGTATATGTATCTGTGTGAAATTGAAATACCGAGACTTATACATGCGCACAAAGTCCGTGTTGTCGACCTGGATGGCCTTTCAAGGATACCTAGCGCGAGCGACATCATCATCATAATAGTAAGACTCTACACCCCTCTGCCAAATTACTACATCAGATACGCACGGAGAGGCCCATACATACTGGATGAAGCAATACATTGTCGATACCGCGTAGGAGGTCGATAGTCTGAAGGGAGAGAAAGAGTAATTCATAATAGAGAGCGAGCGAGAACGAGCATCTGAGTCTGTGCGTGTGCGTGAGAGTGAGTGTGGGGGGAAGGGGGGGAGGGAAGACAGGGGCCCTCTCAACGTCGTAACCCGGTAAAAGTGTGTATGTAGACATGGAATAGCCTGCCAAAGACGGCGGCCGTACTGTGCAAGTATGTGCATGCAGATGTTAAGATGGTATATACATAGTATCTAGCCAAGAAGGCTAAGCGGAGCCTCCCACCCAGCTAATTTCCTCAGTAGATCTGGTGACCCTTGTCAAGTTGGAGCACTTACCTAGATCTCGAGGGGGGTGGATCCCACACAGTACAAAATCGCGTTCAGCTTCTCGAAGACAACAACCCCTTCAGATCTCATCGCCTCTTCTCTCGCCTTCCCCCCCCCCCCTCCTCCTCCTCCCCTCCTAGTCTCACAACTCAGCTGAAGGGAAGCTCCCGTATGCGGTAGAGCCACGTCCCGGCACGACTTACTTGCTGAGGGAGGGAGGGAGAGCCCGGGGATAGGAGAGAGAGCGCGTGCGAGAGAGAGGGTTGTGTTCGCCAGGTACGTCATTGCTATTGGTAAATGCCAGTATGCGCACTGACTGTACGCATTGTCGGTGGTATACATATGTGCGCATGCGCATGTAGGTGGAGGTATGGGTGTAGGTCAGGTATCGTCGCAGGTCGCTGGGCCGGCTACTTTAGCGAAGACGATGGAACCCCGAACGGCTGCTCCCGTCCCAAACTAAACACATACTACGTACACTGCGCGGTACGTCGTACGCAGACACGCACGCACACCTCTCCAGCACGTAGGTGCGCTGTGTAAGTGGTATACGCAGCATCGGTGCTGCGTAGCTTACACGTCGTATACCCATGTGGTAGACAACCTGCCTAGCAACCTACCAATCTATGAGGTAGGGGAGGGGGGGGAGGGCTATACATCCAGCAGTCGACAATTGAACAGTAAGTCGGGTCCAGGCTGGCCGTGGAATCGGTACGTGCTGTGCGACGGACCCTGGGACCAGCCAACAGGATATCCATATATCGCTACCAAGTCCCCCCTGCCCCTAATCGCGATATCACTTACGTACCGGCCTATTGCTGCCCCGTCGTGATTCATCAAGTCCGCCCGTTCGCTCGTGAGAGGTGCCCGTCTTGCGCGTGGCGCTTGCTTGTCAAGCCTCGCGTGCAGCCCCCTTGGCTCGATTTCTGCGATGCTGAAAAGGGAGATATATCCTTGTAACGGTGGCCCGATCGAGGCAGCCGCCTGACCGTGGCACGCTTCTCTCTCCGTCTCTCCCTCTCTATTTTTCTCTCCTTTTCTCTCCTCCTCTCTCCTCCTCTCTCCTCCTCTCTTTTTCTATCTGTCTATCTTTCTTTCCTCCTAACCTCTCCCGGTACGCGGGCGGCAGGTTTGTGGTGCGCCAGAGAGACCGGGGCCACCCACCACCTTGGGAACCGGCTACGGCGAGAGACTATTGTATCATAGCCCGGATGGGTAAATTTTTTTGTGCGGGCGGCCAGCTAGCTAGCGGCGTTCGACGCAGGCCAGATACTCACTGGCCGGCGTCGACCCAGGGGCCGAAGAGGTGTGCTGGTAACGGGATTCCCCCGATGGGCAGGGAAGTTCCAGCTGCAGGGGGAGACCCGGTCTCCGCTGCTTGGCCTCACTTTTCCCATCTCCCCTTTGGATTTCCATCGCTCTTCTCGATCTCGCCCTCTCGCGCTCGCCTTACCGCCCCCCTACGGTATACATGCCTCCCTTCGTCACAGTACCATTTAGACACCCCTCCCCTACGCCAAACCCCCCTTGTCACTCGCTGGCCACCGATACCACACTACCTGGGAGAGCCGGAGGCGGGACCGCCTACGACTCTCGCTCTCGCTCGCTCTCCCCCCTTCTCGCGTCCTCTGCCCCGTCCGCGCGAGTGCCTGTGTAGCTATATGTGTAGGTGTCTGTGTGTGTATGTGTATTGTATATGTGGGTGCTCGCCGATTGTTGAGGACAGATCTGGTCTGTTGCATGGGCGACGTGTCATCGTCGACCTCACGTCCCCCAGCCGGCCGAAGTGGATGCGGCAGCTGTCATCGTCGACCTCTCCCGCCTGCTGCCGCCGCCGCTGGCTGCTGCTCTGTCGCCATCTCCACCCGGCCTCGCCTTTCTCTCCACTGGTCAGGGCGCTGCCCATCATCGACGACACTGGAGCTTGGGTATTCGTCATGTTGGGCTGTAGACGTGCCGGCACGGGCCCCCTGCGTGGGATGGCCGAGGCATACGCAGGTGCTGCAGCCAGCTCGCCGCGTACTGCTTGATTCGACCAGTGCTAGAAACCCACCGGCGGCCTAGTCGAGACTATGTATGTATTGTGGAAAGGCTCGTCGAGCTGCGCGCCTCCCCTGTATATCGGCCTGCGTGTGCCTAGCGAACCTTGGGCTGGTACCTACCTCGACCTTGTGCAGTGACGAAGTACCTCGCTCGATCTCTCTACCTGGGTCTGCTTGTACACCGGCAGGTATACCAGGCCTACCTCGATGTACCTCTACCACCGACGCTGCTCACATCTGGCGGCTGCGAATACCTGCGCGCCTGCCTCCACGTGTACCCGTCTACTACCTCTTACCTCCTACGCATGTCGTGTGTACATGCAGAAACTACGGTCGATCCACCGCTGGCCCTCTCCTCCCTTCCCCCCTTCCAACCCCCCCCCCCCCCGCAGCCTCTTCTCTCACTCTCACTCCCTCTCTCTCTCTCGCTCGTAGGCCTGGTAGCAGCTACACAGGCAGGCAGGCAGGCAGGCAGGCAGACAGGTAGGCAGGTCCTCCTATCGCTCCTCCTCCTCCTCCTCCTCCTCCTCCTCCCCACTCCCTCTAACCCCCCCGTGCCTTCTCCCTTTCTCGCGCGCTCTCACCACTCCGCGGCCTCACTTACATAAACTATACATCACTAGTCACGGAGCTAGTCCCATCTCTCAGGGTTGGGAAAGAGGACCCAGAATGGTGGGCGGTGTCCTTGCCGCGAGGCAGCGAGGGCCATGTACCCAACCCGGCCCATCCCATATCTCTCTTGACCTTGACACCCCCTCCACTTTAGCAACTTACACACACAACCCGCGTTCAGCTTCTAAGTCTTAAGGGTCTGAGAGTCCTCCGTCTACGTATATCCCTCTTGGCGTCCCATGATTCCCGGGGCTTGTCCAACACGTTGGCTCCCCAGATCGAACCCTGGCGCGCATCACTCAATCTTGCGTCCTCCAGGTAGAGGTATATACTTCGTCAACACCCCCGTGCCCCGTCGACCGGGTCGACCCTGACTTCGCAATCTCACCTCTCATCCCCTCCGACTTTGTGTGGCCAGGTTGTGCTATATAGCAGGCCGTCTGTTCGCTCTCTCTCTCGTCTGTCTCTCCCTCTCTCTCTCCTCTCTCTATACATATATATCCCGGGTTGGCTTTTTGCTTTGCGTGTGTTTTCCTGCGTTTTTCAACTAGTTATGATAGACGCTCGCTGTTAGGCACGCATATATATATAGCCCAAGGCTGTAAGCAGCAGAGCCGTCAACGTGGCTTGCTCTTTTCGTCCCTACCTATTCTCGCAGGGCCAACGCCGGAGGACCATCGAGAGAGGTCTGCCAGAGAGGCACCGAAGACTTGGACGTCATCGACTTCTCCTAGCCCGACTGACTGGTTTTGCCTACGGGCAAGACTAGTCCTCCCCCGTCGCCAAACTGGCTCTAACAAGCGAGGCCCAGGAGACTCACGGCTGGCAGCGATGGGTTCACCAGCAGCCGAACCCGGACTACGTCGTGATGGACCCTCCTGCTATCCTGTCGTACGGCTCAAGCCCAACCAGCACTGCGCCCATCCAGCGACCGGCGATTCACCCCCAATACGTGTTAGAAACCCCCTACCACATGGCACACATGGCTGGTCCGCAAGCATCGAACTACCCTCCTAGCCACAACTTCCTCTTCCAGCAGTACCCGACGGCTTCTCCCCCGACGTCCCCCTTCAAGCACTACCCGGGGGAGTGCTCGGTTCCACGTCCGGCGGCACCTGGTCACGACGAGGTGCGTCCCGACTTTCGGAGCGGATCCGTCCGGGCGCGTCCGGGAGAGCAGGATGAGAAACCCGCGATCAAGTACGAGCCGCAAACAGTGGCGGGGCCGTTGCCTGCGCATATTCCGCAGCCCCCGTCAAAAACGATCACTCGGAATGTCGCCGAGGACGAAGCTAACGAGGTGTCCTTCTCCACCCACATCGACGCTCTGATGAAGGTGATCCAGCTGAAACACGAGCCGGAAAATGTTAATGACGCTACTCCCGCTGGTGTTACCAGTGTTACCGGTAGTGGTCGTCGCCGTGGCGATGATGGCGGGGGAGGAGGTGGTGGTGGTCTTAGGCGTGCTACCACCTACCCGTCTCATCCCACTGTCGATCAAGACAAGTTCAATCTGCGCAAAGCGTCGTGTAGCCCGGAAGAGACAGCTGTCCCGAGTGATGAGCATGGGCGGGTACGCCAAAAACGTTACGTGTGCGACATTAAGGGATGCGGGAAGAAATGCTCTCAAAAGACCCAGCTCGAGACTCACAAACGGGCCCATACAGGAGAGAAACCCTATGTAAGGCAGCGTTCAGCTATCATCACCCTTATTGCAAGTATGGTTTTATTGACCCTTCCAAGGTGTGCCCCGAACCCAGGTGCGGTCTGAAGTTCTCACAGAGAGGCAACATGATGGTACGCGTTTCCCAGCGGCAACACTGTATTAGTAAAAGCGAAGATGTCTAACAACCGGAACAACAGTCGCACACCCGCATCCACACGGGGGAGAAGCCTTTCATGTGTGATATCTGCGGGAAGTGCTTTGCTCAGCGTGGCAACCTAAAGCCGCACCGGCTCATACACAGCAAGCTCAAGCCCTTCCGCTGCATATTTGACGGGTGCGGCAAGATGTTCGGGCAACGGGGCAACCTAAAAGTGCGTTGGGACCAGAAGCATATCCTTTCTTCCCGCCTCTAGCAAAAAGTCAATTTGCTAACACTCGACGTGTAGAATCACCACAACAAGTTCCACGCCGACAAGATACAGGATCTGACGCACAGGTTCAGCAACCTACCGCCCGGTGTTGAGCTTGAGGAACATGACCACAAGTTGTTCCTGCATTTTGCCGAACTCTACAAGAACAGCAACAAGGGCATCAAAGGCCGAGGAAGGGATCGCAAAATCGCTCCGAAAACCAAGAGCCTGCGTGAGCCGAACATGCCCCGTCATTATCCCGTTCAGGCTCTCCCGCCGGCTCACCAACCGCCGCAACGGCTCCCTGGACAGCCAGTCCTTCCGTACCCGGATAGTTTTGGCGGTCACGGCGTGTCTCGAAACGGCCCTCAAAACAACATGGCGGCGAGCCGAGACCAACACTCCGCCACTTATGGGCTGTATGAGATGGATCAGGCCAGCGTCGTTTCCACCGAGAATACCGTCACCGCCTCCACCAGTCCGGGCACTGTCTACGAGGAGGAACACGGTCGTCCCTACGGATATCCTCGCGTCTATTAGAATCCTGCCCTTGTCAGCCCCTCATCGCGGCGATGCCGTAGGTGGGGTCAGCTACGCTTGAGCGACTCACCAGCGATGACTAGTAGGACGGCCGAATTCGAGGGAAACAAGGAGAGAGAGTCTGCGCATTCGCACTGGTGGACATACGAAGAGAGAAGGCCGTGGATCAACCATGATTACTCCACGCGAACAAACTAGGCAGGTCGAGCGATAGGATAAACACACAGTAGATATCACGGGGCGGTACCAGTCGAATTCCAAGATACCAAACGTCGCTAACATAAAGATTTACGGAGAGGCTTTCTGTCTCGAATTCCGAATCCGCGGTTTTCTTCTTTTCATATTTCCGTCACTTGTCCACCACCATAGGTGGACAAATGAAGGTTGGCCGGGGAGGGAGGGATAGAACAGAAAAAAAGACAACAACAAACCCCCCAAAAATAATGGTGAGAAGCAACAAGAGAAAAAAAGATAATAGAAAAAAAATGGCGACAAGCTTGTGGACGAGCAACCGAACCATTCACTCAGACACCTATACACAAGTCCAACACATGCGCACACGAATACCCACCCAATCCCCTTTTGGGGGGGATCCTCAATTTCAGTTATGACTTTGTCTATCTCATATTTGGGACGGCACTAGGAGGGACGTGGTAGCAGCTTATTCTCCTTCTCGCCGTCCCTTAGCGACTGTAGGATGGCCTATTCGCAAGCCTCGCAGATTTTGCCGGGGGCGCGTTTCTCCTGGATCTCGGTACGATGTATCTACATCTACGACGTAAATCCCGGAACCACTAGTGGTGGGTCGGGCACTGCGAAGAGAGAGGGTAGTCAGAAAGGAAAGAGGGCGATGCCGGGACGGGGCAGAGAGGCTCTAGTAGTGGGGGAAGGGAAAGGGATTGGATGCATAATTTTGGTGGACGGCACGCATCGAAGGTGGAGGGCGGCTCTGCTTGTGTTTTCTCTCTTTTTTTTTCTCCCCCTTTCTTGGTACCAATCAGGCGGTGGGCCAGTTACAAAGAATGACGACGGCGCAGATGGGAAAAGAGGCAACAAAATACCTGGGTCAGGGGATCATCACGGATACTGCCACACGGAGGAGATACCAGAATTTTGCATCAAAAAGGTTACTAGACCTTCATCGGGGGTGCGAACCAACGGAGTTTAAGTGGTAGTTTTAGTTCCGCTTTCATCGGATACAATTGCTTTGTCCCTCGTTCGATTTCTTTTCATGTTCATTTTCACTTCTCTTTTCTCTCCCTGTCTCTCTCTCTCTCTACTTACATGTATACTAAACTCGCTAGCTTATACATTAATAGGACCTACGGGGACACAGCTCGCTAATCTATGCGTACATGCGGTAGAGAAAAGGAGAGAGAAAGGGGATACCTAGATCTATATAGCCTCAAGATATTGGCAATCCGTTACGTTACTTCACGCCTACAGAGAGAAGAAATTCTCGTAATATGACGCTTTCGCTGCTATTTTTCTATTTATGTGTGTATGGCAAGGTATGATGAGGAGCGTGTCAACAACCGGCCGCGTCCCGCTCCACTGGAGGAAACCCACGCCGCTGCGCGCACATCTGACAAGACAATTTGCATCTTGAAATACCGGAAACGGATTCCGGCAGCTAGGGATACTCTGCCATCGAGCAAGCCTGGCAAGGCGTGTGTGTGTGGGCCGGGGAGTGGGGGAGGGTTGGGATGCAATATTTGGTGTCGTGTCTCGACCCGTCTATTTAGGGCCTGCCACCGCACACCACGGCCGCTGAAGGCCGAACCGTTGAGTCCGTTCGCGATCACCTCCTGCTGGCCGATGGCCGAAGCGATCTGCGAGGGCGGGAAGGGGGAGGGGCCGATGACGATTCGCGAAGAATTGAGAGGGGGGGCAAATGCCTCATAGGCTCGAGGAGGAGGAGCGTCTATTCGCAAGCAGCAGGCCATAACGCTGCGACTAAGCTAGAATACGCTCTGCGGAACTGGGTCTCGTCCGGTCCCGGCGGTCAAATCATCGGGCTTCGTGAAATTGCAAGGCGTTTACGACGAGGGCATTTGCATCCCGCGTCTCGTGATAGCCTTGTCCCATCGTCCGTCCAGGTCTAGCCCCTTGCTCGTTGGTGCTGCAAATGGCCCGTTTAGGCCGCGCCTGTGCAGGTGGGCGGATGAGACGGCGATCTTCGAGAGTGATCTTGACCGGGTCCGATTTCACAAAGCCCTGCCCTACCCTTCTCACCGCCAACCTGGTTACTTTGCCAGCCCGGCTCGCTGAATTTACCCTCGTGCGGTGAGAACGAAACGCAACGGAGATCAATCTAGCGTGCATGGGTGCTCTGCCGCACCTGAGAGATGCGGGAGGGGGGAGAGAGCAGACATATGTACCGAAAAAGCGGGTGATCAACGCGAGGAGCTCCATACAGGTGCCAGGAGCGTGAATCCTAGACGAGGAAAAAAAAAACGATTGATCTAGATTGGAACGACCCGAGGCCGCAGCTCCGAGATATTACTACTGCGTAGTAGTAGATGGCAGACACCGATCGTGAGTGGTACTGGGGCAGCACCGTCGACCGAGTTAGCCGCATGCTCACCTGTCATCGCAGGCGGGATACCACCCGGTTGGAAGTGATTGACGGTGTCTCAAATGCATGGGGCGGGGTAGAAACCGAGATGGTCGTTGGGAAACTAATCATGGACGTCGAGGATCGCTCATGGTTGCCTACTTTTCTCTCCCGGAATTCTCAACGTCGGCCGGAGGCCTTTTTCTGCCGCGGTCTCTTGTCGCTGTCGCTGTCTCGCCCCTCCCGCCTGCCGTCTGCCGGATTGATGTAGCCACGACGGGCGCAGCGGTCGCTTTCAGCTCGTAAATGGCGGTGTGGGCACCTCTCTCGCCCTCTCCTGCTCGCAAAGAACAACTCACTCACCCCCCGTGGAGGGTAGAGACAAATAGGATGTTGTCTCCTGCTTGGAGCTCATACGCCTCTTCGCCCTCGAGCTCCCAGTCGGCGTCGTTGACCAGGACCAGGATTCCAGGCCGTCTGAGTCAAGTAATTAGCCTGCTTTACGGCGCGTTTCGACGAAGGGGGGCGGCAATGCATATGTGGTACATATGTAGTACGTGGAACTCTCTGGGCAGTGCAGCAGGGATAGCTAAAAGGGGGAGGCCCTCGATATCACTGGGCGGGGCGAGGCTTGGGTGGTGGGAAGACCTACAGGCGATCATCGAGCACAAACAGCTCCTTTCCGGCATCCTTCATCGCATTATCACACAGATACTCGATCAAGTTAGCGATAGTTGCCGGCTTTCCTTCCTTATTTGTAGCGGGTAGGGCCACTGAGTGGCGTCGTTGATCCGAGAATAACATTTCGAGGCCGCCTCTGGAAGACGCTGTTAGGAATAGATGGCTAGACGAGAGAAAGAGAGCGGTCCTTTGCTCTCCTTCTTTCTCTCCCCCCCCCCCCCCGCTCCGGTAGAGGGCATTCCCATACAAGCCGAGCATTGGGGGGGGGGGGGGGGGAGCAAGGCGAGGACGGGTTGAGAGGGCTGCACCTACGTGAACTCGACCACAATCGGCAGCTTGGGGACTCCGGCTTCCTCGATCGACGGCATGACGGGTGTGATTTGAGGCCGACCGATGTGAGAGGAACGTGCCTAGCTTGGCAGGCCTTGCCGTAACGACGCCGGAATCACACAAGGGGGCGAGGGACGATAATTACCTACTCGGCGGCGCCGTGCCGTGGCGAGACGAGTGCCCGACCGGCTGGATGTTGGTTGAGCTGGGAGGGATAAGGGATGGTGAAGAGGTGAAGAGGCAGCGAATCGACAGAACGTTAGAGGTACGCACTATTAAATTACCTTGAGGTACCTACGTCACGTCACGTACACATGTACTCGGGCACATTCTAAGGTTAGGAGGAGGTACCTACCAAGGATGTCGCAGACCAGCCCAACTAGTCCCCTGTACCTACCTACGTATGAACCACCCCCAGGTACACACTAGGTACAGTATCTTGCTCCAAATAGGTAGGTACCTAGGTACCTCCTAGCAACGGTACCTCTACTAACAGGTACCTACGGCAAGCTCCTAAGGTACCTAGGTACGTTCCCTCGTTCGTCCCCAGTCCGGTCCCTCTCGGCCCGAACTCTGCGGGCCTTCTTCTTCTATTATCGATCGCAGAGCCGTTGTGGTTATAGGTAGATGGGACGGCGTCAAGGTGCCGCCCTCTCCGTTCGCGTCGTCGCCCCGTCTTGGAAATGTGACGCCGTCCTCCCCCGAACTTCCTCTGGCATGACGCAGAAACATGCGGGCCTATCCCCCGTCGCCGTCGAGACCGTTGCGGGGCTCTCCGCCGGCTCCGTAGCCACGCTCGTCGTCCACCCCCTCGACATCGTCAAGACGCGGATGCACAGTACGTCCACCCCTCCCCTCCCCTTTCACCATCTTGCCGCGGCGCACGCGCGAGTAGAGCGTATTAATTTTTCGTACTCTATCTCAATCCGTTTCCAGCCCCCCTCCTTTTTTTTCCCCCTTCTTCTTCCCCGGGGTCCGGAGAGAGAAAGAGAGAGAAAAGCTGACCAGCCCGCCAGTCCACCAGACCAACGCAGCCAACCTCCATCGGCAGCCCCCGACCACGGTCTCGCTGATCCGCGCCCTGGCGCAGACACCGCGACCGGTAGCGTCCCTGTACCGCGGCCTGACCCCCAGCATCCTCGGCAACGCGTCCAGCTGGGCCTCCTTTTTCTTCTTCAAGGCCAGCGCTGAGCGCGCTATCCTCGGCTTCAAGGCCGCCGCCTCCTCCTCCCGCGACGCGCCCGCGACAGCGCCGTCGCTCGGGCCGCGGGACTATTTCGTCGCTTCCGGCGTCGCCGGCCTCGTCACCCAGGCCCTCACCAACCCCATCTGGGTCATGAAGACGCGCATGCTGTCGTCTGACCAGGGCGCCGCCGGCGCGTACCCCAGCATGTGGGCCGGCGCCGCCCACCTGCTGCGGCACGAGGGCTGGCGTGGCTTCTACCGCGGCCTCGGCATCAGCCTCCTCGGCGTCTCCCACGGCGCCGTGCAGTTTGCTGTCTACGACCCCCTCAAGAGCTTCTACCTCTCGCGTTCGGCCACTCGCGTCGCCGGCAGCGGCGACAGGCCGGGGCAATTGGCTCGAGGACGAGAAGCATCGTCGGCGCGCCGCCAGCAGAGGTTGAGCAACGAGGCGACTCTCGTCATCTCGAGCGTCTCTAAACTCGTCGCCGGCGCTGTCACGTATCCCTACCAGGTCATCCGCAGCCGACTCCAGAATTACGATGCTGACGCGCGGTTTGGCCGAGGCATCCGCGGCGTAGCGAGGAGGATATTACAGGAAGAGGGCTGGCGCGGCTTCTACCGCGGGATAATCCCCGGTGTCTTAAGAGTGTTGCCGGCAACATGGGTCACGTTCCTGGTATACGAAAACATGAGATTTCACCTCCCTCAATGGACAAGCTAGCGCTTGACATCCTACGCAAAGATGATAACATCCCCCGGCTGGCACGATACGTGATGCGAAATACCCTACCTCTCCGCCTTTGACGTCGTTCCGGTTGGGCCTTTCCTGCTTTCCTTGCTAGAATAGAAAAGGAATTATGACAATAGACCACGAGGGAGCTCAAAAGTTGAGTCCCAGGCTGCAGTCGATGCTCAGAAGGATTAGTATGTGTGTGCAGGAACAGCTAACTACTCCGGCCTCGGCAAAGCTTTTGATGACCCCTCGAGTGTTGTAGTCCACCTTTCCTTTTTTCCCGGCTACCCTCCTTAACGCCGGCAAGATCGTATCTAGTCGCGCCTACGAAGTAGCCCAGTTTTCGAAAAGGAATCCCTCCTCGATAACGGACCTTCGTCTGAACACCCTGAGCCACTTCTCGCCCCAGCGCTTCACGAGATCCCGCTCGCTCTCACTCGTTGCAATGTCGTCCGTCATCGAATCCTCGGCATACCGTACCCAGGTGGTTAAAGCATCCTCTATGCTCTTGAAGAGCCCGCGCATGGCGGCCACCTCCTGTTCGGTACCGTCGGCGGTGCCACCGCTAACAACCTGCCTAAGACGGCCGGTCACCTTGACGACCGTGTTCAAAACTAGCTCGAACACCCAGGCCTTGCTTAGCGCCCGACCGTTCGGGCCCGCACGGTCGCCGACCAAGGCCCAGTCGATTACGGCCCCGGGCGTGATGATAGAGTAATTGAGAAGCTTCTCGATGATGCTGATAGCGACCCCTGGATGAGCGGACCAGTAGGCCGTTACGGCGGTGATGATCTGCGCTCTTGCGGCTTCCGACGCCGCCCCGGCATCGAGCAGCCTGTCCTTAGTACGCTCGATGCAGGCTAGGACGTGAGAGAGTGACTTGGACCCTACCCAGCAGACGGCTGTCATGAAGACGTCGGTGCTGGAGGTGAGCGGGTGAAGGAGCTCGTTTAGAGCCGCGGAATGAATACGATCGATGACGGGTTGTATTTCCTCTTCCGGGGCCTTGCGCTTGAGCAGAGCGGCAATCTCTCTGCCTTCGGCGGCAAACGGCACGTCTGGGCTCGCGTTTAGCTGCGTGTAAGTGCTGCTAGTGCTGGGGAGGGCTTTCAACTTACTGTCGTCGTCGTACTTGAAATCGGGCGTGTCCTGTTCTTTCTCGGGGCCAATGAGCGCTTGGTAAGGCTCGGGGAGCGTTCCTTTGATGCGCTGGGCAAAACTGAGCCGGATCTCCTTGTCTAGGGCGCCGAGGATGAACGCTGCGCGCGGATCTAGTTCGCTGAGGCGGACGTCGTCTGCCCACTCGGTCCATTTCCACATGAATCCAAAGTTGCTGAGGTGGTGGGTGAACCAGTCCAGGAAACGATGGTAAAGCTCTAGGTCTAGACGGTGGACATTCTGGTACGAATGCCGAATAGCGCGGCCGAGGCTAGGGGCGACGGCAGCCGGCGCAAGCTTGCATGCTTCCGTGAGCACGGAATGGTAATAAACAAGCTTGTGCTCCGGCGTTGGCAGCGAGAATATCAGGGAGAAGACGGCGTCAACCGCGACATCCTCCGGCTTCCATGTTGAGCGGTCGCCTTCTACGTCTCTGAGCCGGTCGAACGGCGTCGCACGCTTAACGAAGGTGCCGGGGGCGAAGTAGCAATCCAGGTCTATGAGGAAACGGGCCGTAGCGACACGATTGAAGTCCAGGATGTTGATGGTGTCGAGAAGGCAGTCTCGGATCAAGGATGACGCGACATTGCTCACCGGGGGAACGGACTCGATGTCCTGGTTGATGTAGACCGAGAGGTAAACCTCGGGGAACAGGGGACGGGGTCCAGCAACAACCTTCTGCGGAATGGATATGCTAGGCAGGGCGTGCTTTTGCGCGTTGTCTAGTTTTTCTTGCTGCTCCACCTCCTCCAACGGCATCTGCCACGGCCTCGGAAGACAGGAAAGCTCCCAGCCGTTCGCGGCCTCACCTTGGAGCTGCTTCTGAAGGAGGCCGATCACACTCATGCTTGCCGTTGGGCTGTCCACCCCTTCCTCGACGTCATACGGATCAATTAGGACCTGGAGCGCGTGGGGTTCGGAAGCGATGACATCTGTCTTATCCATGAGTTCCGCCGCCTTGTGGTGCCATTGGGGAGGCACGGTAGCTGCCATGATGTACGGTATCGTGAGGAGGATGATTTTGACGAGTTCGGTGCCAATTGTCTACGGCTAGGGTTACTCGGCATATTTCCAAGGGGAATTAGCCACGGGGGGGAAGATGGAACTTACGTCGTCCGAACTGGCAGTCTGCAGGTCGACAGCTCGGGAAAAGAGCCCCTCGAGAACGGGGAACAAACCATCGCCCTCCAAGCAGCTTTGCAAACACGCGAGAAACTTTAAGTATAGCTTCACGTCTCGCCACTCGCCCACCTTCACCTTCTCTTCGGTCGCGGTCGCGACTCGAGCTAGAAGGTCGTCAAGAACGTCTGGTTTCAGCGAGTTGAGGACAAGCACCACAGCGGCCACGAACGGGGTCTTGAGCGGTTGCTCGATGACTATCTGCGGCACGAGCTCCAGGAAGCTCGTTCGAAGGTCTTGGTCGTCGTAGTGGTCGGCAACGATATGGGCGACAGATTGAACTTCTTCATGCCAATGACGCAGAGGGGATTCGGCCAGGCCTAAGAGTTGCTTGCGGATGCGGACGGGGAGCGGCGCATCGTAACGTCGGCGCTGGGGTCGGCGGTCAAATTCGTCATCGTCTGAAGGTACACATCAACAGACGCTCATCAGGACCACGACAGCCGGCCAGGCTGGCCGCGGCAGCACTTGTCTGAGCCACCAATGGAACCGGAGTGAGGTAGAAGAAGAGATGGATGGTTACATACCTCTGTGTCGTCTCTTGCGGTTGTTGTAACCACCGCCAGATTGTCTGCGGTCATAGTCCGCCATGATGAGCAACGCGGTGAGATTGTAGGGTTCGCCGAGGCTCGCAGACGCAGGAGATGATGTCGAGTTAATACGGGTGCGTCGTCGATGTTATCGTTGCTGCTGCGAGAATGGCGGCGAGTGGTGAGAAAATGTACGTGAGAAAGCGAGACAGCGCGCGCGAGAAGGAGAGAGAGAGAGAGAGAGAGAGAGAAGACAGACCCGAGGATCCACATTAGGTACACCAACAACCCCGTAGGTACATGTGGAGGGAACGCGCTTGCGTTCCGAAATCGTGGCCGCTCCCTTGTCGATATTATTATAGTAGGTGCCTCTACGCTCTGGTTCGTGTAGAGGTACATCTGTGCACGTATCTGCTCTATTACCTTAGGCACCCAAGTCAGGTACATACCGACCTTCCTAGGTTAGGTACCTGAGGTACCTCCTCCTGACCTTAGGTACCTGCTACTGAAACTTGCCTATCTAATCTTATCGATAACTCTGGCACCCACCTCCCTCCTTCCGCCCCCAGTAAACCTCAGAATAAGACAGCGAGTTGCGCGAAGCTGAATTCCGATGAACTCCCTACCTGATACCCACCGGCCCAAGGCAGGTATTATACATCTACGTCACAACAACTAGAAGACACTAGGTAATCAGCCAACATGCAAGCAACACAGCAGCAGGGCAATAGGAAGCCCCCATAATCAAGAAGGCGAGGAGCGAGGAGCGAGGGGGGATGATTTTTTTTTTCCGTTTTTTTTTATGAATAAAAAGAATTTGGGTCCAGCGCAACCATCCGTGCTACCAGGCCAGAGCAACGGCAGCAGGATACAGCGCCGCCATCGCCAGTGTCTGTTTGTTTGTTACGCGCGTCTAATTCACTAGGGACCATGTACGTTCGTCTCTCTCTTGGGCCAAGTCGTCGTCTCCGCTGCTGTATGCCGCGATTGCGGTAAGTTTTCTTTTCCCTCGTGGCTGTGCAGAAATTCCCCCTCCTCCCTTTTAGTGAATCATCCATCTTCCACCCAGACGCACAGCGCGGTACATCTATCGGGGAAGGGGTTAAAAAAAAAGAAATCTTTTAAAAGTCATGCCGAGATTCCCTAATTTGTCCAGTCCTCGATGCCAATGCTGTTGGGTCCGAGGAGCCTGCCAGTTTCAGCATCATATTCCATCCCAGTACTACTCCGCACGTCCACACCTCGCAGAATAACACATACGCCATTGTGCCCTCCCCCTCCCGTCCTCCGGCTTCTCTCTCTCTCCCCCCCCCCCTCCCTTTCTCCTAAACATCTCGAAAGACCACGCGAGGGGGATCCAGCCTCCTTGTGCCCGCCCAACCACAAGGATGAAACGAGTAAGTGAACAAGATAGATAAAAAGCAAACGCCGTCTCGGTCGTGCAAAATTCTAAGGACGCCCGTGGGGTGCCGTCTTCCGGTCAGCACGATTGGGCATTGAAGCAGTTGCCGCACTGCTGCTACGATACGAGAGGCCGAGACTAGCTAGACGAGCGACCAGTTTTCGAGTGCCCCGTCCCCTTCAGCAACGCAACCTGGAAATTTTCACAGCATGGCCGATGTCTTTTTGAGAAGTCCCGGTCCGGAAACTTTGTGTTGTGTTTTCCTCGAATTTTATCACGGTTCGAGCTGAAAAAGTACACCGAGGGCGCGTTGGGAATTTGCTACTTCCGATCTGGTCCACGTGCATGTTCTCTTCAAATGCCAATCTGATGAGTTGGTGCCTTTTACGGGCACAGCCGGTGCGTGCTTGCCGCAGCGGAAACTCCGGGCGGCGGCGGCCTTGCAAACCTACGCGGAACGAGAGCGCAGATAGAGGCCGGCGGAGGCTCAGTCTAGCTTCGCCATCATTTCTTGCTTGCTCATCGGCGTGAGGTTGTCTATATCGAGTCCACGGGATGCTAGGGTGGCTTTGACATGAGGAGGAACAAGCTTGTGGTTCATCTGCGGTGCGATGGATAATTCTGCGAGCGAGACGACAACGATCAGCAAGGCCTACCACGAGAGGGGAGGGGGGGGGGGGGGTAGTGGAGAGAGAGAGAGAGAGAGAGAGAGAGGCGATACGACATACCGTGCCTTGAAAAGTCGAACAGGTTTGGTAAATCCCTCAATTGTCCGCTCGAGTGTCGTGAATCCGGAAGCTTCGTGCTAGGATCTCGGAGCTCGTCGAAGAAAGGGTGTACCATCGCGTCGATGGCTCCGAGGCGTTCCGTCGGCGTGTACTCGAGCAGTCTCGCTATCAGGTCCAGGGCGTTCGCATCCGCCCTACGGAATACTTTGCTAAACGGGTGAGGCTTGATTTGCGGGAATTTGTGCTCCATATAGTTTGGGTTCATGGTGCGAATTTGTTCGCGCGTCGGAGTTCCCAGCACCTTGATAATCTCTACCAATTGATCGATGCCGGATTCTCCGGGGAAGAGGGGTTGGCCCAGCATTAATTCCGCCATTACGCAGCCGGTTGACCAGACATCTGCGAATCGTATGAGCTGCTGGCTTTTCCGAAACCCAGCGACGGAACGGAACGACTTACCGATCTTAGTGGTGTAGTTAGTAGCTCCAAAGATGAGTTCCGGCGCCCGGTAGTATCTAGAGCAAATGTACGAAACATTGGGCTCGTTCTCGACCAAGATTTTAGCGCTCCCGAAATCGCACAGCTTGAGCACTCCCGTGTTCGGGTCCAGCAGGAGATTCTGGGGCTTGATGTCACGGTGGCAGATTCCTTGAGAATGGATGTATGCTAGGGCTCGGAAAAGTTGGTAGATGTAAAGCTTCACCTCCAGGATCGGCATAGTCGATTTCATCTTATTGAAGAAACGTGAGGCTCGATAGACGGTCTCGGGTACGAACTCTTGAACTAGGTTCAGGTAAACCTCGTCCTTCTATTCATGCGATCAAGTTAATTACGCCGCAGTCGCCCGGTCGAATTGACAAATGGACTTACTCGCTCCCCGTTGGAGTAATAGAATGCCTTCAGTTGTACTATGTTGGGATGTCTAACGATACGCATGATCTGAAGCTCACGATTCTGTACCGGATCGTTAGCGGACAAACGGGAATCTAGTGATCCGAGGCGGGGGTGTGGGCTCGGGCTCACCTTGAACCTCTTATCTTGAAGCACACGTTTGATGGCGGCATCCTCGCCTGACGGCGAAAGCTTCGTCTGGAAGACGACCCCAAAGGACCCATTGCCGACAATCTTGCATTGCGTATACTGGAGGTCTCTCGTCTCGCCGGTAATTCCATCCTGCACCTTCTCACGGATGACCTCTGTATCCCGCATCAGCGCCGCTCTCGATACACACCCCCACCAAACGGTGGCGAGCTGCCCGTAAACTTACCTCCCATGCGGAGGGTGTTGAAGGCCGCTGTTGGGCGGTTTTGCGCCATGGTCGCGGGCGGCTCAGTGCTGGTCGCAAGAGAGGAGAAACCGAGAGGGTCTCTTTCGGCGTCAGCAGGCAGGAACGGGGGACTCTGGAGGCGCTGTTCGAAACGCCGTGTTGGGCGAGAACTGGATGGGACAATTGGGTCGAGCAGCGTTTCGAGAGCAATTGACCGGCGGCGGGATGGTGGGCCAATGGCTTTTGCTTGTGCCGCGGACGAGGCGAAGAGAGGCTAGATCCAAGTACCGGTCGGTCCTCAAACGCAGACGAGCTAAGGTTGCGGCGGGAATGCGGATTGGTGCGGTATTGGGTAATCACCGCGGCGTGGGAGAGGGGAAGTTCCTAAAAGCATACGACGATTTAGGACGTATTGATGGCAGATTTCTCAAGAGTGGAAGAAGGGGTCTGGCATCGCAAGAAGGCGGAGGTCATGGAGGTTATGTGTGAGTGTACGTAGGTAGGGGATTTCTGGCGGGGTTCCTCAGTGGTCGAAAGGCGGAACGTGACTAGAAAGAAACTTTTAGGTGTCCACTGCGGTTGAGCTACCTTGGGGATGCCTACACGGGAAATCAGAGCATAGGAACGGGACGACGGGGTTGTGTGAGGGCAGGTTAGGTTAGGTAAGGCAAGGTATGGCAAGGCAAGGCAAGGTAAGGTAAAAAGTCAGGTAAGGCAAGGCAAGAGACAGTGCGGCGAGTGCACAGGTTAGAGGGGGGGGGGGGGGGGGGGGAAGGTGGAAGGGGAGGAGGCCGATACGCGAGTAGAAACGGCCCCGGGTACATTGGACAAGCGGGGAGACAGCGTGCTATTGTCATCGCGTCCCCGCTGTCGCCGCCGTTGCTGCTGCTGCTGCTGCTGCTGCTGCTGCTTCTTCTTCTTCTTCTTCTTCTTCTCTTCACATCTCCCCTCGTCTCCTTCTGCGGTCAAGCTAGCTAGCGAGGCTTTAGGTGTGGACAGGCTAGGGAGGCAGGCAGGCAGGCAGGCAAGGCAAGGCAAGGCAAGGAAGTAGACATTGATCTCGAACGGCGAACATGGGTGGGAGCAGGGCGGGCGGGGGCGAGAGGGCGAGAGCGAGAGGCGGGAGGGTACGACTGTCGTAGACCGGCAACAATGTGGAAAGCAGGTGGACTCACCTTGTGGGATGATGGACCTGCAGAGACTCGGTGACCTATCGACTATCCGATGTATAGATCTGGGCTCTGAACGATGGCTGCGGTACTCTGGTGGTAAGCCGGTCTCGTCTATCAGGGACGCGGAACGCACGCATGGGCGATGATATCGGATTGATAGAGGGGGGAGAGGGGGAGGGGGGGCGCTGGCCGTCGGAAACAGCAGTGGGATTGTGCGTGTGCGTGTATGAGCAAAGTCAAGGGAGCGAGCGAGTGAGAGAGAGCGAGTCTGTGCAGAGTAGGCGTGGGTGCGTTGCGTCCGGGCGTGCGTATATGGTGAGTGCGTGTGTGTGTGTGTGTGTGTGTGTGTGTGTTGTGTGTGGCGTGTGTGTATGCGTGTGTGTGCATGCATATAGGTCGGTAGGCCGTGTAGGTATATGCTATATGCGTAGGCCTACGCAGGCGTAGATGTATATGTGTAGTGCGTGTGGTGCCGCCGTCTGGGCCAGAGGAGAGAATACTTACACAGGACGGACGTTTGGAAAAGGGAGGAAATACGTAGAGAGGTATGTAGGTCCGTCGGAGGGCGAGGTGGGAGGTAGGCACATAACCGGTGGTCGTTGTTGGCCCACCCTCACAGCGACGGGTCAGAAGGGAGAGAGGGGGCTGTCTTGTTCCGTAAGAGCTGGAGGAAGGTACATGCATATGTACATAGGCCAAGACAGGCACCTCAGAGGTAGGTAGCTACCTAGGTAGGTACCTCCAAGGCTAGGGGGGTTGAGGCGTGTTGGGAGGTACCATATGGTATTGTAGGCGGGTATAGCCTTAGGAGGTAGCAGAAGGTATCTATGTATATAGTACGTATCTTTTATATTTATATAGTAATAATTCATAACTATAAAATAGATAATTTAATTAAGTAATATTAATAAAATTATTCTTATTCATTATATCTGTATTTATTTATTTATAATTAAATAAACTTTTTTAGTGTATTATTTAAATATATTTTTAAGTAGAATTCTTCTTCTAATGTATTTTGTTTTTATAGAGACTTTAATCTATGTAATATTTTATAAGCTTTCTAGACTTTTTTTTTAATATGTTAATAAAGATACAGATAGCTAGTAAAAATGTAAGGCAAGTTATATTACATTCTAATCTCGAGAGGCGTCTTGCACATGTAATGATATACTAAATGTAGGCACATGTAAACTTAAAGCAAGTACACCGCGTATGTACATATAGAAACCGCAACGAATAGGCAACTTGGCGCGCACATGCGGAATAATTACATTTGAGCATATTAGCCACCTAGTAGATATTTGCAGTACTATATAACTCGAAGTTGTCTTGAGACGTAGACGATCATAACTAGAGGCTCTCTATCGGGGTTATATATGTGTGTAGATACGGGCCTAGCAGGAGGATATTCGCGGCGGGGGGATTCGATAAGATGGGTAATGTGGCCACAATAATTTCGGAAACTTACCTCGAGCCTGGCATCTCGCCATCTCTTAACGACTTCATCGGCGTGGTGGTATAGAAGATATTGAATCTGGAGACACGAATTCACCCAGCAATAGCCTGGCGCAGGTAATACTGACAAACAAGTTGATTGTGGGTGGTCCTAATCCGCTGGGTTGGGTATCTACCACCTGCATTCACCTTGCGCGACAGGAACCGCTCCCGTCTACGTTTACATAGGTACTGCTTATATCCAACAAAGCTGCTTGCGGAAGAGAAGAGGGCACAACGTTTGAAAGAGTCTTCAGACTCGTTTTAGTAGGTACCTACCTCTATGTTAGGTATGCACCTACTAATAGATTTTCCGTGCGTCTGTCTGGCCTCCGCCTTGCTGTCACAACTACCTTATTGTCTCGAGTCCTTAGATGTCTTTGCATAGATTGGTTGGTTGGTAGGTAGGTTAGGTATTTGTTCGCCGACTCATATGTAGGTACCTACATTAGGCTTTTCCTTGTTCTCGCCCTATTTGGCATACTCATAGCCCATCGCGACAGCTTGCACCCAGCATATATATGTAGGTACATACCTACGTAGGCAGGTAATGGGCATCAGGGGTTGAGAGGGATGTGCGCCTACATAAACGTATCCACATTCTTCTTACCTTAGGTACCTACCTAAGGTAGAGGTAGACGGCCTACTGCGTCCTACGGGGGGTACCTGTTCGCGTACACAGCTCGAAAGTGAGGCGTTCGGTACCTACTACTACCCTATGTCCTCCATCTGACAATCATCAATCCATCCTGGCATCCTGGCAGCCTACATTGCAATGTATGCAGAGACCAGGGTCGGAAAATGGGGGCTTGCTCATGTGGTCTGCTGGAAAACTTAGGACGGGCAGCTAGGGCGCTAAACAAGACTGGGCAACCGAAGTCACGTTGGAAGAAAAAAGAAGGGGAAATCTGGAGACTCTCGACTGGCCTGCTGACTGGCCGGACCGTGCTGGAATTTCTTTGATGGGCTTCACGATGGGGTTTTGGAATAAAACGCACGAATCCTTGCATACACATGTACATCTGACGGTGGGCCGTTGTGAGGGGACCAGCGATCTGGGTCTTCTGGCCTGGCGGCGGCATTCTTGTCACATGGAGACCTTCTTAGCTTCCACTCACGCCTTTCCAGGCAATTCAAGTGGCGTGGGTGTGGCCCATCGTGGCCCATCGTGGCCCATCGTACTTCTTCCCTCCCCCTCCCTTCTCCGATATGCATCTAGACACGACCTAATACCATGTTTACCTTCTGCCCAATGGAATGCATGCCTACAGAATCCGTGCCCCCGGGCCACATTTCTGGTATGCAAAGATATACCTAATTATACCTACCAAACTCCCTCTATACAATCCTATAGCATGATCTCTCCCGCCGCCATAATTCCTCTATGCGAAGCACCTCCATTTCCTCGTGAAACATCCTTGGTAGAGCATGCTTTGTGCGATATTCTGGCGAGTTTGGCTCCATTGTCAATCGTTAGAGGGCCGCTGGCGTAGCGTTGAGGTAGAGTTGTAGTGGTGCGTAGGCGGGTAGGTACCTAGTGACTAGGGTCGTGGCGGCAGCAAATGGTACCTTGTTCCCTTCTTTGTATTACTAACTCCCGAGTGTGTGTGGACGAGCATGCTGAACAGCTTTTCCCAGCCAGACCTGGGATTCTATAATAGTGTCAGAGACGGGCTGGCATTGGGAAAGCGATAATAGAATAGGATTGAATTTGATGGTATAAGTAGCGAAGAAGTATACAATCCACCGAGATCCCCCCCTTCCCCCTATCTCTCATTCTCTCTGTCTGTCTGTCTGTCTGTCTGTGTGTCTGTGTCTGTACTCATAGGTAGAGGGGGTCGCTCCGGAGCCGTAATTACTACCTGAAGCAACCCCTCGCCGTCTCCTGCTTGGATCTTCCACATAATTCCTGGTCCCCCCCCTTCTTCAAGTGTTATCTTTCCCCTTTGCGTTTTCTCCTCCTTTTCATTCTTTGCCTAGTCTCGAATACCCCGCATTTCGATTACCTATCTGGGTGTGCTGTTGTCCACTCCTTTTATCCCTGACGCCCTGAGTTTTCCCATTCCTTCTTATCTGAGCTCTCCTTTGTTTAATCCAGACCGTGACTCGCGATACTAAGACAATAAAGGGGCCCCGGTGGGAGCAAGAAGCCAAGCCGAATTCAAACTCCCGTAATCGAGTCGGCGTGTCCTGTACTAGCATCAAGCTTGCCTGTCGGGATTTCAATCAATCTCTCTCTTTTGTCTCTCTCGCGCCTCTGTGCTGTGCTGCGCTGACGGTGCGGCTGTTGCCGGTGCTGATACCCCAAAAATTAGCCTCCCTCACCCACACCCCCTAACCCCTCCCCTCCCCTTTTTTTCGCTTCGCCAACGTAGAAGTTCAAAGTCCGGCAGACGAATAGATACATACACACACAGATCATGAGACATGTTGCTGTCCCTGCGAGACAACGTCGGAGCCCAGAAGGTCCCGTCTCTGGGCCAGGGGGGCAGGTCTATTCTTCCGGTTATGTGACCCGCCAATCGAATCTATCCAGTCCACCTGCATCGAGCCAGGTTCCCCCGTTGGCAGCATCCATACATCGGCGGACCACCGTCCACCACCCACCATCGACCTGCCTACCTAATCGTACCTGACCTATTTCGATAGCTACCTTACGTACAGGATATATTAGCCAGCGAGCTGCTCCCTTTCCATGGTTCGCGCGCGCGCACATACACACACACATACATACCTACATACATGCCCAGTCAGCTCACCACATAGGTACCCATGGTTAGCCGCTGGGCTGGCTGCACCGCGGTCCCAACTCCGTCCTTGCTTCGTTCTTTGTTCCTTGCTCGCGGGTCCAACTAGGAAATCATGTGTCCGTATCCGTACGTAGCTGTTGATCGTGACAGCAAATGGGGTGCGAAGCCTTTCGAAGCCCGGCAAGTCACAACGCCTCCGTTGGCTGCGAGCCAGCTGGTGGGCAAGTGCCCGGTGGTGAAGGCGAGCGAAGCCGGCGAACACGGTACATAATACCTGCTACGCACAAGCATTTATCGACCGGCACATATACCTACCTTAGGTACCTACCTACCTACACGTACGTATTATAGCTCCCCACCGGGGCGTTTACAGGTACCTACCTCTAGGCACCTCATAATTATACGTATATCAGGCGTATATGTGCACATACCCTACGGTACAACGACAGAAGCACCTATGGTACCCGGATTTCAGGACCAGGGTGGGTTCCTACTCTAGATGGATACCCTTACAAGTGGGAGGTCATGGGACCTTCAATTTGCGCGCGCTAAGCACAAACTTCAGCAACTTAGCTGTGCGGAAGACGGGTCCGTTTTCCTGGCGGGGGGGAAACCGACGAGTCAACCAGAAACTAGCGTCATAGAGAGACCGGCCGGTTACCTTAGGTACCGAAGGCAGGTATCTTAGAGGTACCTACCTATCCACCTGGCGGGTATCTGGGTACCTGCCTGCCTTGCCTTAGGTAGTATTTGCAGGTAATAGGAGGCATGGTGAGCTACCTAGGTAGGCATCTACCTCCCTCGTTCGGTACCCGAGGCAGGTAAGTACCCAGATAGGTAGGTACCTCCCACGGTACTTAGCCGAACCTGCGCCCTGGATTTGCAACGATCCTCCAACCTACCTTAGGTACCTAGAGGGTTGCAGGTTAGGTACCTTAGGTGGTAAATGATAGGTACCTACCTACCCAGGTACTCAGTATTAGATAATACCATTGGCCCCCTGAACCCCCTTCCTCTGATAGGTAGACAATTCTCTGACCCGGATTGGACCCCTTGGGCTGGTCTTCCTTGTGGTCTCGGCCTTCCCCGTGCCTAAGCTGATGATGCCGGTGGTGGCGACGACGACGCTGGTGGTGCGAATCAAACTTACCTACCATAGCTCACGTGCCTCTCCCACCTTAGCAGCTACCTAGACCTAGAGACAACGGCGTAAAGCCACAATTCCGGTCCCGTCCGGGTTCTACGGCTGCGTACCTACGCAACTACCTGGGTCCCCCTCCTAACCTACCGATCTCTTCTGTCGATCGACGACCAGACAACGGTTACCTTTTCCACACGGGCACAGCTCGCCGGCTAGAGCCAGCAGCATTCGACCACGCGTATGATTCCAACGCCGCTCTCTTTCCCTCCTTGCTCCCTCTGTCTGCGTGTCCGCGCTTGCAAGCCCAACCGACGGCGCGCCGTTGAATGGCGGCGAATTGGGCCATGACATACGTACCTGTTGTTCGAGGCCTGGCTGGGGTCTGCCGGTTACGGGTGGCATCGTCCTCGTCATCGCACTGGGGTCCGACCCGAAGGGCCCCAAGGTCCTACGGCCTAGTAGGTGCATACCTACATCAGCGATCACGCCTTGCGGCCTCGCGCGGCAGGGGTCGGTCGGTACGCATCCAATGTAGGTACGTAGTATCTATAGTACGTAGTAGACAGACACGCGCGACGGCAGCAAACCGGTCCGTTTAGAAATCCCTTCCTCTTCCTGTAAAGAGGAGGAAGAGAAACAAGAAGAAGCGGAAGAAGAAGAGGGAGAGACCGAAGACATCGTACATACACAAATGCGGTAGGGGGTTTGACTGACCCAGAACCTGCCTCCTCTACTATACGTTAGCCTATTGAGGGTACCTGAGGGACATCGCTCCCGTCGCCTACCCGCGGTGTAGGTTAGGTACCTACAGGTAGGTAGGTAGGTACCTCTACCTACTACGTCGGTAATGCTAGGAGGTACCCAACTTCGTCGGCGCTTAAGGAGGCATGTTGCCGCCTCCCACAGCGCTCGCGGTCGATCAGACGGAATTCGATGGGGACAGAGAGGCTCGAGCCTTCTTGTCGCGAATAACATTAAACGACCCAGCTGACATGTGTGCAATTCTACGGAAAACAACACTCGAATCCGGGAAGGGGGCGGGCTGTGAGGAACGGTGCCGGAGGCGTTGCGTCTCGTGACACGCACGGATCTAAGTCCTCCCGTCGACAGAGCCTGGAACGTATGACGGCCTAAGGGAGAAGAGAAAAAAGGGGGAAGCATAATCATCCGTTTTCCCTGCCTTGGTCACTTACCGTCGGTCATGCATCGGCGGAGCACGAGGAGGAGGTCGCCGTCCCTCGCCAGCATAGGCATTTTATTCTGAACCGGGCCCTGCTACTTGGACACGATCGCAGACGCGCGGACTTAAAGGCCTTACGTCGATATGCGTTATTATGCCCGCCAAGCGCCACGAGCCGGCCGATTCAGGCGGATCGTGTCGGTCGTCTCCGTCCACCTCGAGAGCTGTCGAGAGAGGCTACTCAGTATCACAAACCTAAGCGATCACACAGGCTTGTCACGGATGGCTATACCTGTTGTGGTCTGAACGTATACCGCGGTGCACATAGGTGTCCGGATATATCCGTCCGCCGGCTGAGGCATGTCTCTCGGATGCGACCTACGAGCCTAACAAACGGCGTGTTCATGCAGTCCACGCGGCTGACGGGCCACTTCTCCAATGCACGTCAAGGGGCTTTGGGAACAAAGATATCTCGAGATGCGTCCCCGGTGGCCCAGGATGCAATAGCCCAGGCCATCTCCGTCTTGGAATCCGCCTAACTTGAGACGCAAGTGTCTCCCGATACCCTGAGATTTGTACGATGCATACGGCGGAGATGTGCTGCCTTCATCATCATCGCCTGCCACTGGTAGTTGGATTCCTCGTCAGCTCCCTAGGTCGAGTGACTACGCACCTTGCGTGTCATCGCCCCTTCCAGAGCAGGACACGATGCCTTGGAATCCTACTTCGAGGGCTATCAACTACGCAGGCTCCCACGCCGACGGCAAATCTTTAGAATCCTACCTCGGATCGGCTCGGGCAACACCGAGTAGTCCGGTTAGGATGCCTATACCAAGTGAGCCCACGCAGCTCCCGGCGCTATAAGCTACCGAGTGGTATCGTACGTTGCGGCGTAGGCAGACATAAGTAGTTCACGAGCGGGAGTAATTCCCCCCTTCATTCCAAAACACGAAGTTATCACAGGGTCGCTGATCTTGGCAAGCAAGCATAACATCTCTATCCAAAGGCCCAGAGTTCCCAAGTTGTTTACACAGTTGTGCAACGCCACCTGCGCGTCTTGCCTTCCATGCCGTCGTCGATGGCCTCGTGGGTCTAGGTATCTGCAGCTAAGCTAGACCTGAAGATTCCGCCCGCGTACTCGGCGTGGTAGGGCCTCTATCTGCGTCTAAGGCACAGCATGCAAAATAGGAACATAGATGATTATGGCGCTTTTGCAACTACCGCTCCCGGGATCATTCAGCTTGTTCTTGTGCAGTCGGCTCCGACTCGCCCTACCTGCCCTTGACAGGACGAATACCTCTTAACACAACATGCACAGCTTAGGACGGGTTCCGGACCGGTCTACTCTATGTCATCAATATTGTTTTTGACATGGTCAACTACAGAGTTCCGTAAAGCGCCCACACGCATACTAGGCCTCGCGCACCTGTGGGTCAGCCTATACACACCCGGATGCTGTGTGATGGAGACGCTCGCAACGAAACAGGAGGGACAGCGAGCCTGTATGATGTATTACGTGCCCGTCAGGAACTGCTTCGTTGCCCGATTCCCCCGCTACATCTCCGAGCGTGCCTTTCTGGACCTATTAATAGCATATTCTATGGCTATCTGTAGAGTTGCCATGGGTCGCGGCAACTTGATATGGACGGTGTATGCGATGCGTTAACTCTCTGTCAGCGTCCGCCGAGCGTCTCTACGGGGCCGTGAAGCTCTGGAAGCACACCCTACGGCGATTGACCAAGGCTAGTCACGACTTCAGATCCTCGGCTGACCTGAGGCGGCGTGTTTCTCAAGCGGTCGTGGCGGCGTTGTTTATTAGATCGAGAGACAACGGTGGCAGCAGCACCTCTGGATGCGCCTCTGAATACGCCTGGGCCTGGCGTACAGACGGCCAAGTTGGCCTCTTTCTAGGGTCAGTCACGGTCGAAATCACGCCAATCGGCACAGCTATATGCTGCGTTGCCTTGAATCCGAGCCGTCGCTTGCATCTGCCATATCCCATCGTTACACCTGGGCAGAACCGGAGTCGCCTGTTGGTCCTCACAATTCCGTCGAGGAATTTTTGTTAGGATTACCGCGCTTATGAAACGTCGGTGCCATAGGGCATTTCAACGGGCGTAACTCGCGAGATTCGTCGCTCATCGGCACCTCTAGAATCACAAGCATCGGCATACCATCACAAGTACAGTCCCCCTCAGCCATTAGGGTTTGAGCGTATTATGGAGTTAGCGCGGCCGCACGCGATGGACATATCGGCGTTGGCTACTCACCCGGCTTGGTCAGAGGGATCTGAGTTTTCGACGACTTGGGGCGTAGGAAGTTATTGGAACCCTACAGTACCGATGTAGATGCGAGACTAAAGGCGTTGCATAACGCCACCCCCTGCCTATCCCATCTACTCCAGCCAGGTACAATATCCTTCTCCACGCCGCGGAACCCTTGGAGGAGAGACTCGATTCTAAGAGAACCAATCACCGGCCCTGGGGAGCTAAGCTATCTCGTAGGCGACAGCAGTTCCCTAGGCGGAACGTGTTCAGCGCCATACCGGCCAGCTGACCATCCTAGATCGACCGCAAGAGACGGCTCGTGAAGAACGCGATATCTCACGAGCCACGCCCTGAGACGCTGTCCAGTTAGGCATACCAACTTTAGGAATACCATTTTGTCTGGCCTACCCGAGCTACGTATAATACTATGCCAAGGCAATGCCGAAAATACTGCCCAAAGCGGGGTAGCTGTATATCGACATGAAGCTATAGGAAGGACCGGACAAGAGTCAGATTTCAAGAGAGATAGCTGCTCTTCTCCCTTCTCCCGCGACTACGAAAAACAAGATAAGAACGGAAGGAGACCAAGGGGGAAGAAGAGAAGAGAAGGGAGAAAAGCCTCTGGGAGGCCCGTTATGGACTCGCAGGGCCCATGGGCCGGATAGGTGCCTCCGTGAAGACCAGGACCAGATCTACGAACTTTGGTTCTCGGGGACACGATCTGTCGTTATCCTAACACGAGGGGGGGCGAACGCTGTTCGTGAGCTATGTGACGAGCCTATACAGAGGTGCTGCAGCTCCCCAGTCCGTGCCATGCCCAGAAACGGGAGAAGAAGCTGTGGGCAATATGCCTAGGGCCAGGGCCTCACTTCCGAATCGGGCGACTCGCATCCTCCAGCACGGTATTGTGGCTATATAATAGGTTTGGGTGAGCCCGTCAGGGAGACTTCAGAACTGCGGGGCAACGAGCTCGTTCTGCTACCATCACCGGGGCGTTGGTATTCTCCCACCCAACATTCGGTTCCGGGCCCCGACGGGATGGCTGCCTGGACGAGATGGCGCTGGAAAAGGGCGCAACGTCGCTCTCCCCTGCAATTATAGCCGGATTCGAGAATCGAATGCTTATGTGTAGCTTCCATCGGCCGTGTGCGCTAGCCGACGAGGTAGGGTAGAGCTACAGACGAGAGGGAGGGGAAAGCCTGATACGGCATGCTTCTTCTTCACCAAGGTTACCACGCGTTGCGAGACGCTGTTATCGACAACGACTCCCTAGTGCTGTCACGGCAAGTGTGGCCTCTCTAGCAGTTGATGCCGCTTATTCCAGCATCTTAAATGTAGCTCAGGGGTGTCATAGGGCGGATCGCGGGTCGTGGGTCGTGGCAGTTTCACAGCGTCTACCAAGTATTGTATGCGGTTACGGCATAGGTATGTTTTTCTATTGCCCTCTCCCCTCCCAGATATCGCACAACAGAAGCGAGGTAAAAGGGGGCAGGAGGGTAAAACTCACATGTCCCACCGGTTGTCGTGCCAGAGGATGCTTGTATATGCTCGCATTCACTAGTTGGTAGCTCCCTAGAAAAGCCCTAGAGAGGGGGAGGTCTTATCACGACTGCAGCTGGATACTACCCACGGTAGCGATGCGCTGCCGCGCCTCATCCGGGAATTTGTACCGTCGTCGTATCATACCGGTCCGATATGGGTCGAATGGTGTGGCTTCGTTACCATGCTGAGTGGCTCTGTAAGTTGTTGCGGGATCCGGTCGATTGTCTCCCTCAGGCGATTTTACACGGCCATCCCGACGACTACTATTACTACTAGAGCTACAACACAACAACACACACACAGACACACACACATACACACTTACCTCTCTCTCTCTCTCTGTCTCTCTCTCTCTGTCTCTCTCTCTCTGTCTCTCTCTCTCTGTCTCTCTCTCTCTGTCTCTCTCTCTCTGTCTCTCTCTCTCTGTCTCTCTCTCTCTGTCTCTCTCTCTCTGTCTCTCTCTCTCTGTCAAGCCTACGCAGAGCTACCGTGAGGCCTCACCGACAACCGGGGAAAAAAAGAAGCTTGCCTATTATTCTACTCGGTATAGAATTCCTGGAATCCACTCTCCAGCCAAGAGTTACCGTGAAGGGACGTTGCGGCGTGACTTCGGGCTAGTCGGCGATGGCGTATTGTTACGGGATCACCTGAATTTGTCATGGTCGGGATTGACATTTCGGGTTTCGATGGGGCATCAAGCATCTATTAAGCGGTATAGGCTCCAAGTGGCGCCGTCAGCTACATGCATGCATGCGTCGAGGCATTGCTAGAAGCGAGGCAATCCAGATTAATCGCTCTTCAAGGGAAGATCCCTGGAAGGGAGCTGCATCAGGATCATGCGCAGCGGCGGGCGCAAAGATCCCAATGAAGATGTCCACCAGGGTTGTGTGAGGCTCTCTAGCCAAACCCACCGGGATGGAAACACCTCGGTCGTTCCGTTGGCACCACGTAGACGGGTGATGCAGAGCCACACGAAGCTAAGCCTATCGAAGATCCCGAGGGCCAATCGTCAACGCGGGGTGTTCTACGATGCAAACAGGGCAGGGATTTGGTAGCCAACGACTTCTGGTTCGATTCGACGTCTACGGGACACAGGCGGCTAGTAGGGTGTCGAATGGGGAGAGCTGCTCGCAGAGAGGCCTTCGGCAGGGGGGGGGGGGAGGTGGTCGCCCAACGCGGCGAGGCCCAGGGGAACAAGCAGCAGCCTCATACGTCGGTCTCGTCGCCAATCCCGCCGTAGTCGGCCAGCGCCTCAGCAGCACGTACGTCCGTGCCCGTCTTCGACTATACGTAGTTGGGCGCGGGTGGACCGGGAATCAGATCATCTGCGTGCTTCCCAGTCGAACGAGACGGACGACATACACACGCGCGCGCTCAGTCATATATACGCAATACACGCAATATACACACTCGAATACGTACGTACTGGCCTACAACATGCCAGACTTCCGGCGTCATGTGCACCTGGGGCCCATATCAAGGTTCTGACGTCTCACGTAATGTTGAGGGTGGCATGCATCCTGCTAGCGTAGCCGCACGTATACATATGTGTGTATAATATCGTGAGCGACGTGACAAGGATAGGGGTGGAGGGCGAAGAGAGAGAGAGAGAGAAAGAGGGGGAGGGAGAGGAAGAGACAAAAGGCGGGCAGAGAGGAAAGGAGAGGGGTTAGGGGAATTGAGCTCCTACCACCTGCAGGACGTAGAGGAAAAGGGCTCTGTTGGGGAGCGAGCAAAGCCGACAGAGAGGCCTAAATGTGCACTCGTCGTTTTCTCGTCTCGGTCTCCTACGGGGCGACGATCACACCTAAAATACCTATGCGAGATATAATCATATTTGCGTAACAGGCGGTAGTAACCACAGAAACCCTCCTCCTCCACCCCCCTCTCCAAAAAAAAAGAAGAGGGAGAGAGAGAATAGAGTGGGAGACGTATCCCTTCTCTTCCTCCTCCAGCTCCTCCCTTGCCCCTCTCAGTTGAGAAGTTACCGAGGCGGCGTAGGTACAAGCCTCCCCGCCAGCGACCTCGACGTAGCACACGAAGACGCCGCCACCCGCCCGTGGCAGCCGACTCCTCCCATGATCCCGGTGGCGTCCGAAACGCAAAGGATGGGATGCAAGTAGGCGGGTTTAGCTGGGCCTCAACAGCTTCTGGGCGGGGAGTTTGTCTAGAACGAGGACTGGCCAATGGGCGCGGATACGCCGCGAGCTTCGCGGTTGTATTGGCGCAGGTAGTACACTACCACCTGCGTGCCTAGCCCGAGCGCCAGAGAGAAGGAGAAAAGGAGGGAAACCGGAAAAAAGACACAGCAGAAGAAGACCCGGTAGTAGGAGAGAGAGAGAGAGAGAGAGAAGGGAAGGGGGAAGGCCGGGAGAGGAGAGAAGAGAAAGAGAGGGAGAGGGGAAAGGGAGAGAGAAGGGGAGACAGGGGGCATTTGGTTCCCTCGCCGGCGTCCAGGCCTGATCAGGTGCCTAGGCGCAGTGCACGTGGTTTGTAGTTGGGCATACATATGTATTCTCCGCGCGGGCAGTTATCGAGGGCGTAGTAATGCGAAAAAGGCAGGGCGCGAGGAGCGAGCGGTGGCGAGAGCAGTGATTTGGGGACTGTGTGATAAAAACGCATTACTTACATATGCTCGTCTGGTAAGGGGGTAAGGGGGTAAGGGGGTCAGGGGGTCAGGGGGTCAGGGGGTGGAGGGAGAGGGGAGAGAGGGGGAGAGAGGGGAGAGTAGAAGTAGAGAGAGGAGTAGAGCATGGTTTGTCTCGCTGCGCCTTTCTTGGTTCTACTCGTCGGTGGAGGAAATCGAGCCCCTGGGGATATGTTTTTATCTCGCACGGGTGAAGCGGCAAGGTTCGTCGGGCGATGGCGACGCGGGAGCACGCTGGGCTGGCACAAGGCCAGACGCACGCCTATATCGATCAATGGGTATGCGGCCCCCGAGACGACAGCCAGCCTTACGGGAAGAATCCTGTCCCACGACGCCAAGAACGAGTGGATGGCAAACACTACTTAAGGACTACTTAAGGGGAACGCCTTCGATTCCCGTATGACTGCGAGAGCGGGAACCAGATAGTCTGCCTCTGCTATACCCCCCCTCACCTTGCGAGCTATCTCGAGCTAGAGGGGATATGGATCTATGAATGTAAATGTGGATATGTTGGTATAGGTGCCGTTGTTGTGCTGCTCCGGCAATGACGCATTGGCTTGCCGCCACGAGTAAGTAAGTATGCGTACCTGTATAAAATAGGTAGGTATAACACATGCCTATATATCTACATAGATGGCATAGACAGGTGGATAAGTGAGAGAGAGGGTGTGTCGTGAGCATAGGCATGTGTGTTATTTCTCAAGCGAGCATTGGGGGATTTTGGTGAGTGAAAGGAGATGAGGAGAAGAGAGATATTAGGTACCTACCTAACCGCACACCTGAGGTCCTCAGGATACCTGTAACCTCCTAAAATTCCATCCTCAGCATCGCGATTACATAATATCACACTCTAATAGGTAACCCTCCTAAGGTAGGGTCGGTCCTCGGTAGGGCCGGCCGTCAGCTGGCAGAGAGCGGCAGAGAGTGGGAGACTCAGAGGTACCTCTAGTACCTACTAGATACGTACCTTGGGCGGGCGGGTACAGACAATATAACACCGAGGAACACCGTGAGAGGTACCTAACCTACCTATACAACTCGGTATCATTGGTACCTAATGGTAGGGTGACAGGTGACTGTACCTAGGCTGGGAGGCACCCGTGTACCTCACGTAAGAGTAGGAGCTTGCCTGTATGAGTACCTAGGTAGGTAGTGCAGCTCTCGAGCACGTCCAATGAGACGGACGGAATCCATCCCAGTCCTAACTGAACCCGAGGCAACGCCCTCACCACCACCCCTTCACGAAAAGGAGGAAACAGAAAGAGAGAAAGACAGAAGGAGAGAGAAGAGCAAGGAGAAATCCTGGGGGGACATGGGGGACTGCCGCGTCGCTGTCGAATACCTATCCGCCGGTGCCAACAGGCACACCGCCGTCGCCGATTGGAGCCCGGACGGCCTCGTCGCCTTCGGTGCTGGCTCCAACGTCGCCCTCTGGCGGCCCCATGTAGGTACGACTGCCGCATTACACCACCTGATGCCGTCGCTGATGGTATATGCCCTCCCCCGCCTCCTTTTTCTCTAGGGCTCGCGACCCCGAGGTATAACCAGTCTCCTCTCGGGACATAAGGATGTCGTCAAGGCCGTTAGCTTCCTCCCCGCGCTCGACGGAGAGTCCCGGACGTATCTGCTTACCGGCGCCGACGACCAATGTCTGAGGATCTGGGTCCTCCCCGCTGACCGCCGCCTGGATCCCGACCCTAGTTCCGGGTCAGGTGCCGTCGCCTGCATCCAGACCGTGCAGGCCCACGCCGCCCCGATTAACTGCATAGCCATCCTCCGTGAAGGAAGACTACAAGGCACGGCGCTCAGGCTATTTGCTACGGGGGCCGCAGATGCCTCCATAAAGCTGTGGGCATTCGACGGAAACCAGGCTCGCTTGCTGCAGACCATCCAGACTAGCCCCAAATACTTCCCGCTCTCGATAGCGTTAAGCCGTCTCGCTCGCGATGAAGAAGAAGAAGTATTAGTGCTGGCCGCTGCCGGAACCAGGAACACCATCCAAGTCTTCGTCGCCGGCCCGGGGACCAACACCGAATTCCAACACGAGGCGACTCTGTCCGGACACGAGGGCTGGGTTCGCTCTCTAGACTTCGCGCGCGAAGACGATGCCCCCGGTAGCGACCTCATCCTGGCGTCGGCGAGTCAGGACAGGTATATCCGCCTGTGGAGGTTCCACCAGGGCAAGGACCTACCCGCGCCCGCGGCCGGTACCGACCCGTCCATGGGCGCATTCCTCCCCGGCAAGTCCCCTTCCAACAAGGCCCACAGGCTGAAGGTCGCCGAAAAGCAGTATTCCATCACTTTCGAGGCGCTGCTACTAGGTCACGATGACTGGATCTACAGTGCCAAATGGTACTCGGACCCTCCCAATGGGATACTCCAGCTCCTCTCAACCTCGGCAGACAACACGCTAGCTATATGGGAGGCGGACCGAACCTCGGGCATCTGGGTCACGACGGTCAGGCTCGGTGAGATTAGCAGAGAGAAAGGCGCGACGACGGCGACAGGCAGTACCGGTGGGTTTTGGACGGGGCTCTGGTCTCCGGACGGATCTTCGGTGGCGTGCCTCGGACGGACGGGTAGCTGGAGGTGGTGGAGTCATAGTAGAGAGCCAACACAGTGGATCCCGCGCGTTGGTATCAGCGGCCACACCAAGGCAGTCACCGGGATAGCGTGGTCTCAAAAGGGCGACTACCTGCTCTCAACGAGCACCGATCAAACGACGCGGCTGCACGCAAGCTGGAGTCGGGGGGCCGGCCAACGAACCTGGCACGAGATGGCTCGTCCGCAGATCCACGGCTACGACCTTAACAGCATCGACTCGCTCGGGGACACCAGGTTCGTGTCAGGTGCCGACGAGAAGCTGATGCGCGTCTTCGACGAGCCGAAGGCCGTGGCGAGGCTCCTTGGCAGTCTGTGTGACATCGACAGTGACCACATCGAGGCAATGCCGGACGCTGCCAATATGCCGGTACTCGGCCTCTCGAACAAGGCCGTTGACGCTGTCAACGACGATCAGGAGGGAGGAAGGGGGGAGGATCAGATCCGAGCGGCCGGCCCCGATCCCGATCCCGACCGGATGGTCCGCAGATCTGTGCTCGAGATCGACCACCCTCCGCTCGAGGACAGCCTGTCACGGCACACACTCTGGCCCGAGATCGAGAAGCTCTACGGCCACGGCTACGAGATCTCCTGCCTGGCCGTGAGCCACGACGGGACCCTCATCGCCAGCGCGTGCAAGGCAAGCTCTGTCAACCACGCGGTCATCCGCCTCTTCGAGACGGAGCGGTGGACTGAGGTGAAGCCGCCGCTGACGGCCCACTCTCTCACCGCGACGCGGCTGCGATTCTCTCCCGACGACCGGCATCTGCTCAGCGTCGGGCGGGACCGACAATGGGCGGTCTTCGAGAGGGACGACGGCGGCACGCCCGGCAGCTACGGGCTCCTCCAGTCTAACCTCAAGGGCCACTCGCGGATGATCCTCGACGCGGCGTGGTCGCCGCGGGCGGCCGACTCCGACTCCTTGGTGTTCGCCACCGCCGGCCGCGACAAGCAAGTCAAGATATGGAGGAGGGAAGGATCGCCGAGTCCCAACTCGACGGACACTACCGGTGGTAGTATCTCGTGCGCGACTACGATACCAGAAACTCACCCGGTCACCGCCGTGGACTTCCTAAACTCTATCGCCGCCGGGGGAGGGACCATGGTCCTCGCCGTAGGGACCGAGGTCGGCAAGATCTCGATATATACGCTCGACGAGACGTCCCTCGGTGTACGCTCAGCGCTACATCTAACGCCAGAGTAAGTTCCACGGAACCCCCCCGCGCTCGATGTGGCGAAGCCAGGTCGCTGACAGATGCCTTCAAGACTCTGGCCCGCGAAGGCCGTCCTGCAACTCGCGTGGAGGCCGCGGCGGAGGAGGAGAGAGCTGGCGATAGCCGCGGAAGACGGTTCGCTCAGGGTATACGCCTTCTTAGAGGAAAACAGCAATCCATGAGGCTCATTCCCGTATAACCCCCCGCCCCAAATGTGTACGTGTATGTGCGCTTGTGTGTCATTATTATTATTACGGTTCTTTGCTTTTGGTTCTTCTCTCGTAGACGTCTGCTCGTGAGCCCGCCGCACCCCGCACCACTCTCTTGATACACATCACCAAATCGATCCGAACGCCATCAATCGTAAATATCAACCCCCCCCCCCCCCCCTCTGATAGAGTACCTTCGTATTTTGAGATTCGTCTAGTCCGCGGCGCGCGCGTCACAGCTCCCGGCTCATCGATTCGGCCACCTCCGTAGGGGCGGCTGCTAGCGTTTTCGTGCCGAACGAAGTCGCGAGGGACAGCGCGCCGTTCTTGACGGCGACGACGTTGGACGCGAACCCGCTGTCTCCGCCGACGACGTAGAACCAAGCCCGGTTGAGGATGAAGAGGACGTGTTGCGGGAGGTAGAGGACGACGGCGATGGTCAAGAGGCTGCAGAGGAGGAACACGACAGACCCTGTGGGTACGCGTTAGAAGAAGAAAAAAAGGGGGCGTTTCCAAACCAACGGGCGGGAGCGGCTGAGAAGGGGGAGAGATAAATAGTGAGCGGCAGGGAGGCGGGAATAGCTCACAGAATGCGAACTTTTCCGTCGGCGTAAACATATAAACGCCAAAAGTGACTTCGATCTGGTACTGCTTTAGTCGGAGCCAGCGTCCGAAGCGCTGTGGCGGCGAGAGATTCTCGGGCTGTTTCGTGAGGTACTCCATCGTGGGCCGTAGAGAGGTAAGCCTTCTGCTCGTATCTTGGGGGCGTTTTCTTTTGCGGACTCTCTTTTTGCTCGTGTCACCGTCGCCGGAATCTCTCGGTTTTGGGCTTGTCCACAAGGGGAAGAAGACGCGGACGAATCTCTATTACGGACTCGCGTCGCGGTCTATCTATACGTGTTTCGTCCCAGTCACGTGATCGTGGGTTGGTGGGCTAGGCCGGTCGGTAGATAAAAGGGGGTCGAAGTTCTTGCCGCAGCGATTGGCTGGTTTCTCCTCTCTATCGTGTCTCCGCCAAGGGATACAGAGGAGGGCGGGGGGCGACGGACGAAACGAGACGCTGAGCGAAGGGAAGGTCGTTACGGCGGCTGTCGTTGTTGTTGTTGGGGGTAGTAGTATAGGTATGAGTAGAGAGAGAGGAGGGAGAAATAGAAGTGATGTGTGTGTTAGAGGCGACGTAGGCAGCAAGTAGATAGATGCCGTGGATCACCAATTCCGAACTAGGGGGAGTTCTAGAGAGAGAGAGAGAGAGGAAGAGAAAGAAATCGGGCTTGGCCTGTGCATGGAAAGGGGAAAACGAGAGAGAGAGGAAGTCCGTCGAGGCCTACGTCCTCTTTGCGTGGAGTAAGGTATGGATTGGACAAGCAGGGTTGGAGTCGAGCCAAGTCGAGTCGAGTCGGTATCGTCCACGGCTCCCCTTCTATCCTCCTCTCTGTCTGGCCTGTCGGTTAGCAGGCAGTTTTGTTTGCATGTACTGGTTCCATCCACACCGAGGACAAGAAAGAGAGGGAGGTACGTAGAAGCCGGGGAGGGAGAGGGAGGTTGAGGAGGACGCGCAATCGCCAATGGGCAATTGCCAATTGGGAGCTGTCTGGGCGTGTCGGGGGTTACGACGTAATCTGCAGTGCGAGAGGTGCATAAGTGCGGCCAGCATCATCCCCTGTAGATGAATTACGGGCCCCCCCCCCCGGGACGGATAGCAGATACTTGTTATTCCCTCTACATTCTGCTGGTCTTGTACCTACTTATATGGGGTTGACAGCAAGCTGATAGGACGAAGAAAGAAAATGGGCAAAATATAAAACCGAAATAAAAATAAAAATAATAAAATACTACGTGTAGAAATACAAAAAATAATAAAGAAAATCCAAGAAACGTGTAGGGCAGGCCATGGACCGATTGGACTCCGGCATTAGGGGCTAGCCGGAAATTGACACCGCGTGCACGTGTAACGGTGGAGCCACCTTACTGAGAGGTACCTATGTATTCAGGTGCAGGGCATGCCCACCTTAGGTAAGCCAACTTATCGAACCGAAAATGTGCAGTTGTCCCCTGGTGCGGTGCCGCTGCTACGTTAGGTACGTAGCACGCACGCACCGCGCTGAAGCTATCCGCTGGAAAAAACGTCATCCCCTCCGTCCACTGGAGGAGAAAAAAAAAAGTAGCCAAAGGCGGCCAGGTCCCTCGCCAATTCGCATTCCTGCTCACCCGCTCGCCTTCGAGCCCCCCGTTCCGAACCGGCTGCGCCTATATCTCGACCGCAACCGCGGCCTCGTCCTCGTCCTCGTCCTCCTCCACAGCTACGATGGCGCCGCTGCGACCCCTCCGAGCCCTCTCCTTCCTCGCCTTCCCCCGGCGCCTCGCCTCGTCCTGGGGCCTAGCGAGCCTCGCCCGCGGCCACGGCGCCGCCCTGGCCCGTCCGCCGCCGCTGGCCCCGCGGTGTCGCTGCGCGCCCCCCGGCGCGGGGAGGCCGTTCGGGCTCGCAGCCACCACGCCGCGGCCCAAGGGCGCCAAGAACTCCAACTTCCCCCCGCGGCCCAAGCCGCCGCCCGAGGACGAGATCGAGGAGTCGTTCCTCAAGGGCAGCGGCCCCGGAGGCCAGAAGATCGTGCGTCGTTTCCCTCTCCCTCCTTTTTGTCGTCGTCTTCCCCCCCCTACGTACGCTGCGAAATCTCGCAAAGACCAACAATAACAACAACAACAACGACAACCGCGCTAACCTCGACCCCCCCCGCCCGTCTTGGCCCTCCCCCCCAAAGATGCGCAGAACAAGACAAACTCGGCCGTCCAGCTGAAGCACCTGCCCACCGGCCTCGTGGTCAAGTGCCAGGCCACCCGCTCGCGCAGCCAGAACCGCACCATCGCCCGCGAGCTCCTCGCCGACCGCCTCGACCGCCTCGACCGCGGCGACGAGAGCCGCGCCGCCGTCGTCGGCGAGGTCCACCGCCGCCGCAAGGCTAGCTCCGCCAAGAAGAGCCGCCGCAAGTACCGCAAGCTCGACCAGGAGCAGGACCAGCAGGACCAGCAGCAGCATCCCGCGCCACTCGATACCACCGCCGTACCCTCCTACGGCTGGCCGAAGGGAAGGCGGGAGATTGAAGAGGAACTCTTCGGATACAATGGCGAACCGGAATACTACGGATTCAGCGACCCCGACGACGACTACGACGACGACGACGACGAACCAAGGCCAGAAGAGCACGAGCACGGGAATGAGAAAGAAGCCGACATCGAGGAAGGAGATGAACACAACGAGGCCCCCCACGGTAAAAAGTGACGAGCGTTTTATCAAACATATGGAGATCTAGTGTGGTGGATAACATACTCGTTCGCGTAGGCACATGCCTCCGTCGGCTCGATTCCCCTAATTATCCACCAAGGTTTAAAGGATATGCTAAATCGGGACGATAGCTAGGGTGATTCGAACAACTTTTGCAAGATTAGTTACTCTACCGAATCCACGCGTAATGCCCCCGGTTTCTATAGGTAGCCGATGCACAAAATTCACGCCAAACGCATTTAGGTGACGAAGAAACAAGATAGTATACGATCAAACTCGGCTGGATTTGTCTACTCCATCCCGTGCATGAATAGCCTCCTAAAGGTAAAGCACTTCATATTCTCTTCTCTCGGAGTAATACAGCCCCAATCTTTCGACCATTATCAGAACCTTTAGTAGATACGAGTCTCGACTAGGATACATGCGCACTCCACTCGGGACTATCGTAAGCTCGTAGCAAGTTATCGAACACTCGGGGGTTTGGGTTCCTGATTTCTGGTTAGAGGGCGGGAAAGTCGCTTCATCTCCAAGACAAGACGGAGGATCACGCTATCAGGCATACCTTAGAAGCACTTGCGGTGGACGATCGAGGGGCCGCTCTCGTCGTACTCCTGCTTAGAGATCCACATTTGCTGGAAGGTAGACAGAGAGGCCAAAATGGAACCACCAATCCAGACGGAGTACTTCCGCTCGGGGGGCGCGATGATCTTGACCTTCATCGATGACGGGGCTAGGGAAGTGATTTCCTTCTGCATGCGGTCGGAGAGGCCAGGATACATAGTAGTACCACCAGACTGTGAAGATCAACGTCAGTTACTCGCCTGCTACGGTTTTCTGGGTCTATTGGACAAATCTGTACGTACCATGACAATGTTTCCGTAGAGATCCTTTCGGACGTCGACATCGCACTTCATGATGGAGTTGAAGGTGGTAACGTGGATCCCGCCGCTCTCGAGACCTAGGACAGAAGGCTGGAAGAGAGCTTCGGGCGCACGGAACCGCTCATTACCAATAGTGATGACCTGGCCGTCGGGAAGCTCATACGACTTCTCCAGGGTGGAGCTCTGGGCAGCAGTCTGGATCTCCTGTTCGAAGTCAAGAGCGACGTAACACAGCTTCTCCTTAATGTCTCGCACGATTTCTCGCTCGGCGGTGGTAGAGAAGGTATAACCGCGCTCGGCCAAGATCTTCATGAGATAGTCGGTCAAGTCACGACCGGCCATGTCGACACGGGCAATGGCGTGGGGGAGAGCGAAACCTTCGTAGATGGGGACGACGTGGGTGACACCGTCGCCGGAGTCGAGCACGATACCGGTGGTGCGACCAGAGGCATACAGGGACAGGACGGCCTGAATAGAGACGTAGAAGGCGGGGGCGTTGAACGTCTCGAAGACGATTTGGGTCATCTTCTCACGGTTGGACTTGGGGTTGATGGGAGCCTCCGTAAGCAGGACGGGGTGCTCCTCGGGGGCCACGCGCAGCTCGTTGTAGAAGGTGTGATGCCAGATCTTCTCCATATCATCCCAGTTGGTGACGACACCATGCTCGATGGGGTACCGCAAAGTCAGGATACCACGCTTCGACTGTGCTTCGTCACCGACATACGAGTCCTTCTGACCCATACCGATCATGATACTAACGTCACGGTCAGGTACCGCCAACCGCGTGGATATCCAGGCATGTTGCTGGAGGTCCGAGTGGTTACTTACCCGTGATGACGGGGCCGACCAACGATGGACGCTATGCTCGCATGTTAGGCAGGTTTTTGTTTTTGAAGCTGCCGCTGATGAAGCGCGGGTGGGGGCGGTTGTTGGGCGAGGATGAGACTCACGGAATACAGCTCGGGGAGCATCGTCACCGGCGAAACCGGCCTTGCACATACCCGAACTGGGCTCATTGTCAGCGAAGAGGTCCTCTCGTAATGTAGCTCGCGGGCGAAGCCTAGGGGCCGGGATGACGCTTGGCCGCTAGTTCCCCTTTGTACGCAGAGCGCTCGATGATGCGGCGAGGCGAGACTGGACTGGATCTTACCCATTGTCGATAACGAGGGCAGCAACCTCCTCTGCGATAGAAAAGACGGATTAGCCATCGCAAGATACTCGAGCGTATCAACGAGACCTGAGTCGAGTCGGGGACGAAGGGGATGGGCGAGGATAGAATTACCTTCCATTGTGGCGGTTTCCGTAGGATAAGGGAAAGGTCAAGAAGGGTGAGGAAATGGAGAGAACGAGGATCCTGCTACTAGCCCACGCGATTCCCGGGTCGTCAGAGCAGAGAATGTGTTGGTTTCTCGAGGTCGACTGGCGGACAGAGGACGGCGAGAAGGGGGGGAAGAGATGGTTTTGTTTTGACGTTGGGAGGTTGGTTTTATTAGGGTCGAAGTCGGAGAGACCAAGTTGATTCTTGGGCGAGGAGTGTGGGAGAAAAGGGAGGAGCGAGGTCTGGTTTGATGCCACCGATTCCACAGTTCGCTGGAAGAACTTGTGGGCCGAACAAAAAAAGAGGCGGGGCAGGACTGGCAAGTACCGAATACCTCTGAGCGGTCGGGATTGAGCCAACCTACGCTCAGGTCACCAAGGTAGGTAGGTACCTATACAGCATACCAGGTGGACAGCATACCTCCCCCCAAGCTCGGATTCGTACATACTCCTATATAATTGCCCCTTGGTCAGATATAGGCGATAGGTCTAGGTAGGTAGGTACCAAGACAGCGACCATACTCTCATGTCCCTCTCTCAGACTCGTCGCTCTTAGGCATAGGAGGGAGGTAGGGATATTCAGGGGGAGCGTCCCAGGTGGAGGTAGGTAGGTAAGCAGGACAGAAGTAGGTACTCTGTACTTCTGTCCCCTTATCACCGGCTTCACCTTATAGATGCCACGGGCCATTGCATTTAAAGGGTAGAGGTAGACAGGTACCTTCGCGTCGACTTCAGCGCACCGCTAAGCTAGGGTAGGCACCTAACCTACCTGCCTAGAGATACCTAAGGTACCTAATATAGACACCTAAGAAGAGGTACCTACCAACAGATTGGCAGCTAGGTACCTACCTAGGTATGTACCTAACCGCCTCGCAGACGTAATATTACAACGCCTAGCCGGGAGGAAGTTCCAAGAAGCAGTACGCACGCAGACACGTAGGCCTTACCACGTAGACCTCCAGCATCTTGCGGGTGCACAACATATATTCGCAACACACAATTAGGCCTCAGTTTACCTACCTTAGGTGAGTTCTCAGCGAAGAAGTATCCAACCTTCCGGGAGTCCTAAACAAATACATCTACGTAGCGTTGGTTGGCGCCTTTCTGAATGTACCTAGAGAGGTCGGGAACGGATGAGGACATGGCCTCCCCCCCTTTCTGTAGGTACCGAGTTGCCCCCTTCTCCCCCCCCCCCCCCCCTTTTCACAGAAACCGCTGACGACCTAGAATTGGTTACCAGGCAGTAGTCGAAATGTAATGCTCCATCCATCCTCCCGTCTTCGACGGCATTAGTTGCCCGGCATCTGACGAAGCCATCTCCAACGCACTGCCCAGGCCTAGTATGTTAGTCGACATGTGCATAGGTGTTGACGGTAGTAGCATGAACATGTCGTGTTGCTTGATAGCCGCTGCTTTTCTTTTTTTTCGTCTTCTTTTCTTCGTTATCAGGTTATTGCGCCTATGAAGGTGCTTAGAATCTAGACCCTGATCCCTCGCCAAGATTACGCCAACCGAGCACGTACCTACTCATACATAAATACCTGGCTGTATAAAGGACCCTTACCTTGTTGTACGTAGGTACCTAGGTAGGCACCTCTGTCTGTAATTCGCGGGCGTCCGCGTAGGTACCATGCGCGCATGTTTACATACCTAGGTACCTACCTAGGTGCCTACCTAGGTACTTACCTCCTAGTATGCACGTCGCTATGTGACCGGTAGGCACCTCAGGCGGGTGAGCAGGCATTTGCATACCGCCAGTATTCCTCTGCATAGGTCCTCATATCTAAATCTGCCGCGACCTACCTGAATCTACCTTACCCAATTCCTTCTCCATCCCTGCCCCTATCCGGACCAGGGCTGCCTGTTGGACCGATTTGGAGCGACTACCTACGTGTGGTAAGTGCTGACGGGGGGAAAGACACGGGACCATCTATAGACGCACTAGAAGAAGCCTCGAGAATGTGATGCTATCGCCCGTGGCTTAGCATCCGCAAAGGAGGCACAATTACGTACCGGAGGCAGGTCAGGAATTTGGACGGGGATGGATGGGGTGTAAACAGCCCGCCTACCGCCATTACATACAGTCGTCGTAGCCATGGTCAGCCGCTGCGGGAAGCAGAGGTCGGCGCCAAGCAGGCATCGCCTATCCGGGTCCGACATGTCAGTGTCGTGGGGAGCGAGTGGGTTGCGTATGCAGGGGCGAAGCCTCTACTCATAGTGGGCGCGCGACAAGCCCAACTCCTAGGTACATACACGCAAGGTACAGGTGCCTTTCCCGTTGGGAGACCTCAGAGAGTGTTAGGTACCTAACCGCCTCCTTACCTTAGGTACCGAAATCATCAACCATCTATCCCAGCATCCATCGCCGATTAGCATGGCGGTTGCCTATCGGCACGTACCTAAGGTAGGGTACGACTACGAGGTATAGACGTGATAGCGGTTTTCTTCTTTTACCACGTTTCCTACCAGCTAGACGTCATGCTATCTTTCAAGCACCCGTGTTTATCTATGTACTATACATACCTACATTGGGTGCCTTACTACCTATATATCAGCTGGCTTTCTGGGCGGTAGGGAGGGGTTACGTAGTGCAACGGGTCACAAGTAAGTACAAGGCATCGATCATCGATATTGGGCAGAAATTGGTTGCTATTCATTAGGTAAATGTCGTTTCGGTTGTCCCCCCGAGGCCCTGTGCTGCACTCACAGCAACTCCAAGTAATTTCCAGCACGTCGTCGTTCCCCTTAGGCCTCATGTATTCGTCCATGAAGTGAATTCGTGTGGATAGGGCAAATGCAAGTCGACAGCAAGTCGAGCTGTTTGGAGCGGTCAAGTTGATAGATTATGTAATCAGCTTGAGCGAAGTCCCGCTTTCGGCTACTACCTCCTTAGGTAAGTCTACTCATAAGGCGGGGTCCAAGGGAGGGGCATTTGTGGCGCGGGCTTCCAGCGCTATGTTGTGGCTGTAGCTGGCTTACCGCACCCGAAGCTCTCTGTTTCGTTCATTTTTTCGTTCCTCACCTCCCGGCTTATCAGTCTTATCGGGGTGAAGCTTCCCGAATCTGGGCGATCTTTCTAGGTCCTGCATCATGACTAAATCCTCCAAGCATTAGGATAGTGGCGCCTTGAAGGGGTTTTATTAAAATACGGCGTGCCTAGATTCTATTCCACAACATCGATTCCAAAAAAACAGAGCACGGAGCGAGAGCAGGTTTCCACTAGCACTCATAGACACCCATAGTGTGCACATCCATCCGTTAGCTTCATTACCCGGCTCTTGTCGTCACCGACGAGGTAACCACATAAGTAGCAGTTGCAGCATAAAATAAGATCGCCATGGACAAGAACCTCAACGAGCTCCTCAGGTGGGGCATCGAGCACTCGACGCCCTCCGACTCGGCGGCGGCGCCGCAGCACAACTCGTCGCTCAACGCGGCTGCGCTCGCCTCCATCATGGGCGCGCCCTCGGACGCCGAGCTGATGCGCGCGAGCATGGTCGCCATCACCTCGGCCGACGCCGACGTCTCGCTCGAGGCGCGCCTGATCGCCTTCGACAACCTCGAGCAGCTCGTCGAGTCGCTCGACAACGCGAACCTGCTCGCGACACTCGGCCTCTGGTCCCCGCTGCTCGCCCTCCTCGCCCACGCCGAGCCTGACCTCCGCCGCATGGCCGCGTGGTGCGTCGGCACCGCCGTACAGAACAACTCCCCCTGCCAGGAGCGCCTCGTCGCCCTCGGTGGCGTCGAACGCCTCGTCCGCATGTCCCTCGGCGAGCGCCTGCCCGCCGAGGAGCCTGCGGCCGACACCGCGGGCGGCGCCAATGGCGACACCAAGGACGAGGGGGGGCAGCGAGAGGAGGAGGAGGCTAAAGACGTGCGCCGCAAGGCCGTCTACGCCTTGAGCTCCGCGGTGCGAAACTACCAGCCTGCCCTCGATGTCGCCGCAAGAGAGCTGCGGAAGCGCGGCGAACACGTGCAGGACGGCATCGACGCCGCCGATATGGATGCTGTGGATGAGCTAATAAACGGTCTAAAGCAGAGAGCCGTGGCCGCGTAGCTCCTAAAACTAGTCTGACGACGGGTTTTACGAGGCGAGCTCAAGAGGGGAACTAGAGTAACCGTGGCATTGTCGGCGTTCAACGGCGGGTACACTTGGGCAATGATTCCTTTTTATATATGAAAAAAAAGGGGGGGGGGGTGGAGAGAGGTGGAAGGTGGGAATTGTCGTCTCCTATTGTGTCAAGAATCCGCATCTCGGCAGCAAAGTATGCCTTGTGACAAGGCGGAGGAAGATAAAAAGGCACTATCTCATCTTATAGATGGATTTGTTTTCTTTTGGGGTTATCATCGTACAGCTGTGTTTTACAACCGTCTATGGCGCCGTCCCTCCACATGGAAGCCGCGCGCGCGATGCCATCAACATCTTACACCGCGTACAAACCAGCCGGGAGCAGCCGCACGTCTCGCTACCCGCCTAGTCCACCAGCTTGCCGTGGAAGGGGATTCCCAGGGCCATACAGAGCAGCCTGGCGTGCCTGTCGGATTTGGCCGTGGTCTCGAGCACGAAACGGCAGCCGGAGATCATCTTCGACGGGTATAACTAGACGTACACACGCGCATAAGTCAGGAGACATATTTCGCCTTTGCTGCCTAAACGTTTCCGTGGTCAGGTGCTTACAGAATAGTTGGCCTCGATTTCTGGGAAGTACATCATGTCTTGCGGGGTGAACCCCCAACCGATGTTACCGGTGCTGTCGCCCGAGGTGCCTAGATTATCGTTACCGGGATTAGTCGTCTTCTTCTTCTTCGTCCACCTCTTCTCGGACCCGCCGCTCGATACGAACCTTGGATGCCACTCCAGTCCTTGATCTTGGGGAATACTAGGTGGACGAGCTTGTCGACGAACTCGTAGGCCAGATCCCCGCGGACCGAGACCTTGATGCCGGTCCGGTCGCCCTCGGTAATAGACCATTGAGCAACACTGTGCCTGATCGTCGTGATGGACGGACGGACGCCCGTGATCGTCTGCAGCACCGACCTTCCGACGATGAGGTGGTCTGGGTTGTGCTTCGCCAAGGGCGCGTATATGGCTAGATGCACCGCCTTGATCTTCGGGATGTTTCTCCAAGTGATGCTCTTTTCGAGCGGGAAAAGGACGTCGCTACCCCGTGGTCCGCGCTTCGGCCGGTTTTTCATGTAGGGCGACGAATCGTCCCATTCGCGCAGTCGTATCCTTTCGGGTTTTGGGGGTGTCCCCGGGGGGACGTGCTGGTAGGCGAGCGTCATGATATCGGAGGCCAAAGTCGATTGGTAGGTCTCCTTGAGTCGGGGAAGGTTGAAGGGCCCAGGCACAAAATTTCGGGCGACGGGATCTGAAGACGGCGGCGGTTGAACAGGGTGAAAAGGTCCTCGATAGAACTTTGGAGGATGGTATCGGTATCTATGCACGCACGCGAGGTTTTCTGTTAATAAATATCCTCTCCTTCCCAGTCTCGGCTAGAGCTCCACCCTACCTCTCGGGGGGGAGCTCGAATTTTCTGCGGCTTGCTCTCTTTCGCGGATCGACGACCTTGGCGTGCTCCCTTACTACGATCGGCGACTCCAAGCTGGAATCCTGCTCGATGTCGGGTATCACTGGCGCAGTCGGGGAGGTAGAGGCGGCGGCGGCGGTGGTGGATGCGCATCTCTGTAGACTCGCCGGACAGGGCTGCCAGCGCGACGGAGGGCCGAGAAGCTGGCGGCCAGCGCGAGGCATCCCCCGCAGCGTCGCCATTGTACAACGGCGAGCCAACGCGAGGGGTCGTGGGCGCAAGAGCTGACTGTCGCGGGTTGCTTCTTGGTCAATCAACCCACGTCGTCGCAAAGCTCAGGTGGTGCACATGCGCAACTCGATGGAAATTTCATCCAACACCTACTACGTACATACCTATACCCGGCCCGCCTCCATGGCAGTGGGGAAATGGCCCTAACGGAACATATCGGCAAAACGAATGTCCGATAGCCAGGACACACACATACCTACCTGGTATTACCTGGAAGCCCACTGGTCAGGTGCCTGTAAGGGTAACTGTAAGGGTAACTGGTCGGTATGTCGGCCTTGACGAGTTAGCGGCTGCCGCCTCTATTTTTAGGTAGTACGGCCAACCCCACGTTCCCCGTAGAACAGGTCTGATCTAACCTCGGTACCTAAAGTAACAGAATCGGACTCACTCGCCTGTATATGTAAGTGCTGCCTAGTAGGCTGAATGTTCCTCGTATAGATTTCAGTGATGCCCATTGCCCTTGGTAGGCACCCAAGGCACGGAAACGGCCGACCAGCACCATTCCTTTCTTAGGCAGTGGGAGAGCTCTATTGACATTGGAACCAGCGCGGACAACGTTTAGAAATACAAGCAGGTAGCATTACATACTTATAATTGATCTACCTACCTACCATACGGAGAGATAAAGGTCTATCGACACTATGTCCAGGGCCGTTTCTATCCTTAAAAATAATTACTATCTACTAAAGGCATATTTATAATTATATTAACATAAATAAAATTTAAATTATGATATAATTACTATATAAATAATATACTTATATAAAAATTTCTTCAAAAACTAAATTAATTATTTAAATTTATATTAAAATTAAATTACTCTATTAGAATAAATATAATATTAAAATTAAAAATCAATTAAAAGTAAATATTAGATATTTTCTTTATTATAATTATATTATATTTTATAAATACATTTATTAATACTATATTATCATATATTATAATAATACTGTATTAGTATTATAAATATATTATCGATACTACCTCCCCCCTCCCCTCTATTTCTCTTCTCTCCTTCTATAGCGCCTTAGCTACTAACCTAGGTTTTGGCTCAATACCTGTAGCCTCTGTAGGTACCTTTCAATGCAGAGTAGGCCTGTCTGCTTTGCGAATCCTACCACATTTGTAGGTAGAAATTTACTACCCCCAAGCTCTGATGCCATTACATGCATGTATATACCTATTACCGACTACGTAAACGGGGGCCTGGTTCTGTTGCCTTTCGCCGATTGAGCATGATCTTCCCTCTGCGTTACGCCCGAGTTTACGTATTGCGGGTTAATGCTACTGTACTGTAATACTGTACCACGTACGCAGACTGAGACTGACTTAGGTGTACTCCCCAACCTTAGGTACCTAAACCTGCCTAAAATGCCTAGTAGGTAGGTACCTCCTAAGGACATTACGTCCTTTTTTAACCCACTGTATGGGGACGTTAGGCACTTTAGACGCCTACGGAGAATCTAAGTACCTACACCCCCTAGTCGCGGATGCAACAGGTGCCGCTGTGACATATTATACCTATATAATAGATGTAATACCTACCTACTTACCTACCTACCTACCTACATAAAAGCCGTCCTTGTGGCTTATGAGGAACAGAAAAAGAACAAGCGGCATTCTTGTACATCTGGCTGCCGACGTCGAATAACTTCCGTAACGCAAGTCTCCTCCTTCTTCATTCAGGCTGCAGCACATACGGCTTAGAGGAATATATCCGTTACTCGTCCCTTCCTTCTCGTCGCACGCTCCTGAAAGCAAGAAAGCGAGCGCTGAGAAGGCAACTGCTTCCCGCGGCTTCCCGCGGCTTCCCACCTCGACTCCGTCCCCATCATCACCGCGACCAGAAAGAGCGCCTCTTCCCAAGTTTCAACTTGCTCTCTTGGCCGAGGCACCTACTTTAGTACCCAGCTACCGCTGTCACCTCTTAACATCCTCCCTCCCCAATCCTCCTCCTCCTCTTCCTCCTCCTCTCTCACCGTTTCTCTTTCTACATCTCACTCCTCTTTTTAATCGTCTGGTTTTTTTGCTCCTCCTAACCCGGCCCTGTTCTGGAGAGTCGCGCGACGAAACCGGTACGATCTATCCGTTAAATCATGCAAGATCTCCTTCCATACCACCATCTCCAGCCTTAGCATCCAAGCTGCTGCAACCTCGGAGCCTCCTTTCCCCGTAGGGTCCCTCCGTCAACCCGCCTTCTTCCTGCAGGTACCGCAGGAGAGGTGTTCGTTCGTTTCTCGCTCTCTCGCCCTCTTCAACCCTTTCGCGACCGGCCGTATAGAGTGGTGTTCGACCCGTCATCGTCGATTCGAATATGAACCGAGGGTCGTTGGGCGGTGGTAAATAATAAACTGTTGACAGCGTGTCGCCTCTTCAGCCTCCCTTGCCCTGAACCGCCCGCAGACCGACCTCCCCCCTCGGGGTGACATGATGCGAGACGAACGGAACCCCACCATGAATCCTAGAAAGTTCCTCGGCCGCCGCGAGAAGAATGGCGATCACCGTCGCGGTCGATCCTCCGATCCCGCCCACAAGGTACATGAATAGAATAGCTTCACTATGCAGCCATCTGTCGGCGTCCAATTTGCTCTCGCTGACTCCTATTCCTCCTACTAGCACCGACCTCTATCCTCTGAATTGTTTCTTTCCCTGTTCAAATCCGATCCCACGAAGCAATCTCTGAACAGTGTTGCGACGGAGCAAGAAAAGGAGGCCGCCAAGGTTCGTCGTTACATTTTGTTTGCACTCCGAGTGACCTAGCCGTTGACCGCATGTGCCTGGATAGATCGAAGACGTACGACGACGAGTTTCCGAGCTAGACTTTCCCGTCCTGAGCGACGACCAGATTCGCTATTCCCTCGAAGCTGGTTATTCTTCTGGCGATGTCGACAAAGCTATCGAGCTGCTAATGTTGCAGCACAAGGCCCTCACTGGCAAGATCGTCAGTTACAATCCGGCTGTCCACATGCTCGGCGCCGAGAATAGAGGGAACGTAACCTGTTACCTCGACTCTCTCCTCTTCGCCATGTTTGCCAAGCTCGAATCTTTCGAATGCATGCTCAAGAATGACTCGATGGACGAGCCGCAGAAGCGGCTGGCTGCGCTGCTACGGCTTTGGATCAATATGCTGAGGAGTGGGAAGCTGATCGAAACGAACATGGTGCGAAGTCTCCCTCGGCCCTGGAGGGCGATGGTGGAACTAACCACGAGCAGACCGAGAAAATCCAAGACGCATTGGCTGCGTGCGGTTGGAAGGAGGCGCAGTTGCTAGAACAGCAGGACACATCAGAAGCCTTCGCCTTCATCACAGAAACTCTCCAGCTTCCCCTCCTTCCTCTGCAGGTTGACCTATTCCACCAAGGCAAAAATGACGATGCGGACCACAAGGTTGTCTACGAAAGGCTGCTGAATCTCGCAGTACCGTCTGATACCGACGGCAAGGGAATAAGGCTAGAGGATTGCTTAGAGGAATACTTTAATTCCCAGGTTGACGTTCTGAGGGACAGTCTAGACGAAAAGAAAGCTGAAGAGCGAGCTAAGAAGTCGCCGTCGACGCCGAAAGCGCCTGACCCTCCAAGCACAGCAAGGAATACCATTCGGATCGTTACCGATGACCAATACGACCCTTCTACGCCCTCTCCGCACGATGATTCACATCTAGAGCGAAGAGGGAGGGTATCCATCAACGCCCACGCCTCCACCATGCCACCAACCCCCGAAACAGAATCCTCGGGATCCCAATTAGCGTTGCGACGCCATCGAAGTCGGACGGAAAGCATAATCCAGCGAGTCGTGCTTGAGGAGCAGGGTAAATCTTCCGAGTCTGACACCGCAACCTTATTCGATAGAACCATGAGGACGGCGTCCGTGGTCACAGCCGTGACGATACCCGCCTGGCAATTCTTTAAGCTGATACGTATGACGGATCCTCACATATTCGCCGCTGTAACTTCGGGACTAACTTTGATTCTAGCTTGGCATTCGCCCGCGGGTAAAGAGCCGGAAAGCGACCTCGAGGTCGCACGGCACTTCAACCAACGTCCCGTTGTCGGTATCTGCTTGAAGAGGTACATGATGGATGAGAGGGGCATCATGAAGCGCCAGAACACATACATCGACATCCCAGACAGCATGCGGCTGCCTCATTTCATAATGGACGAGAGGCATGTAGAAGCTAACGGGCTGGCCGCTGATTACAAACTTGTACTTCAGTCTGTGGTTTGTCATCGAGGGGATTCGTTGCACTCCGGACATTATATATCGTTCTGCCGCATAGCCCCAAAGCTGCTTACTGATAATCGCAGACACGATAGCGACCCCCCTCCGGATTATGAAGAGGCTCAGTGGGTTAAGTTCGACGACCTCGCGACGGAGAACAGGGTAGCGCCGGTCGACGACATTAAACAATCGCTGAAAGACGAGATGCCCTATCTGCTATTCTATCAGATCGTCCCCATTGTGGACGTAGCGGATAGCTCAACGGAGGGCACCGACGCAGAACCGCCGTCATATAACGACGCTGCCTTGAATTTGACAAACTCGGAGACTTCGGCCGCGCAAAGCCAGGATAGACTCGTGGTGTCCCGTCAGCCTAGTAGCTACTTTGAAGGGACGGGTGCTCAGCCATCGTCCAGCGGCAGCGTGCGATTCTCGGCCGAGTTGGAGCAACTACCGCGTCGTAGTTTCGCCGACGAAGATGGATTCCTTACTGTATCTCGCCGAGGCAGTATCCCCAGTGACTTAAATATGACAAGTTCAGGGTTGTTAGCATTGGACGGGCCTTCGCCAGCTGTCACGCCGGGCGAAGAACCTACTACGGCGCAGAGGTTTAGCCGTGCGGCTGCGAGGTTCCGAGGCGGTAACAAGAGCCGACCACAAAGCCAAGCCGGTGAAGGCCGGATAAGCCTGACGGTGGCAAGAATAGGGGGTTTGATGAAACCGAGCAAGGAACCACTTAAAGACTCGGCGGCAACGGACACCGACGATGACTTCGAGCTTATTAACGCGAGTGAGCAGAGGGAGACGGATCTGGATACAGCTCCCGCTCAGAAGAGGGGCAAATCGGGCACACGATTTGATAAAGGGAAAGGAAAGGATAAGAAAGCCAATGTACCTGATAGGGAATGCATTGGTAAGTATCGCCTATGCCCGTTTCATCTTGCCCGTCCAGCCTGGGAGTCACCGCTACAATCTCCAAGAACCACGTATACTAACTTGGTATCACAGTGCAGTAGTACTTTTATTTCTGCCCACAGATGGGGCAGGTCTAATTGTTTTGATAAACGAGATACCCGGCAGGCGTTTGGCGATACTGAACTTTTGTCAAGTTCCACCAGGAACCAAGGAGAAAAAGAAGACACGGCAACGACAGTGACATGTTCCGTTTGTGGACGTACGCATACCTTTTCATACAGGTTAGGGGATAGAAACAAAAGGACTTGGGATGCTCAAGACCGGTTTGCATTAGTATGGTGCTATGGGAAGGGAAAGAGAAGTTTCATCTGATCATAGACAGAAGCGGGGGGGGGCCATCGATTCGACAGCCACCAGTGGCTTGCTTTAATGCATAAGAAAAATCGGCGGGCGTCCTGGAGCAAAAACGATATTAATATGATCTTCTTTCCGGCTGATCGATTTTTTCAGTTGATGGACTTTCTACATGCTCTTTATATGTGTGCGACAATGTGGAAGACGGAAGCTCATAATCTAATAAGCCATCTAATGCTATCCATCTATCCGTGAGCAATGCCCGCCCATACAACCCGGCGTCGTGGAGCCGCAGATAACAATGTGAGTCCGCCATGGTTTCGTTAAGCGAATTTGTAGGTAAGGGTCTATCTAGATAGGACGTTAATCTTCGTCTGTGATCTTGTCCCTGACGGCCTCGGCTGCCGTGTTGATCACCTTCTCGGGCGGCTTCTCGATAACGATCGAAGGCGCTACAGATGCCGACAGGCCGCCTCCGGGAAGTGGGGTTGGGGTTTCGGAAGCACTATCCGGAACCGGGATTCGGATGTCTTCCGGCGATCCAGGGACCGTCCTGGGATCTAGGCCTGGGATATGAATTCGCTTAGCCTCATTCTGGTATGCGCCTGGGATGACCTCGATGATCTCGTTGCGCGGGAACTTGAGGTTGGGAATGTCCATGGTGCTGCAGTGCATAAGATAGGCGTATAGCACACGTAGCACGCTCTCGTGAGCGATGATTAATAAGTCGTTCTGCTCACGTTCAAGCTCCAAGATTATGGGCTCTAGTCGCACAGCGACGTCATGATAAGACTCAGCCCGGGGGTACCGATGATGGTAAGGATCGTGTTCGTGCTTTTCAACCTCCTCTGGGTAGAGGCGGCGGATGGCTCGCTCGCTCAATCTTTCGCAGACACCCGGGTTGATCTCGGCCATCTGACTGCGCTGACGAACTTTGTATCCTAATTCTTTGAATACGTCTGCCGTTTGCAGCGTGCGCATGCGTGTCGAGCACCACACCGTAAGTGAACGCAATGGCGTTTCCGGACCGCCCTCAGTAACTTGTGATGCTTGTTCCTGCTCACGATGCTTGATCACTGTTTCGGTCATAACCTTGGCATACTTGAGCCCCTCTTCAGACAGCGGCGCATCGGCTTTATAGCTTTCTTCTTCTATTGCAGTGCCGGGCCGGACGAAGAATGTCGCTCGCGATTGAACATGGCTATTCGTTAGGTAGAAGACGATCCGGTGCGAGAGGTAGTTGAAGGATACGTTATTGTAGAAGAACGTCTCGCCTGCGTTGATCATCTTGATATAGTTTAGTTCTTTCTCATTCATTGTCTCGAAAGTAGGTATTTTGGTCTCTATCCGCTTCAGGTAGAGCCTCGCAGCTTCGTCGGGATCCATGTTGGCAAACTAAAGCTATATGTCAGTGGCCTTGAGTTACGGAGAAGAGATACAATGTCCTCCAGGCACCCTACATCAGGAGAGCCAATTTTGACATTACGCGCATTTTCCCGGAGTAGCGGTTCATTATCAACATATGACTCTAGAAACAAGGTCTGCAGGGTAGTTAGCGATGGGCCTAGATCATCGGTGGGTTTCCAACAGCAATATCCTACCTGGACGTCGTGCTTCGCAAACTCTTTGGCTAGCGAACGACGACCACTCGCAGTAGGATTTACCGCATCATATATTGCTACTTGGCCGTTCTCGTGGTTGAGCCAGCCGTAGATATCTTCTCGGCACTTCTTTAGGATCTTCTGGCGCAGTACAATAGAGGCCGGAGAGGCGTTAGGATAGAAGTAATCCTCGGGTACGTGGCCGCCTTGGCCAACGGTGGCACGACGATAATCTCCAAGGTGGAAAATCCGTGTTTTGACCCCCAGCCTAAAACATGTAAGACGGTATTCGCGGTGTTAGTGTGCCTAGCATACCATTGTAGATACCGAGCTAACGAGACAGCAATATGACTAGAGGAGCCGTCAGCGAGCGGTTTGAATGCAAGAGAGCTGGTCGGAACTGACGTTTTGCCCCGAGCGGGGAGTCCCACCATAACGATGGCGATACGGCCGGAGTGGAAGAGTCTCCCCGACATGGTGCTGTACAGTTGGGCCGGTGCCATATCGCCATCTTCCGGAACATCGTGTATGCCGTCGATGAAGGTACTGCTCTTGCGCCGATACCTGGGAGCGTTCGCGGCGATATCCGCAGTCCTAGGAGAATCAGTGTCAGATCCACCTCGATAATGGACGATATTGCCTAGGTGGATTTGCCGCTGCATTCTTACGAAAGGGAACACTTTGAAAGGGACAAAGAGAAGGCAGCAGCAGCGGTGTGTTGGTGATATAGATGATAAAGGTAACAAGGACTAAATCTTGCGCTACCCAAGGGCCCGCCAAATTCGCATTCGAAGCCGCTAGGCCGTAGATATCACGGCGGAGCTGAGGAGTTACATATTCCACCCAGTGAGAAGGATGATTTGGCAGCAAGTTGGTGCATACTTTGCGTCGTGCCTCTAGCACTAAAGTCGCTGTCTGGTCTCTCCCAGAAGGGAGGCCGAAGAGAAGGAGGGATCTCATTAAGCAAGGACGTGGCACTCACAGTAACGTATCCATCGTGGGAGCGACTCGCGGGGAGGGAGGGGAAGTCCTTCCTTTCTCTTCAGTTGTCTAAGTGGTCAGGAACGGTCACGGCAGCCCGTAGTGTTGGCGAAGGCGCAGCAGTCCGTGTGGTATAAGTCAAGCCTCCGGCCACAGAGGGAGGGAGAGAGTTTGTAAGGAGCAGTCTGGTTGGGAACTGTTCAGTGTTATGGGATGGAAGCTCCCTAGGCCTATGTACATACCTAGCTAGTCAGACGAGACTGCGTCGCTGGGCGAGATGACACGGCTACGCCGAAGTAAGGCGACAGCAGAGAGAAGCTATGCTCAAAAGCTGACTGAATAGCGCAACCGCCCGGTAATAGGACGGGATAGTAAGAGGAGGCGACCTTCGACACTAATAATACAGCAACTGGAGAGACAGCAACAGCGGGTTCGAGCGAATGAAGAGAAGGATGCCAGCAGCGGCTCGAGGCGGTTATAATCGCGTGACAAGGTCGGCCATCTAAAGGCTGCAACACTGGTACATCGGCCGGTTCTGTCATCAAGGTACGGGTTGGGGAATCCCGAGTGCTTTTTACATGAGGGTGATGTCGTCGATGGCTTTGATGGAGTCTTTGCTAGATGCTCTAGAGAGGAAAGGCGAAGGGTTGTCGCTACGCAATCGACACCGACCCATCCAGGCCTTAGGTAGTTAGGAGAGTACTAGGACGGGTTCGCCAAGATCTGATGTATGAGTAGGATGGGGAGTGCGATGATAGGAGGGCCAGGGAGAGAGGCGATGACCAGGATGGAGGGGGAAGAGAGCAATTGGAACCTCGGGAGGACCCAAGGTGGGGTACGTACCTCTGGCAAGGCAGGGCAAGGCAGGGCAAGGCAGGGCAAGGCAGGGCAAGGCAGCATTACCTAAGGCAAGGCAGGCAAGGCAAAGCAAGGTTACTTGCATGCCTCCATATATGCATAACCCCATACCCAAGACGGGCACCCGCACAAATGGCAGAATAATTATTCCGGGCGGTGAAAGTCCGGTGGGGCTGGAACCTCTCAAAGGAAACTAGGTAAGGTAAGGATGAACGAGTAGGAGCCTGTGGCTGCAGGCAGGTTATCTCACTGCCGCAAACCCCCCCCAAAGATTATCACAATTGACCTTTTTTTTTCCCTCCCTCGCCCGCTCCCCGTCGAGACAGCTGAATTCACGATACCCTCGACTTGGGCCCAACATCGCGTTGAGAGCCCGCACATCTCGGAGGCTCTCTACGTAGCATTCGTCACGCGACCTCATCCACAAACCTTGGGAAAGATTTGCCGCGAACAACGGGAGGGGATATTGGCGTACCTCTTGAATCGCTACTGCTGTGCATCGCCGAGGCCTCTTGCTGCCTTGCCTTGCCTCGCCTTCTCCCTCACCTCCCGGCCATGGCCTTCCATTCCGGGTCGCAGGCGTCTGGGTCGTCGCTCTTTGGCCTCCTCGCGGAAAACCCCATAGCCAATGCCGTCTCCGACGCCTACAGGTCCTTCTCGGACCGGCGAGGCAAGCTCGGCTTGTCGAATCCTGGCTCCATCGAGACAATCGCAAAGGAGGTCCAGCGCGAGGTTTCGGTCACCAATTATATGCACACCGGCCTGAGAGCCGACCTCACCAAGGCCGTTAGCCTGTCCCCGTTGTTCCAGGTCTCGCACCAGTTTGCCATGGGCGAACACATGAAGCCCTATGCCTTCGCCGGTCTCTTCGGCACGAACAAGGTTGGTTCGCGACAAGATCGCCCACGCCCCTCCGCTCCTCGTTTGGCTCGCGGTAAGCTGACATGCATGTTCCCGCACCGCTCCAGGTTTTCCTCCAAGGGAACATGGACAATGAGGGCATGCTATCAACGCGATTCAACTATCGGTGGAACCCCTCGCTCGTTACCAAGACCCAATTCCAGATAGGATCTCAGGACATGGCCTCGATTGAGCACGAGTACACCGGCGGGGACTTTACATCCTCTCTCAAGATGCTGAATCCTTCCTATCTCGAAGGCGGCCTGACGGGCATCTTCATCCTTAGCCATCTGCAATCCGTTACCCGCAAACTTTCCCTTGGCATCGAAGCCGTATGGCAACGCGCCGCGCTCAACCAACCCCCAGAGTCCACCCTCGCGTACTGCGCCAAGTACAAGTCGGACGATTGGATTGCGACGGCGCAGCTGCATGCTCAGGGCGCCTTGAACGCTACGTACTGGCGGCGCTTGTCGGAGAAGGTGCAGGCTGGCGTCGACATGACCCTGATGACATCTCCCAGTCCCGCTGCCATGATGGGGGGTTCTATGCGGAGGGAGGGCCTTACGTATGTTGGTGTTAAGTACGACTTTCGCATGTCGACGTTCCGAGCACAGGTCGACTCGGGTGGTAAGCTATCTTGCGTGTTGGAGAAGCGGGTTGCCCCACCAGTCACCATGTCGTTCTGCGCTGACGTGGACCACTTTACTGTGAGTTCGGCTCTCGGTCCCTAGGACGAGGGCTAGCCTTCCTTACTAACTCGTTACTAGCAAGCTGCCAAGGTTGGATTTGGAATCTCTATCGAGGCTGGCGGCGAGGAGCTGCAAGAGCAACAGGATGCTCTTGGCGGGCCCCAGGCATCTCCTAATATCCCCTTCTGAGTCGCCATCTCCGACATATTTGGATGACTCTTTACATAGAAGCTCCCCGCTCCCGCCATCGTACGCCTAATATACAACAACCCTGCCACTCGGTCATGGGCATTCTACCTGTCCGCTGGGAGCACCGGCGCGCTGGCAACCTCGTGCGATATCAGTTATTCTACCGCCTTGTTCTTACCAAGCCCATCCCCCACATAGGGGTGTGTGTGTGTGTGACATGGGCATTTCTCAGGCGGTTGGGGTCTGCAGACATCAATCATCATGGCTATAGACTTTATGATCATGCTCGTCATTCGCCGCTCGGCGAGTGTCGGCCTCGGGCTCGGGCGAGATGCCGAGCTCTGCCTCCTTTTAAAGAGCTTCTGGTGGAAACGGGCGAAAACGTGTATAGTAGGGATTGGACGACCACTAGAGAGGTGTCGGGACACCATGACATACGGACACACGACGGGGTCGGTGGTGGCCCGTGGTGTGACCGTCGACAAAATCCTCCGGAATGTATCACGAAGCATGTAATTATACCTGGCTGCTTAATACGGGCAACCTCGAAGTGTAGAAAAAAATATATCACGGCCACCTACAAGCATCTCCTCAAGTGCAAGAAAGTGAAAACACGTAGAACCCTCCCCCTCAAAAAAGAAACACACACGGTCAGATAAGGGACAAAGAGTCTTATGACCTCGGCGGTCCGTATATGAGCACTTAAGAGCTGGCAAAGTTCCATTCTGAGCAGGCTGGCATCACTAGCGGGAATTCAGACAATGGATGGGTCCCCACAAGATAGTATCGACTGCATTTCCACGATCGGCGACTCTCCCAACGCACCTCACACACCTGGCCGGAGACGACAGTTGGCAAAACGCGATTTGGCTAGGTGTTGACGAGAGTGGTTTAGGGGATACCTAAGGTAGGGGGAATAGGTGTAGCTATAGATAGGTAGAGCCATACATGCTACAGTATACTACCTAGGTAGGTAGGTGACGTTTGGCGATACAGAGAGGATCCGAAATGATGTCAAAAACGAAGACGGACGATAAGATAGGATAGCTCTTATCGATAGTGACAGGACCCCTGGCGTGATGGATGGATACCTGTAGGTACCGGTACGTGGGAGGTACATGGAATCGGTACGTGGCCTCACAACTCCGCCTTACTTGTTGAAAGAGGTCCATAAACTCTCACCATCACCCGAGTTGTCGCGACAGTCAATTGCCAATGCGAAATCTAGCGACCAACCCATAGGCGACACCGCTCCTGTCTATTCTGGGGCCACATTGACTTGCGCGCGACTGGCGAATTTCCCCCAGGACTCAGGCGTTGCTCGCCGTCTCGCCCGCCATGTACAACTCTCTGACCCGGATACAAAATGTATTCGGCTTCTTCACCACCGTCGCCTTCACCATCGCCGCCCTCATCGCTGCCTCTGACCTGATCGCCCCCCGAACCCCCAGCGCCTCCATAACCCCGACCAACATCCAGGTGTAAGCAGGCCATCCTCCCCTCCCTTCTTCCCCCCCCCCCCCCCCCCCCCCGGCTGTCTTCTTCCGGAACCCGTCCGACATGTCTGCTGGTGCTGCGGATGTGCGGAGAGCCTTGCTAACGCGTTCCACGACCGGGAGGGGCACAGAGTCAAGGGCCGGCCGCACTACTACAGCACGAAGAAGGAGGAGTATGCCATCATAAAGTTCTCGCTGGACGCCGACCTGTCGTCACTCTTCACCTGGAACACGAAGCAGCTCTTCGTCTACGTCACGGCCGAGTGGCCCGCCGACGGCGCCGGCGCCAACCAGACCAACAAGGCCGTCATCTGGGACACCATCATCACTAGCCCGAGCGCTGACCACCTCAGCAATCTCGGCCCCGTCGCCCTCAAGAAGCTGCGCCGCAGCGCCGCCGGGAAGAGCATAGACCCAAGCCGGTACGCTTACTTCCTCCCTGCCCTGCCCTGCCCTCTTTCCCTCTCCCCTTCCCCTACGGCGAGACGAGAAGACCGGATCCGCTAACGTCGGATCAAAAATCCTGGTCTGCGTGCGCAGAGGCAAGCTCTCGCTCAAGAACCAGAAGCCCAAGTACCAGATCACGCACCCGTCGGGCCACATCGCCGAGGTCGCCAACGTCACGCTGCGCGTGCACTACAACGTCCAGCCGTGGGTCGGCGTGCTGACCTGGAACCAGGAGGTCGCCGACCTCGGCCGCTGGAAGCGGCTCGACGGCGGCGCTAGCGACGCCTTCGCGCTCCCTGCCGTCAAGGGTGCCAAGAAGGCCGAGGGAGCCGAGCCGGAGCAGGTCGCTGCCGGCAAGAAGAAGAAGAAGGGGGGCAAACCCGCGTGAGGAGGACGGCGGGGGGGGGTGGGAGAGCGCGAGGGGGGAGAAAGGTTGGAAACGAGAGAAAGAGGAGGGCGAGATGGACGGCGGCAGGACACGAGAGCGCCGCGTCGAGGCTACGTCGAGGTCCAGGGCGGTTCGATGGTAGAAGGGCGGCGGCTACGGCATCTATCTCATTGATACGGCGCTACTGCGAACGGCCAGTGCATCGGGGAGAGCGGCGGCGCCTACCTGCCTGCCTACCTAGCCTACCCTCCCATTTCTGAGGCGAAGTTACATGCCTCTTCACCTTGTCGCCTGGCATTGCTGCGTGTAATGTAAGATCCCTAGGGTCTGGCCCAGGCAGGATTCCAAGGGGAATATAAGCCATACGGCGTCCCCCCCAATCCAACCCCAACCCCAGATCATTGCTCCCGCTTGTGAATGCGTCGCGAAACGATACGCCATACCACCCGCCCCAACTGGTGGTCTTTCCGTTGTGATTCGTAAGGTGGATAGGCGTGTTGGAACCCGTGATAAGACTACTTCGCATACACGGAATGCCGTGCCGCCGATATATCGCTATATGCCAGCTTATGCACATCCTCATGTCCTACCATCATCCCTCGGCCTTTTCTGCCGCCATCGAGGTAATGTACGTACGCAGGATAAATATTTGGAGGGCTAGCAGAGTTCGTGTGAGACATGACATTACGTGCATGCGCCTCAACGGTCCTGACTAAAGCAAGGTCCAGGTCCCGTAGACGCGATTCCCCCTTAATTCCGCTCTCGCCTTCGCCTTCTCTCTTATATGTGTCTGTCAACCCCTGGGTATATTGATTCGCGAAATGAAGCTCGAGCACACACCGCCGACGCCGTTTCCATGCATCCTATGCCCACATAGAAACATATCTACACGCCCATCATAAGTATGTATACACTTCGTACTCCGCCGGAATGAATTAACTCCGTTTTCCTTCCGCCCCCTTTTATCTTAAGCCTATCCCCAACACTTTGGCCGCGAGCCTTGACCGCGACATCTAGTCTGAAATATCGACGACAACGTGCGCTTCAATCCCTTCGCGCAGTTTCGCCGAAGCCATCTTGTCACCAGGCTGCCGGCCCGCGAAGGGACTTGCTATTGGTGCCCCTCCCGGATCTTGCTTTCCATGCTTACTATCTGGTCCATCAAGACTTTCGCGAGGCTTTATGGGGCTTACAGCCACCTCCAATGACGAGTTGACTCGCTCGGAATCGCAACTACTGGGAAGATTCATCTGCTTATGTTCTGGGGAGTCCTCGACGACCATGGGCTTTGTAGGTGAAGAGCCGCACGTAGAACTGGGCAGTAGAGGAATAAACTCCTCGGTCTCAACTTCCTTGGAATCGTCAACGCTAGTAATGGGAGGGCTGCCTTTTGTACGTGTGCTCTCCGTAGCCGGGGACTGAGGAAAGAAACCAGGAACATGATGCTCCCCTTCAGGGTCCGACGGCGGCCTAGATTCCGGATGAGCCGTTTGAGAGACAGGCAACTCTGTGGTGGGCGTGTCTACGGCTTCCACTGTGGCAGCAACTTCTTCCTTGATGAGTTCGGAAGCTTGCTGCTGGATGACTTGATCCCCCGTCGGCGTTGCGTCTTTCGGAGAGGGCGACCGCTTATTTACTTTATTCTTATCCGCCTTGGCGAGAGCGGCCTTGCGTTTCGCTTCCATGCGGGAGTCTTCTCGTTCTTGCTGTTCCTTCTGCAACTGAAAAAGCAAATCCCTGATGTCGTTTCTAAGCTGCGATGGCCGGAGGTCCCAATCAATGCGGTCATCGTGTTGGAGGAGACTCCGCACAAACGCGTCAGGGGCCTTAAGGAACTCTTGAATATATCCTAAGAGGAATAGACCACAGTCGCAGTGATTTGTTTGCTCAGGGACAGGCTTGGCAGTCATACCTAGGGACCCGAGCTTCGGTATTGCGATACCCTTCTTATCCTCGAGCTCCGCAACCAAGTACTGTTTCAGGATATTGCAAGCCGGCGAATGTGACAATCCCAACGAGTCGAGCGTGATAATCCTTGGTTGATTTACGTTGTACTTCCGAGGGGGTATACTGTGTCTCTTCGTTGTCTTCTTTCGCGGAGGGGTGTCGTTCAGCAGCGAAATCCGTCCTACATCAGCCTTACAATCGCTTGATTCTCTGATTACTTCGTCTGTCTTCCGCCGGCTGTCCTGACCCCTGGCTATTGGCTGCTTAGTCTCACTGTCTCGAGGTTCTGGGCTGTTAATTGACATACGGCTCAAGTTGTTGATCACATCGTTCTGTGTTGTAGTGGTCGTCGCAGCCTCCGCCACCACGGGCCCCGCCCTCCCACTACGCAGAGAGAGGGGGGAGGCGTCTCCAGAGTCGGCTATGCCGTCTTCGATGGTGATCGTGTCCTTGAAGTGGGTACCATCTATTGTTTCCTCTCCCCCGTCCGAAGAGGGGAGTAATCTTGGTGTATTGTAGATAATCGCAACATACCAGTGAGAGAACTCGTTGATAGGGACGATGATGTAGTCTTTGGTGAAGAGATCGACCTTAGAGGTCCAAGCCTTGACACTGTCGTAGTTAATACCCTGGTTCGCCCTCGCCGACTTGAGCTTCTCATAGAAAAACGTATTTTGGAAATAAATCCTCTGGGCAAGGTCCGGCCGGTCCTCCTCCAAGGAATGCTGGAGATACCGCAGATAAAAGACAATCAGATTATCATTTAAGAATTGGCCCTCGTCCAATCGCGGGATGTCGTCCTTGTCGACGATAGCTCGATTCTTGCCATGGGGAGGGAAGACGACAGAATTGCGCCAGCGCTTCTCCCAGCCTTTATTATTAACCGACCAACATTCGTAGGAGGAGAGATCGGAATCCGAAGGAGAGCTTTCCAGTGCAAACGTGGCACGAGTCGTATGCGATAGTCGCGGCAGCTTGCGGCGCCGAGACTCATCTAGCACAACCGCCCCGTCCGAACTCGGTAGAGACGTCGAAAGAGGCTTCATTAAATCCTTGGCCTTGGCCTCGCGGACTTGGTTACGCGGCCGGCCCGCAAATTCTGCCTGTTCAGCACGAGCTGCCGCATTGTGCTTGATAAGCTTCACGTCATCCCCTGGCTCGGTTGAGTACATGTTACTGTTCCTAATGGTGGTGTTCTTGCTCGCTTCCTGCATCAGGTGTGAGAGTTGTTGCTGGAGGCTGTCTCTGCGAGTACGTTAGTTACCTCACCATATAGACTAGTGGGTGGGCTTACTGAGAAGCGTCTTCCTCGAAACGTAGCGAAGGCACGCCTTCTCTGGACAATCTTGCCCACTCCATGAAGCGGTCCAGCTCCTCGTGAGAATGGAACTCGAGTATGAGCTTTTGGAGAGCACCCTTAGAGGCATCCACGGATCGTTGTATCTTAACTACACGACAGTTCGGGCTTGATGAAAATTCGACACGCAGTACTTTCTGGAGGTTGACCAGAAGGTATTCGCATTGTTCCATAGCTTTGCCGTTGGTGTCTGTCGGATGGAGGATATGGCTTACTGTCTGCAGCTTTAAATAGCATGCGCCTAGTTCACCAGCCTTTTCCGCCTCGTAGCCGCAACGACCCGAGACGGCCCGTAGAACGCGAAGCCCGGAACCAATGATTTTCCTGGCTGCATCCATATGCATGTTCGGCACGTCAACGATTCTAGGGGGGCCTTGAGGTCTAGGATGAGATAGAGGCGATAATTTTGGTCGTTTAATATCCGCCTTCTTAGATAAGCTTGGCGAGGGGGTAACGATCCGCCTAGTTGGCACTTTTTCTAGCATGTCTTGCTCATCCAGGGCCAGCTCATCCGGACTAGAGTCCTCAGGCTTGTGGATGCCCCTGCTCGCCCCTGCATCATCACGGGGTGCATCCAGTCTCCTGGAGCGACTCCCCATCTTCGTGGTGTATTGCTGGTTCTCTCTGTTCTGCAGCCTATGGGGAGCCGTCGCACCTTTGAGACTCTTAACTTCAACGTCCCCATCGCCATCCCCACCAATTTCATGTTCGGCGTCGATAGGGACCGTGTTGTCCTGCCATGGTCGTGTCACTTGAGAGTCGAGTGCCTTACGGCGAGATTTTTTGGGGGGGGGACCTCTCATAGTTCTTTCTACATCTCGATACTCCTGAATGGTTGCCTGCGTGCTAACAGTGTCAGATGAGTGCGACTTCACCCTATGTTGGGAATCGCTCTGGCTTCCGAAAGAACGTTTGCGATTCATGGGCTTGTCGCTAGTCTCACGGGAGGCAAAGTGGCAGGTAGCAGTCTTGGGTCCTTCAATCTTTTGCCGCTTCGCAGGCGGCGAGCTGGATCGGGGGCGCAGAGGTGACGGCCGCTGCGGTCCTAGCGGGTTTTGGCCGTGCCTGTTCAGGTTATTCATGGGCACAACCGCACCCAGAGAGCCGACATGTCCCTTCTTCTGCCTCAGAGGTTAGAACGCTAGCCCAAGGAGTGTATGTGCCAGGGATATTTACAGCATAGTTGGCCATGTTGAGAGCGCCTACCACGAACCGTTGGATGGCCTGCTTGGTACACGGAAGGGTAACCGTCGGTCAGGACGTTCGAGCACGGGCGATTGCGGAAAGAGTGATAGGTGAGGTTGGATCTTCGCAGGGTGTGTGCCTGGATGTACAGTTAGTAACGATTAGTGGGGGATAGTATCGGCTTCCCAGAGCCTACCAGTCGACATGCTTGGCCTTACGTTCCCGTCTTTGCAGCATAGAGGTATACCAACAAGCTCCGTCCCGGTCCCCTGCGCATGCGCGTCGCTTTGTCGTGCGGTGGTCGGCAAACGAATATGCAGAGAGAGGGTTGCTATAAAGCAGAATTGCGAGTCAGTGGGAAAGAGACGAGGCGAGACAAGGCGCAGAGGGAGGAGGAATCAAAGAGAGGGGGAGAGGGGAACAGAAACAGAAATAGAGACAGAGACGGAGGGAGAAAGGGCGATTTTGAAAGATTTCTAAAAAGGAATGAGGTGAGCAATCGTCAGATACCTCTTTTTCGTCTCTGCTTGAGGCAGGTGACAAAATGACAGCATAAATCCGGTGTCGTCGCGAACTCCCCCAAAGCAGAAGGGCAGGGTTGGCTAGGCGAGCAGCATGTGCTTATGTCGGTGGACGGTCGTTGATTCGTGAATCATGCACGGTGCCATCTCCCTTGGGGGGGGGGCGCGCTGGGATAAGAAGAGAGGGATACGGAGCTGGTCGTTGGCCAGCGGTGATGGATTGTGGTGATGGTGGTGGTGGTGGATGTTTGGTGGATGTTCTGCAGGAGCAAGCAGGAAGCAGGAGCAGGTAGACACCAACCTGCGGCTGCATACCTAGGTACCTAGGTCCCTCTTTAGCCCTCCCCCCCCCAGCCTTACCCGGTTTCCACGCACACAATTTACGCGGCTCACGCGCGTAGGGGGTACTTCGTAGGTACCTGTGTACGCCCACGTCTGTCTGTGGAGGTTGCCGTACCTGACGACCTACCTAAGGTACCCGTTAATTCCCCCTACTTGCTACCAGCTGGTGCCAGGTGCTGCGATGCTACCTAGGAGGTAGGCACAGGTAGATAGGTTGCTAGAAATACCTCAGGTACCCAAGGTACCTAACATATTCAACGCAGACTACAAATAACCCCTCTAACACAACAACTCCCTTATATACCTAGGTATATCCATAAAGTGCAATTCCTAGCAAGTTGCCTACCTACCTAGGCGGGCACATCATCCATCCACCACCTGATACATGCACACATACACCGCAGCGCATACACGGTACACCTACAGCACTGCTGGTAGGCAGATGTGTATACCTTGGGTACCTGCTAGACAGTCAAGCAGAAGTTAGGTAGGCACGTGCGCATGACTAAGTCAAGAAGAAGTTGTTGGGTAGGCATGATGACCAGATTCCCTCCTGTGCGCCTCCTTTAGCTACGAGATGACGCCGCGACAACAGGGCGGTGGCTAACGCTACACTCTCGGAATCGACGTCGCCGTCGCTAGTCGGTACAGCTCCAGCCTATGCCCGGCGCCGCAGTATTCATACCGATCTCCCGCGCACACCATCGTCTGGCAATCCGCTTCCGGCGCCGGCTCGCTGAGGGGGTCTAACGTATCGCCGCAGTAGCACTCGCGGCCGTACTCTGCCGCCCAGTACGTGAAGCCGGCGCAGTGAGCCGCGCATTTTTCCAGCGTCATGGCATCATCAGCGTAGGACGACCCTGTCAATGCGCGGCCGCCCGGTATTTCGGTATAGCAACCCACTCGGACGTACGGCGGAATGGTCGGCTTAGGGGCCAGCGTGGCGGTCGGCGCCGGTTGGCTTGCCGTGGTGCTGTACAGCTCTAGTCTGTCACCTGCTCCGCAGTACTGTGTCGCATCTCCCCCGCAGACCATGTTGCAGTCGGCCAGGGGCGCGTCTTCGCTTGTCTGGTGGAGCGAATCTCCGCAATAGCCTGGGTATCGGGTTAGCGAAAATCATTTCTCAGTAGGTCCCGTCGTCCGTGGGGGACTTTACATTCTCGGCCGTACTCTGTGCCCCAGTATATGTACCCGGTGCAGTTATTCATACAGGCCTCCAGCGTCATGGAGTCGTATGCGAATGCGGCACCCCCGAGAGCTCGAACCCCTTGCACGGTGGATTCCGTTCTGCACCCCAAGAGCGTGTAGCCACCAAGAGTCTCTCTGTGATATAACGTCTCGGTTGGCCCGGTGGGTGAGGTGCTTGTGCTACTTATAGTGGCGGATGAGGTCGTGTCGACGGAAAGAGTTGAAGACGACGTGACGCCCACTGACGAAGTAGTCGACGACCCAGGGGGCGTCGATGCTTGCCCCGTCGTGCACAGGGACGACGGGGGATCTTGAAAACTCCGGCAGGTCCCTGCTAATTCGCTCGCAGCATTGAAGTCGTCGCTCAAGGCTGAAGAACCGCTCCCGCTAGTCACCCCGATCCTGGACGCGTACGCAAGCTCGCCCAGGCCAGCGTAAGTCGCCGTGTAGAAGGTGTACGAGCCCACGCAGGTTCCCTCGGTCATGAGAACGGTATCGTTATTGAGCCTGGGCACTGGGAGGTTTGGGTTTCCGGTTGGTGTTTTATACGAGATGAACATGCTCACAGGTAGTGATTTGCGGTCGTTGCGTACCTAGAAAGGGGGAAGGGTCAGCAGCTCCGTACATAAACAAGGGCACGAACGCCGACTTACAGCTGCCGTTACGGTCGATGTGCCTGAGAAAAGGCAACTCTGCGGTTTCTGGATCAAGATGGCGTCCTGTATAGGATAGGAATTGCCATTATTATCGAACGTCTGGTCCGCCCCGCTCGCCATATGCAGAGTCACTGCAAAAGATGAAATACCCGTCGACGTTGAGATAACAGCGTCAATAGGGAACCACTTCGACATGTTAGCTATCGGCTGGTAAATAGGACTCCTAATACCCCGTGTACTTACGACAAACTGGTCGTCGAAACCCTGCGTGGCACCCAGGAGAGAGGCCGAATACTTGCAGTTCGTGCTACCGCAATTGTTGCCTCCACTTCGATCCTTGTATTCCAGTGTGAGGCCAGAGACCGAATCCCCACCCAGGTTAGTAGTTCGTACGCGTATCAACCCAGTCAACTGCATCGTCGCGGCTCCAGAGTTCAACGTCAACTGCATATTAACGGGCTTGACAAAATAAGGCTCTATAGGGTCCGATAGGATTACGCCAGCAGGCACCGTATCGATCATCTTTTTGAGAACGACTGCGCACACGTTATTGAACTCGGTCGCATCGGCCATCGCCCTAACCGTCACGTTGGCATCGTAGTTAAAGACTTTGAAATCGGCGTTCCTCGTGGCCCTGACCGAGGGCCCAACCACCAAGGGATTGGTTGTGTTTCCGGCGATATATTCCGTAACGACCTTGTTGTCGAAGATCGCAACTGTCGAGTCCAGAGGCGCTTCGCCGTTCGCCGTCGACCCAACGGGGACAATCTCGGGGAATTCGTTCTCATGAACGCCACCAATAGAATGGCCGCAGGCGGTGACTTGAATCATCTCCGTCCTGCTGAATCCCATTCGCGTGAACTGCTGCTCGAAGGTAAAGGCAGTGTTTTGTGGTAGCGGGACTCCTATTGGGCCGGCTGCCACAGCGTCGACTCTCCCGCCCGTGATAGGTACCACGGGGCCACCGCAAGACCTGACAGCGTAGTATACGCCCAGGGCAAGTAGATCCGCCATGCTCGACCGACTCGTGTAGTATTCGGCCATGAACTTGAGGGTCGTGTTGAAGGCTGGGCCAAGATTATCCGAACTGGTCAACTCATACTGCAATGAGGCGTCTAATCCACCACGTCGTACACCACCCAAATTCGTGGTTGTTGCCATGTCGTGAAAGGCTGCGCGTAGCCATTCTGCAGCGTTGTGTCGACCGGGGCCGGATGCTTCGCTGGAACATGGAATAACAGTTCCACCAAATTGCCTAGCCCTATATCCTTCGACTTGGTACATAATCTCCTCGAGTTCGTCATTCGGGGATGGCCAAGTCGGGTCCGCCATCGCGAGGGTGCTCAACGACAGTATAACCCCCCATGACGAACGGCGCCAACGCATCGTACCAGACAGAGCCGTCCGGAATCAGATATTAAATATTAATAAATAAGTTGCCCAAAGTAATACACTACCAACGGTCTCTATAGACAGACGTTTGAACGGGGAAAAGACAGGAAGGAAAGAAGAAAAGAAAGAAAGAAGAATGGTTGAACTTGAGCTCCATATAGCAAAAGTGATAAGAGCCACCTCCTTTCAGGCCTACACCGTAGCCCCTTTGCCATGACACCTGCCATGGCTCGGGTCCCTGGCATGGAAATGAGTATCGCGATATGTGTTCCGTAAGACAGGATAGTGAGCCGCCCAAGACCGGCAGCTGCAGGGCCCCTGCAAGGGAAGAAAAAAAATACGAGAACTCGCAGCAATGCAATGCTACCTCAAGTAGTACCCGAAAGAGGATTGGCCGCTTCCCATCGGACAACGTTGAGAGAGCCTTAGGCGGCACACGTCCATTAATAGTTGAAGTAACCATGAGAGACCCGTAAGCCACAAAAGTGTATGGTATGTATGGATGTGCTCAGCTGCTGGCGTCGATCCCACGCACACCCCTACCGACCTTTCGAGATTCGCGCCCCCCCACCCTCATGCCAGCATGGCGCGGCCAATGATGCGGGTAGCATTCGTGATTATGCCTTCCAGACGCGGGCTTGGTGGCTCGTTAAGAAGTCGGCCACATCACATGCCCAGCCTGGCGTAGGGTTCGACGAGCCGAAGGCGAGTATCTCGAGGCATGTAGTGAGGTTGACGGCCCAGTCTCGATGCGCCTAATAGCTCCTGGCACCGGAGTAGCATCTCGACGTCGCTTTACCGGTGACGAGCTGTGATCTGCTCGGCGGCAGACAATTTCGCATGTATGTATGCAATCCAAAGCTGGGCTGGCCCGGTCGCGTACGACCGCATTGGCGACCTTGGCAGGCAGATGTGGAAGTGGTGAAAGACGACCCAAAAGAAAAGGGATACATCAATAGATCCTCAGGTTAGCAGTCTGCAGGACAGCTGACTTGTTAGCGTTCCAAGCCTCGGAACACCAGGCTCCATACTGGGAGTGATGGAGCAAATCCCATTTGGGGGGTAAGTCCACGCGATAGGCGAACGCATGCGTGCCTATGCACATACAAGGACGCGTGGAAGTGGCTGGCCGACGTGTTGTGAGGCCCGGGTGGTCGGGTCGCCAGGATAACAACGACTCGTCCCATTTCGCTGACGGTGACGGTAACGGTGTCTCCACGAATATATACCTACCTGCTTAGCATACCTACCTGCTTAGCAGCAATAGGTAAGAAGGCTCATGTTGAAGGAGTCGAGGCCCGGACCGACAAGACCGTTTACTGTTGCAATATTGGACGGTAGCAGGAGAACAGGATTGACGAGCCATGCGAATCCCGACAGGTTGACCGTTCACACCTACCTAATACTTAGGAAGGGGGCAAAGCGAGGATGGAGAGAGCGCCACCACGAAATTACCCCGGAGCGAGCCGCGATAACTTGAGTGCGCCCGAGATGACGAGACCTAGCAGTTACGAGCGACGCGGGGCAGCTGAAGCTGCAGGAGAGGACGGAAATATAGGTAAGCGGTGGGTGTTCTACGTGTAGCATGGAGGTGGAAGCGGACCAGAACTTGATAGGGACTCGGGAAGCGAGCTTCGGTCATGTTTCCTCTTCCTGGTCGTTATCTTCTAAGTTGCAGTGACCGAACCAGGTAACCTTAGGTACATTAGGCACCTGTGGCTTATTTTACCATGTAGGGCTCCCCGTAGCGTATGCGATAATACGCCTTGGCTAGGTACCTGCCCAGGCCATATAAATGCTGCTATCGATACTACGCGTCAGGTGAGGCGTCAGGTGAGGCGGATAGGTACAGAGATCAAAGATTCGCCAACCAGGGTAAGAAAACGCGAAGCATGATGCCGACTCTGGCCTATGGGAATAGGTATTACTTTTATACCTGTCCCTGCTTACCAGGTCCCTAGTTGATTACCTGCGTAGCCTGTGAGCTCCACACAGGACACGTTCCCCCTCATCGCTACAACAGCTTATAACGCAAGGTAGAGGCAGCCAGGCTTTGCCAACCAACATTCTCAAGGAGACGAGCCGAACGATGTCTAGGTAGTTGCTTTGTTGAGCAGAATAACAACAAGTTGGCTGGGACCGGGCACAACACCGGGGCAGAGCGGTGCCGATAATCATTATTTTGCCGCTTCGGAAAGACGAGAGCTCACAGTTGTTTTCAATCCGATGGAAGCCCTAGCTTTCATCTCGGAACTCAGATTCTTTTCGCATATAGGTACAACTCCCAATAGTATACCTCCGGTGCCCGAGGCTGTTAATCCTTGTCCATTCCTCACTTTCTCTGGGGATCATTGTCTGGGAACTTGATGCTAACATGCCCATTTTCTTGTAACGAGCGACTCGGTGTTCCCCAACATCAAAGTGGTGAAAATGAAATTGATAGAGGTCCTAAGCGTAGCTCCAGCCAACTGTGACTTTACAAGACCACTGCTTCTTAGCCAGATAGAAGTTATAGGACGACATGCCGGAGCGAAAAAGACAGAGTCGTGCCTATGTATATATTATGGGTTTCCTTCTCTCCAGGTGTCCCCGAGGCTTGCTTTTCCCTTAACTTCTCAGGCGACGTAATGCCTATAAAGGAAGCCTAGCAGGGAAGCTTTCTCATAGGTAACGATACCCCTTACAGTCACGTTATGTGATTTGCGCTATAGAGCCTCTTAGCACCAAGTGCTGCAACATATCCGAATTGGTGTAGTGGCCAACATTTGACGCTCTCATGTTCTGAGGACCGTCAAGCCCGGGGTTCGATTCCCCGATTCGGAGTTGTTTTTTGGAACCTTCCCCCATCCACCCCCGGCCCCCCTCTTTCCTATTCACTTTTTTTGTCTTCATTCTCCATGTCCATGGGCACATTATATTCCATAGGCGTGTTCTTTTTTCTAGCCATGGGCTGTACTTGTTATGGTATGGTGGTGGTACACATTACCCCTGTGTATGACGTACATAGGTACATTATATGTACCTAGGTGTACTCGAGGATTTGTGGAACGTCGACAGTAAAAGTGGAGTACTCTCCCGCGAAATGTTGCTGAGCCCTCGTCTAAACCCACAAGAAAATCAATTTAGAGGAGGGCGACCGATTTTTCGACTTTCTCCAACATCACCACACTGATCCCTTATCTCGAGACCGTCAACCACCAGTGTCCAGGTATGCTTGCGCAAATTAGCCTCCCTCTTCCCCTCGGAATTTATACGTGACTTTCTTTCTACTCGCAAAATCTTCTCGCGATCCACCAATTCGCTAACATCGACACCGCAGAATTACGATCTTCACGATGGCCTCGAGACCGACCGTCACCATCATCGGCAAGGATGGCTCCCCTTCGGGAGCCACCCACACAATTCCTGCCGTCTTCTCCTCACCGATCCGGCCTGACATTGTCCAACAAGTCCACACCGGAATAGCCAAGAACAAGCGGCAGCCGTATGCCGTGAGCGAGAAGGCCGGCCACCAGACTTCAGCCGAATCTTGGGGAACCGGTCAGTCATGGATACTCAGCGCTATGCCATGGGCACGCTCCAAGGTTTGATCGCTCGGGCAGTCGCTAATCGAGTCCATCCAGGTCGTGCTGTTGCCCGTATCCCCCGTGTATCTGGCGGTGGTACCCACCGCGCCGGTCAGGCCGCCTTCGGAAACATGTGCCGTTCTGGTCGCATGTTTGCCCCCACCAAGATCTGGCGAAAGTGGCACGTCAAGGTTAACCAGGGCCAGAAGTGAGCAGGAAACATTTGCTCTCGTTCCCAAGTACCGAGACTGACGAAAACCAGGCGATTCGCAACTGCTTCTGCTCTCGCCGCCTCCGCCGTCCCCCCGCTATTGCTCGCCCGCGGCCACAGGATCTCCACCGTTCCCGAGGTCCCTCTCGTTGTCGACTCGGCCGCTTTTGAAGGAGGCGCTGCTTCTAAGACTGCCGGTGCCCTTGCCATCTTGAACGCTGTCGGTGCCGGCGCTGATGTCGAGAAGGCCAAGAGGTCTAAGAAGCTACGTGCCGGAAAGGGTAAACTGAGGGGCCGCCGCCACCGCCAGCGACGCGGCCCCCTAGTCATCTACGACCCTGAGGTTGACGGCAAGGACCTCGTCACCGGAATCCGCAACCTGCCAGGCGTCGAGACCAGCTCTGTTTACGCCCTCAACCTCCTCCAGCTCGCCCCGGGTGGTCACCTTGGACGGTTCATCGTCTGGACCTCGGCGGCTTTCAAGGCTCTTGATACCATCTACGGCACCACCACCAAGCCTTCTTCCCTCAAGAAGGACTTCCTCCTACCTTCCAACGTGGTTTCCCAGGCTGACCTAGGCCGTTTAATCAACAGCTCCGAAATCCAGAGTGTCCTAAATTCTCCCAAGGGCGGTGCTCTGACCAAGCGTGCTGGTGTGCAGAAGAACCCTCTCCGCAACAAGCAGGTTCTGCTGCGCTTCAACCCTTACCACGCCACCTTTGTCAAGGAGAAGCTCGGAGAGCAGAAGGCGCAGGATGCCAAACCCCCAAAGACTCCTCAGAGCTTCTCGGAGGTGTTAGGCGAGAATTAGACTAGCTTGGTGAGCAGCATAGTCTAAAAGGTGGAAAACGGTGCATTAGTTGCTTTAGTAACGGCGGCGTAATGGCTCATAGGGACACGTGAATCAATGGACTTTTTTGATCAGGTCTGATCACCGCGGCTCCCCGCAACCCTTGTCCGAATTCCAACCAATCCGTGCTGTACTGTGTGTCTGCTTCCCGCGGAAGACCGAACTGCCTGACTTGATTGTATTCCAGCATTAGGTCTCGCTGTGCGCTGAGGGCACTCGGAGTTATCATCTGTTTCATTCCTGACCGTGCAGGCTAGTACTGGGCCAATATTAAAGAAACGATGGTTGGCAAGCGCTAGTGTAGGGGATGAAACCAGATGCTACCTATATATGCAATAGGTATATGTAATGTCGACGCAATTACCGCCCCTTCGTTAGATCGTGTAGAAAAGTCTGTAGCATGGATATCTTTCTTGAAATATCGTGACCGCCGTCTCTCTCCTTCCCCCTATCCCCCCCCCCCCCCCCCTTCTCTTTTCTATCCCCAGAATTCCTTCTATGGACTCGATAAAAAGAATATGCTACAGTATCGCTTGCCCAACCCCTCCCACGGCCCCGTCTATTTATATCGATATTTCTCTCTTAACACCCCCTCCACGTCCCCAAGTTTCCCATTCCCGCCGCCCCGGTCACGTCGGCGTGGTGCAGGCCCTTGGCCTCTTCGAGGATGGCCTCGAGGTCGTGCACGCTCTTGATGCGCCAGAAGCGCTGGACGCCGTCGCCGAAGCGGCGCGAGCACGCGCCGACGTTCTCCTCGGACTCGGCGGCGAAGCAGAGCCGGAAGTAGGCCCAGCCGCGGCGGGCGCGGATCTCGGGCGTCGCGCTGAACATGAGCCCCGGGCTGACGAGGACGAGGAAGGGCCGCCGCGTGAGGAAGATCATGAGCGCCGTGGCCAGCGTCGTGCCGTCGACGGCGCCGCCCTTCGAGCCCGCCGCCTGCCACAGCGGGTGCGTCTCGAAGCGCAGCCGCACCCAGACGAACATGCCGCCGCGCGGCCACCGGAAGTCGTACAGCCGCGTCTTCGTGATGACGCCCCAGTCGGCGTCGGCCTTGCGCAGCGGCGTCGACTGCTTCAGCTGGTACGCGCCCTCCTCGAGCGCGCGGCACATCCGCACCATGCGCCGCTCGTACTGGCCCCGCAGCCCGGCGAGCCACCGCACCCATCCGTCCATCTGCCAGCCGCTGAACGTGGACCGCGACCCGAACGGCAGCAAGGCAAACGTGCGGGCGGCCGCCTCCGGCTGCGGGCCCATGATCGTCTGCGCGATGACGACCTGCGCGAACCCCGAGGGCTGCTGCGTCGACGCCTCGCTGACGCGCAGGACGCGCTCGATGACGTCGGGCGCGCCCGTCAGCCACCCCATGCGGCACCCGGGGGCGACGGTCTTGGAGAAGGTGTCGAGTCTCACCACGCGCCCGTCGACGTCGATGTTGAGGAACGACGGCACGAGCGAGTCGAGGTAGGCGTATCCCGACTTCTTCTCGAGGGTGTTCGCCGGCTTCGGCTCCGGAACGGGCAGGTTGCGGGCCTTGGCCTCCTCGACTTCGGCCGACGGGAACTGGAGGTACCAGTACGGGTCGTCCTCGACGATGACGACGTCGTATTTGCTGCAGATCGCGTATATCTCCCTCCTCCTCTCGAGCGACAGGACGCCGCCCGTCGGGTTGTGTCCCATCCTACGATGATACCATTAGTTGATAAGCCCGCATCTCAAGGGAGGAGATGGTGGTACGAGGGCGCGCGTGCTTCGGCCCGAAAGTCACAGGCACCCTCTCTCTCCGCCCCGAGGGGGGTACGCGAACCCCTAAAAAAAGGAAGGGTCGTGAGTACAACTTACGTGACGGTATACAGCAAGTGCGGGCGCTTCCCCTTACTGTCGTCCCAGTTCGCGAGCACGTCCTCGAGGCTGCCGGGGCCGTGCGGGGCCATGCCCTCGGCGTCCATCTCGACGGGGACGACCTGGACGCCGCGGGGCTGGGCCTGGGCGAGCACGTTGGTGTACATGAAGACCTCGGACAGCAGGCCGGGGCGGTCGCGGGGGTCGTGCTTCCCCTCGACCCAGACGTTGGTGAAGACCTCGAGGACCTTGGCCATGCCGTCGGTCGCGCCGACGGAGAAAACGACCTCGGGGCCTCCCTGGTAGGGCACATTCGGGTGCAGGCAGTCGCGCGCGAACTGGCGGATGAAGGAGAGCAGGGGCGGGTACCCGTCCGCCTGGCCGTACTGCAGCGCCGTGGCGAGGTCGATCTTCTTGCGCGGGTCCGAGGTCGGGTCGTCGTGGGGCACGACGACGTGCGACGCCGCCGCGCTCGACCGGGAAGGGGGCGCGCCGTCGGTCTTGTCGTGCTCGCTCCGGTAGTTCGGCGACGGCGTCCACCGGTCCGGCTTCGCGGTCTGGGCCTCGAGGGTGTCGAAGGGGAATAGTTGCGGGTTGGGAAGACCTAGAAGGGACAAGCGTGCGAGAAAAAGGTCAGCCTTTTTTTTTTTTTGCCAGACTTCGTTTCTTTTTTTGTTCTTCTTCTCTCTTCTGGGGTTACGCGAACTCCGACTCCGATTCCGCCTCCGTGTTACTAGTAGATAAGAGGACGGGGGAGGGAGAGAAGGGAATTCGTACCACCGGCGAGCTGGCCTATGTTCGGGATCTGGAAGAACTTGTAGAACTCCTTCATCTTGCTCGGGACGCGGGCCTTGGTCACGTCGGAGAAGTGGTGGGACATGTCCTTGGGAGCTGGTTTCGCCGGGTCGGCGGCACTGTTGGTACCGGACATCTCCATCACGACGGCTGAAAGGTTGCGGTAAATCGGTGTGCACTCCGGCGTATCGTGGACGGGCAGAATCGATAAGTACCTAAGGTAGGCAGGGAGACAGGCAGGCGGGTGGGTATCGACTTCTCGTTATCCTTGCTCCTCTCCCTCGTCCTCGCTTTATCTCGGTCGGGCTCCCGGGGTTTACGGGTAGGCGAGTGGACGCATGTATAGGCCAAGACGGATGGGCGTACGACACGGCAGGTAGATGGGCAGTATAGTGGGTAGCTAGGGATACGAATATGGATATAGGAAGAGAGAGTAGCACGAGCTTTGGGAGACGTAATCTGGGGGGACCAGGTAGTAGGTATAAAGGGACGGGTGGCAGCAGAACAGGGCCAGGCAGGCCAGGGAGACGAGGCCGAAGAGCGGACGGACGGACAGACGGGTGGAGACTGCACGTAGCATAGAGAGGGTGTGTGTGTGTGTGTGTGTGTGTGTGTGTGTGCTCTCATATGCATACGATAGGTAGGTGCGCGATCCATGCGAACCCATACAAGTGGCCCATACCAGTTGTGTGCCCTTGACGTACATGTATATAAGGGCGTAGTAAGGGTGTAAGTGAACGAGCGTGGGGCAGACAGACAGACAGACAGACAGATGTAAGTGTGGTGTATGTCGGTACACGTAGATAAGCGGCCTCTAATTAGGAACCAGCCCTGCCCACGATCCTGTTATCACCCGCTCCCTTTCGCCAGGCTGGGTCTACCTGTTATCTCTAGTCCAGTCGACGGCCAGGGGAACACTGTCGTTGTCCAATATGCCCACGACGCCATGCGAGGGATACGCCACGAACCTACCTATCTATGTGCCCTCTTTAGGCGCCCAACCTATACCACCTACGCATGCAGCATGCGTAGACGGGATAGGAACACCTAGGTAGGTCTGGACAGGCTCAGATTCGGAAAAGACCATGGTGGTTGGCGTGAATGAGAAGATAGGCAAGATGGGACATTGTTGACGTGCCAAGGTGTTTCGGCTGCTGACAAATCCGGCCACGGTACAGACCTTAGGTTAGGTACACTTTCGACCTTTTCAGGGGTTCGGGGTGCTGGCCGGCCCCTCTTTAGGTAAGTGTCCGAGCCGATGCGCGACGGTACTGGTCAAGCCAAGATAGGCGCAACCGCACCCTCGTCTTTCGCAAAGAACCCGCTCGGCTAGGTCGAGTGCGCAACTCCGATACCCGACCGAACCCGGGGCCTGGTGTGTATCGCCCTCTTGCATATTAACCCCCATATGTCTGAAGTTGGAGGTGCCTATCTAGATATGTCATAATCCATTCATTCTGTTTCATAAGGCTACGACAGCTAAGATGGCCACCAAACGTCGTTGTTGAAATTCTTCGGCTATCCGGCCCCTCTGTAAGAATACATGGCATTTCAGGCTCTATTGCCTGCCTTCGCACGAGGGCTCAAGTAACAATAGTGCCTCCCCGCTCTGCTACGACAATGCGAGGTATATACCTCAGGCACCTACCTAACCCGAGGCGCGCCGTCGCCACCTGGGTACCTAAGTGCCTACCTCCTACGCCCGCCAACTGCACTGCCGTTATCCCACCCAGGTATCGAAACGCGGGGCTGCATGCAGGTACTCTCTCCCCCACTTGCCCAGGTGGGCTAGGTACCTGAGGGCCATACTCGTCACCTCCTAAACCTCAGCCACACCAGGCTTTATCTCACTCCCCGTGAGGCATCAAAACTCGACCGAGAGAAAAAAAAAACATCACAGCAGCTCAACCCATTTCTAACCCAAGAACGCGCCCTCACGCCCCGGCCATCGTCCAACGGCCGGTCTAGGATCTCTTGTGCTTTAAATGCAGAGTGCGTTTTCTCACTCCGTGCCAACCCCGTTATCGTCCAATCCCTCGCTCCGTACCCCTCCTTAGGTAACCACCTCAGCTCTCATCCCGGCGCCGATCCATACACGACATCATCACCGGCCTGCTCCCACCCACGCATGAAAGACTCACTCGACGCCAGCTGTAATCTGGTGACTGAGCCGACAGGCAGGCTCGGACTCCCTCTCTCTTGAAAATTCCGGCACCCAACACCTTTCTATATGAGAGATTGATTAATTCCGCACCCAACCCACATACGCCTCCGCCAAGAGACGCCCGGGGCGAAGACGCAGAAATGGAGAAGATCACGGATAAGATCGCCGCTCTGCCGGCCGACTCGACGTACTTCTCGCTCGAGTTCTTCCCGCCCAAGACCGCAATGGGCTTCTCGAACCTGCGTTACCGTCTCGACCGCATGGCGCGCGCTTTGCGGCCCCTATTCGTGAACGTGACCTGGGGTGCAGGAGGTTCGACGGCCACCAAGTCGCTCGAGCTGGCCGAGATCTGCCAGAGAGAGCTCAATTTAACCACCTGTCTCCATCTGACCTGCACAAACATGAGCCGCAAGTTGATTGATGGGGCGTTGGAGGATGCGAAGGCCCTGGGCGTGCGGAACATCCTAGCCTTAAGAGGCGACCCCCCCCGAGCTGCCGAGTATCAAGACCCGAACAAGAGCCCGGATGATGCCATTGATGAGACCTTCACACGGGCCATCGACCTCGTGCGGTACATAAGGAAAACGCACGGCGACTATTTCTGTATCGGCGCAGCCGCCTATCCCGAGGGCCACACCGACGAGAGCCACCCCCTAGGGCAGAGTCTCGAGCAAGATCTCCCCTCCTTGGTCGATAAGACGTTAGCGGGGGTCGATTTCCTCATGACGCAGCTGTTCTTCGATTCCGACGCCTACGACAAGTTTGAGCGAACCCTGAGAGAACACCCCAGCGGCGCCTTCAAGACCATTCCCATCATCCCCGGGCTGATGCCTATCCAGGGCTACCAGATGATCAAGAGGACGACGAAGCTGAGTCACGCCAAGGTGCCCGACGCCATCATGTCGCGGCTGGAGGCAGTCAAGATGGACGACGAGAAGGTCAAGAGCCTCGGCGTGGAAATCCTATGTGAGATAGTCGAGAGGGTTAAAGAGATCACGAGCAGAACGCCCGGGCCCAGGGGGTTCCACTTCTACACCCTGAATCTCGAAAAAGCGGTATCGTTCATCGTCCAGAAGACGAATCTGATACCCCCTAGTACGCCCGTAGAGGAAGAAGCGGTCGTTGATGAGATCACTACGAAGATACCCACACTCCAGGTCAACGGCTTGTCTGACCACGACCGCCTGTCCCGGCCTCGGGAAAATAGCTCTCGGCGGGCCTCCAATGTGGGTTCCGAGCCGCGCAATCGCGTCATCGTCTCCGGGCGTTCGATATCGCACCCCGAGTACGAGGCAACCTCGGCCGAGGCGAGCATCCCCGCCGAGCCCATCAACAGCCGCGCCAACACCCTCGCCATCTCCGAGGGCGAAGGCGTCCTCGGCCGCGAGGCCACCTGGGACGACTTCCCCAACGGCCGCTGGGGTGACGCTCGCTCACCGGCCTACGGCGAGATCGACGGTTACGGCCCCAGCCTCCACGTTTCTCACGCGCAAGCCATCAGTCTCTGGGGCTACCCGACGCAGAGGGACCACATCAGCGACCTGTTCGTCCGCCACCTGCAGGGTGACCTCGCCGCCATCCCCTGGAGCGAGGAGGAGTTCAACGAGGAGACGCGCACCATCTCTTCGGAGCTTTTGCGCATCAACCGGAAAGGCTGGTGGACCGTCGCGTCGCAGCCCGCCGTCAACGGCCTGCGCTCCAACGACCCGACCTTCGGCTGGGGCCCACAGAACGGCTTCGTCTTCCAGAAGGCTTTCGTCGAGTTCTTCATCCCCGAGAGCGAGTGGCGTATCCTGCTCGAGCGCCTCCAGTCGGCCGATGTCCAAAACACCGTCTGCTTCTACGCCGCCAACGCCTCCGGCGACTTCGTCTCCTCGGACGAGACGGGCGGCCTGGCCGGCGAGGCGGTCCGAGAGCCGAGCACCAACGCCGTCACCTGGGGCGTCTTCCCCGGCAAGGAGATCATCACGCCTACCATCATCGAGGAAGTCAGCTTCCGGGCCTGGAGCGAGGAGGCCTTCGGCATATTTGGCGAGTGGGCTCGGGTCTATAACAAGGGATCCGAGAGCGAGAAGCTGCTCGACGAGGCCCGTGCCGACTCGTGGCTCGTTAACATCATACACCATGACTACGTGGACCCGGATGCGCTGTGGAAACTTCTCCTAAATTAAAACGTAGCGAAGACGTTGGCGAACGCAGTAAACCAAAATAAAAATCTGTACACGCGTACACAGCTTAGCGGGTGCGGACTGGGGGTACGTGACTTTGTAGGCGAAGCAAGAAGGACCGGTAATGAGATGACAGCATGGTATTTCAAGGGCACAAGCTTGCAACCGAACCCTCTAAGCTATCTAAATAACCAGGTTGGGTCAACCGTAAGCTGTGCTTGTTGAGATCCACCTATCTCGGCCACCTACCCGAATATGCTGCGTATCTTGTACGCACGGGGTAGCCGCCAAGAAAGACCCTCACAAAACGAACACGCACGAGATACAAAGCCGCGAGAGCCGAAGTAAAAGTCATCAACAAAACAACTGGACAAGCCCACTAGAACTACTATGTGTTGTCCGTCTCTGAGAATCGAACGCAGACCCCACGACTCTCGATAGCCCTCGCAGTCCCGTGCCAATCCTAAACGGAGGGTTTTTTTTTTTCTTCTTCCACTTCTCTTTCCCTCGATTTTATCAAACCTCAAACTGTCGCAAACGCGATCTCCTAGATGAATTGTACTCGTGTAGTGAGGAAAGAGGCGAGTGAGTCGCAAGTACCACTCCCCTTTCTCTGCCGAACCTCCCTCCCTCCTTCGGGCCAATGTCATTACGCCTGAGTAGATGCGGCATATTCCACGTCTTTCGCGTTTTGGGTGGAGATGAATGCACAATCGTCGTCATCTAGCGTGTCATATGGGTGTATTATCCGTCTTTTCACACCTTGTCCTCAGATTTGCGAACCGTGACAAATGAAAAGGGGGGGGGAAGAGGAAAGAGGGAAACGTTGTTGTACATCGATGCGAGATGAGACCGAGAAAGATGGACAACGGCGGTATTAGGTGGTGTCGATTTTCCATAACGCCTGTCGCGTGAGGCCACCTCGGAGAATAGCAGAAAGAAACAACATATCGTGATGGGAATCGCAATGCAAGACGAGAATGAAAACACAGCAACCCCCAACGCCATCGAGTCCCTCCTTGACCTGTAAGTAGGAAACCTCCCGGCCAGGGCCGGGCTCATCTCATGAATTACCCGCCATCGTCCTTGTCCAGAGGAATGGAGAGGGGAGGATCTCAAATCTCTCCATCGACGAGGGCCTCATCCATAGTGTCGTCCTCGCTGTAACCGATGAAGGGGTCCGGAACGGTCGAGTCCCCAGGGAACGGGTTCGTATACTCGCCAAACACCGGCGAGTTTTGGGAGCGCTGGGGGGACTTTGGGTTCACACTTCCCACCGCCTGCTGGTTAGAGAAGCCGTGAGTCACAGGAAGCTTGTGCTCCTCATGGTCGTCGTCGTCATCGTCGATGACGTAGACATTGGGGCGCTTGGTCGGGGCCGGGGTCGGACCCGACTTCTTGCTTCCGCCGTTGCCGCGGTTGGCGCTCGCGAATAGCGAGCGCGCGAGAACAGTGCCGCCGGCAGCGGTGGTGCTGGTGCTCTTGGAGGTAACGGGGGTGTGCGGGCTAGGCGACTCGGCGGCGCTCGTGCTCAGCGTGCGGGCGCGCTTCGTAGCGCGCAGCTGCGTCGGCGTCTGCTCCTGCTCTTGGCCGTCGTCCTCGTCCTCGTCCTCGAGGCTCGTCTGCACGAGGTCCTTATTGTCGTAGTCGGAGTCGTCGCCGACCTCGCTCCCCGACGAGGTAGCGGCCATCATCTGCTTGCGCTTGCTGCTGGCGATGGCAGAGGCAGCGGCCGCGCGGGCGCTGGGAGTGGAGGCGGCGGACGAGCTCGGACCGCCACCCCGGCCCCTCTTGCCGGTGCGAGATCCGGGCGTGGTCGCGACTCGACCAGTACGGGCGGGCGTTCCACCGGCTCCAGGCACCTTAAGCTTGGCCGGGTCCTCGCCGTTCGCCACGGCCGCCTTCTGCGCGCTGCCCAGCGCCTTGATCTCGCGGAACTGCCACTCGATGCCGCCAGGGGTGGATTCGCCAAAGAGACGCTGGATCTCTGCTCATCAGGTTAGTCCCTCTGGGCTCCTTCATTTCGAATTCAAGAACTCGAGTCATTTGATTTCTTTCCTTTTAACAGAGAAAAGGGGAAGGGGGCGGGATATAGCGGAATAAAGGGAGTGGGATGGGTGACGCGAAGGCAGGGAAAGGAGAAGGTACAGGAAGGAGTATCGATTCACCTGTTGTGTCGACAGGCAACTGGCCCGGGTCCTTGCCCTCCTTCCGGCAGGCGAGCTGCATCTTCGCCAGCTGCTTGATGGGACGTAGACGGTGGTCCACTGCGGACGAGGTGGTGCCTCCGCCCATCAGGGCCGCGAGCTCTGATGCCGCATCAGATACGTGTCTCTCTCGGAAAGGAAGTACGGTGCCAGAAAAGAGGATACATATACCCATCCATTAGGAATGAGGGAACGGGAGCGATGGGAAAAGGGAAAGGGTGTTTGATAGGTAGGTAGATAGAAGATATATGTACGGAAAGTATGGGCTGAGCCAGCTCCTCTCCATTACGCCGCCGCTGCCCCTTGGGATAACACACGCCTATGCTATCCTAGCCGCGGGCAGCAAGCACTGCCGGGCAGCGAGAGCATGCTGGACCCGCCACGACGACTGCCGTTGAAGGGGAATCAATGGGGGTCGGCGGAACAGCACAGGAAGGGGAAGCCCGATAGGGGTAGAAGACAGCCAGGTATATCGCCGAATCGTGCCTTACAAAGCAGTCTTAGGAAGGAAACTTACCCTTGAAGTCGAGTTTGACCTTGCCCATGGTGGAAGCTACCACGGCAGCAAGGAGGCGGGTGCTAGCCTCATAGGTCTTGAAATTTGTCTTGTTGGTGGGTGTCGGCATTGTGTCGGCGGTCGGGAGAGATGTGTATCCTAGAAGTCGGGGACAGGTCAGCCTACAGAGCAAGACGGAATGCAGCGAGCGAAGGCCCCGCGGCAGGAATCAAGGGGAGGGTGGTGAAGTTTAAAAGGTGAGGATGATGACCTGGGAATGTGCAAGTGTGCGTGAGTGGAAATAGCAGCCAGACCTCGATGAACTCGAACGGTGGAAAGCAGGTAGAATAGAATAGAAGGGAGAGCAGGGTGTGCTTTCGGTTGGGAGAGGGATGAGTTCTCAACTCGGCCGTTGATTGGGGAAAAGGGAGCAGCTTTGGAAATGAGAGATGTCTGAGAGAAAGAGAGAGAGCGATGGTACTTACGGAGTGGGACCGTGGGAAGTCTGTGTGGTCTGATATCAGACCTGGAATTATGATAGAAGAGTGAAGCGTCTGGGCCAGCCCGAGGACAGACAGCTCCTCGCAGTATGGCTTTGCTATCGGGTTGAGTAGGCAGGCCGTGAGGGTGTGATGGTGTGACAATGTCAAAATGCAGGTGGGTAAGGGAGGACGAAAAAGACGGCGATTTTGATGGGAAGTGGGAGAGGCCAAGGTGAGTCTGACGAACGTAAATAATGAGGGGTATCAAATGTCAACGCGCGTCAAGGTCGCGACGACATATGAGAGCCGTATAAACAAACGTCGCAGCGGAAGCTGCGTGGCAACGAGATGCTGTTACCTGTTGTTGTGGTGGTTGCTGTTGCTGTTGCTGTTGCTGCCGTTGCGACCTGTTCAAGGGGCGTGTTCTGAGGCCAGCTCTTGTAGCGCAAGTGTGACGGCGACTAGACGGGGACTTGGCAAGTTGCCCTGTATAGGAGGATTTGCGCAACTAGCCCACTCCCTGTGAGAGACTAGGTATTTCATATAGGAGCCTATCCCGAGTCTCAGCAGTCCCAGTCCGCAGCACGTAGATGAGCCGTCGGGGAAGTAAACAGTGCTGCTACTAACCAGTTAGCTTTAACTGATAGCTTGGTGTCTTTTGTATGGCTTATGGCTTACAGCTTCTTTACTATCTACCGATGCGTTTTCTTATCGATGCCGAGTTTGAAGGGTTTCGAAGTCCCGTAGACAAGAATTGAGAATTGCGCCGGCGTGTTGGCCACGTCGAGGCCAGAACATGGACGGGGCTAAAGTCAACTTACGTCAAGCGGCAGTATCTCAATTCGAGCCGTGAATAGCCTCGAAACTCACGAGGGGCGTTTTGTTCAGCTGGGCTCGACTATGCTCGAGTCTCGGTGCTTCTCCAGTGTGAGTTGGTGGGACAAGAGCGTGGACGAAAGCAAACTGAGAGTGGAGGTTACTACGGCAACGAGTTTCTAGCTTGAACCGGGTAGAGCTGGGGCCAGGGAATGTCTCGAGTTCAACGAGAGGAGCTCAAGGCAACTTAGCGAGCGCATCGAGATGGGCGAATTCGCAAGGAGAGAAAACTGTGTGAAAGCAGAGACGGGTTGCGGTCGGAGCAAGTAGGAGAAGAGTTGAGAGGCCCCTATATGCATACGATGTAGGTATTACATTAGGAGGTACCTCGTACGGGTAGTATGTAATATTGTGCTGTACCTTTGGCGCCTAGGAGATAGAGAGGTTATGTAGGTACCTTAGATAGGTAGGTACCTATTACCTAGGTGTATGCACGTTAGGTAGTTACGCGGTAACCTTCCATCCGGGCCTCGCCTCGCGGTATTTACCACAATATTTACAGTTCACAGCTATACTTTCTGGAGAGAGAGGCTTTCCCGTGTCCCTCTTCTATCGGGCCTTATCCTGCATCCTGATCTCGTCGATGATGGCGAGCTACCAGCGTTAGAATGCGAATACGTAAGGTACCGGCTAACACTACTTCACGATACTGAAATTCGGTACATGTTTCTCGGACTGCCCGGGATTCGTTACCCTATCGGGAAACATTTCGCGACATGGCTTGGGCTTGGAGGGGTCCGCCCATTTACCTGTATTTGTTATAGGTATCTAGGTACCTAGGCGCGTCTACGTGTAGTGACGGGTGTTAGGTGTCCAGTACCCAGGTACCTATATAGGTACCTATCTCCATATCCTACATACGCCTACGGAGAAATATACTCGGCCAAAGATGGGTGCATTCTGCTTCACCTTCTGAGGTGCCTCTAGCCTAGCAGGAAGTAGTAGCAGACACCCACCCATATGCGTACACGCCTCAGATCTAGAGGCCTTTTTAGGAGTTCATCGTGACGGCATGTCGGCCTTACGTAGGTAGTTCTTAGTGGCCGTCTAAGCTGCAATGTGCCCTTGAATACGTATGTTACGGTGCGAGAAAAGGCGACGAAGAGATGCAACCGTTCGTCGTTCAGAATGTCTTCTCCCCCAGCGGCGTTCTCCTCCCAGACGTCGGCGTCTGCCACCCGTGATGGGGCGCGGAACTCGCCTTCGCATCGGAATGCGACCATCCCTGGCGCGCTCTCGTCGCAGTTTGCTGACTGCCATACATGAAATACTGGACGCCAAGGAGAGAGTCGCACACTGCTTGGAAGATGCCGCAGAGCTTGAAGGCCCACGGTATCGCCGTGGTTGCCGTAAAGAACCAAAACATCTTCATCGCATCACCGACTATCCAGCTAGCTAACACGGAGAAGCGAAATCCTGTGCAAGATCGCGAGCGTGCATTGGTTAAGAGCTGCGGAAGCGGCAATGTCGCCTCGATGGAGAGACCAATGGTTCCTAGCAAAGCGGAATATCTAGGATAAATCGATTCGAATGGCGCGAGGACCAGCTCGAGTGCGGTTAATCCGACGAACAAGGACAGCAGGAAGTGCCAGTAGCTAGAGCCGCCCGAATTAGGAGGAGCGTTGGCGAAGGCGAGAGTAGGAGGGGGGCGGGTGCCGATGACGCGGGCGAGGCGACTTACGGCTTTGGTGACCGCCACTGCCAGAAATTGTACGGTCGCTGAAACTGCGAGTGCCCGTCATGGGCTCCCGCGAAGGGGAGCGCAGCCTCGCCTCCTTTCGAGGACGGCGGCGGTCGATGGTCGAGGGCAATCTTGAGGAGGATCACTTGGATAACTATATTGCAGAAAGATTGAATCAACAATGCTACGTCAAATCTCGCGCCGGGATAGTAGAAGACCCTAATGCCTTTGTGAGTACGGCCGACGGCCAGCGGGATATCCAGGGGAATAAGGAGCAGGCGAACCTGAATATCGACGCAACCAGCATAATCAACGGTGTATCGAGGGAGAAGCCAGCGCTTGACCTCGCCCGGTGCATAGATATCGCTTGATCGGTGTACGACAGGATCGGCGAAAAAATGAGGAATGCCGGCGCCGCATAGGCGGCTACGGTTGCGAAGAAAGGCATCGTAGGCGGGATCTCGAGAGCGAAGATGTTGCCGGACGGGCCGGAAGAAAGGGGAGGATGGAGGGAAGAAGGCGTACGAGGGGTGGAGAGTGGTGATAGACTTCCAACCGATCAAAGCACAATGGTCAGCCCAAGTGGTCGCAGCCAAAACGTCGATACACATGCAAAGGCCGTCGAAAGCATTGTAGGAGCAGCAGGCCGGCAGCAAGCAATTGGTGTAGTCGGGAAACGTCTCTACGGCGAGGCCCTCAGCGAGAAGCATTTGTTATTTTCTACCTCTAGGTACATTAGCTAGTAAGAGGCAGTGTCTTAGAGGCAGGTACCTCTATATATAGGATTAGGTAGGTAGGTACGGTAAGAGATAGCAGATCCATTCCACTACCTCATATAGACCGCGACGAAGAGTGGGCTACAGGTACAATCTAGTACCTAAATATGCGCCTACATCACACCTCTTCATAAGTTCATGCAAGGTAGCATTTGATGTCTGAGGAACCCAATATCTCAGCAGGATGCCTCACTCACTTATGTACCTTCCAGTAAACCGGCATCGAGCAAACTCGATGAAGCTTATCGATCCCCTGCTGGAGCCCCCTCCTCTTATCGGATAAGGTTACAGCTCCCAAGACAAGTAAGTCCTTATCGCTTTATCGCACCCGCCTCCCTAGGGGGTATGTATGTAGAAACTGAGGCTTAGAGGTAGGTGCCTAAGGTGTTACCCCTGGTATTGCCCCTCCAAAGAGGAGCAGAGTTAAAAAAAAAAAAAAAGCTGGTCTATGACTTACCTAACCGTCTACCCCACATACCTCACGAACTTCAACCCTCTCCTTTCCGGGAGCAAGATCAAAGATCAATGCTCGTCGTTTAGTCATTTCTTGACTCCGAGTCCTGGAGGCCACCCCCCTTCAATCCCATGTTCTACCGGGCCATCTCCGTCGCCATCTGACAAGATGGAATCCCTAGTTCTCACCGGCGAGTCCTGCTTCACAGCCTCTGAGGCCAAGAAGCTCAAGGACCGCATCAACCAAACAACGTCCACCAAGGTCGCCAATATCCTGGGTTCGTGGATCTACTATGCCCACATCGGCGGCGAAAAGGCCGCTGCTTATGCCAAACTCCAGCAATTGCTCCCCTTGCCCTCGGCCACCGCTTCTCCGCCGCTCACCCACATCGGATACACCTTGACCTACTATGTCGTCCCGAGAAATATCTCTCCGTGGAGCTCCAAAGCCACCAAGGTCTGTGAGGTATGTGGCCTCGAGGAGCTGGTCCGCCGAGTAGAGCGAGGCCGGTCTGTCACCATCGTTTTTGAACAGCCCGTCAGCAACGAGGAGATCGCCTTCAAAGATTTGCTGCACGACCGGATGACGGAAATCATCTCCTCCGAGCCGCCAAGCCCCGGCTCCATGTTTGTAGAGCGAGAGCCCCAGCCCCTAGAAGCCGTCAACATCCTTTCCGCAAACCAGGATCCTCTCGAGACGCTCAAGGCCTATAACGCGACACGCGGCCTTGCTCTAGACTTGTCTGAGATGGAATACCTAGTCCGCGAGTTTACACGACTTGGACGGCCGCCCAATGACATCGAGCTCTTCATGTTTGCCCAGGTGAACTCAGAGCATTGTCGCCACAAGTAAGCCAGTGACTTGAGATGGATCTCTCCCTCGGGGGAATAGCTCGACTAAAACAAGTACGGCAGGCAGTTCAATGCTAGCTGGTCTATCGATGGCATTGCTATGGATCTGAGCCTGTTTGACATGATCCGAAACACGCACAAGAGGACGCCGGACTACACCGTCTCGGCCTACAGTGACAATGCTGCAGTTATGCAGGGGGAGATGGGAGCGTATTGGGCCCCCGACTACGCGACGGGATCCTGGCGGCTCAACAGAGAAATCGTACATGTGCTAGCCAAGGTAGAAACGCACAACCACCCCACAGCAATTTCTCGTGAGTGGGCATTCCCGCCATCTTACCCCCTCCACCATTCTCCATGCCGTACAGACGGTGCTGATCTTGTTCAATTCTCGATAGCTTTTCCCGGAGCTGCTACAGGATCAGGCGGCGAGATCCGTAAGCCGCTCCCCGACTCAACTTCGCTAGGTTATAGCTGCTACTTCATCCCAGCTTAGCCCTCGTCAACAACCGGTCTGGAATCGCGGCCGAGTATTTCCCGCGGGACCACGTCGAGCTACCGCTAACTTCCGAATTGTCTAGGTGACGAAGCCGCTGTAGGGAGAGGTTCAACCACGAAGGCTGGTCTCTGCGGCTTCTGGGTCTCGGATCTCCTCATCCCGGGCCACCAGGCCTGGGAGATAGACATCGGTCGCCCGGCACACTACGCCAGCAGCCTCGATATCATGCTCGAGGGACCTATCGGATCCGCTCGTTTCAACAACGAATTTGGCCGCCCCTCCCTAGCCGGGTGTTTCCGCACCCTTTTGACGGACGGCTCCAGTAAGGCTGATTCAAGCTCGACGAAGGCGACGGACTGGAGGGGTTATCACAAGCCGATCATGATCGCCGGCGGGATAGGCACAGTCCGTCCAGGGCACGCAATCAAGAATCAGGCCGACGTGCACGAAGGGGCGCACGTCGTTGTACTCGGCGGCCCTGCGATGCTGATCGGCCTCGGCGGTGGTGCTGCATCTAGCAATGCTTCCGTAGAAGGAACGGCCCATCTCGATTTCAACAGCGTACAGAGGGGAAACCCAGAAATGCAACGCCGAGCTCAGATGGTCATCAACGCGTGTGTCAGTCTAGGTGACTTGAACCCCATCGTGAGTTCCCATCGTGCTTCGCAACTATCCGGCCCCCGATGCCTAGGTCACATTCTCCCAACTCGCCTCGTACTCCGATATCCTACCGCTAACGATGCTCGCCTAGGCTATGATACACGACGTCGGCGCTGGCGGATTATCCAACGCCCTCCCGGAGCTAGTCAAGGATGCCGGGTTTGGGGGCAAGTTCGAGCTTCGGCAGGTTGAAAGTGCGGATAGTAGCATGAGCCCCCTTCAGATCTGTAAGTGGTTTTGCAAGATGTTCCAGCGTAGCTCATTCACGTCTTCGCTCGCCAGCCATATTTGCCCCTTAGCCCTCCTGTGGCCTTAAAAATAGCGACGCCGCTAACAGTTCCACTTTTCAGGGTGCAACGAGGCCCAGGAGCGATATGTTTTGTTGATCAATGTAGAAAGCATGAATCGCTTCGTGAACATATGTCGTGAGTCCTGGCCATCCCGAGATCTTCATCGCCCGGCATTAACCCATGAACCAGAACGTGAACGATGTGGCTTTTCGGACGTCGGCACCGTAGTTTCGGAAAACGACAGTGGTGTCCCCATGCTAGCTTTGACTGATAGGGACGCGGAGGAGGCGTGGGCTTCCCGGCCAATTGACCTTCCAATGTCAACCCTATTTCCCCCGGGCCGACGATTGCAGCGCATTGTAAATTCGCACAAGCCAACTCTGCCGAAGTTCGACCCAATTTCCTGCCTCAAGGCTGCGTTCGGGGAGCACCTATCGGATGCTGAGGTTATAAGGAACGCCCTACAAAGGGTTTTCTGGATGCCAGCTGTGGGATCTAAATCTTTCCTCATCACAATTGGAGACCGGACTGTTGGCGGTCTCACGGGGCGAGACCAAATGGTAGGACCGTGGCAAGTCCCTGTGGCAGATGTGGCAGTAACTGCCGCGTCGTTCAATATAGGGGTGAAAACAAGGCATGGTGAAGCAATGGCGATGGGTGAAAAGCCGACTCTAGCCTTGATATCTCCCGCGGCGTCTGCGCGTATGGCAGTCGCTGAGAGCTTGATGAACCTGGGCGCCGCCGACCTCATGGGCGATCTGCGGAGGGTGAAGTTGTCTGCCAATTGGATGGCAGCCGTGAACCACCCCGGAGAGGGGGCCGCCCTTTACGAAGCCGTAAGGGCGATCGGACTGGAGATGTGTCCACGGTATGTATTGATGTCTAATTCTCCCATTGCTTCTGCCCTCTCGGAAAAGGTGTCTGTTCAGGCGTACTCTTTACGGTTTCCATGAAGAAACCTTCCCCTTCGGCGCATGTTCGCATTGTATACCTTTTCAAGCAAATAGGGGCTCTTATATAACATGCTAACATTTGGACAGATTGGGTATCAGTATACCGGTAGGCAAGGACTCGACCTCCATGAAGGCGTCTTGGCGGGACCACGAGGCCGACGAAACCAGGAGCGTAACCGCACCTGTGTCAGTCGTCATCTCGGCGTTCACGGTGGTCGATGATATCAGGAAAACCTGGACCCCCCAGCTTCAGCCAGTCGAAGAAGTTGGGGAGACAGTCCTTATGTTCGTCGACTTGGCGAATGGTAACAAAGCAATGGGAGGCTCTGCTCTTGCCCAATCATTTGGCTACGTAGGCCGTGAGGCGCCGGACGTACGAGACGTTGACTTGATCACGGATTACTTTGACGCCTTGTCCCAGTTGCATCAGAGCGGTGTAGTCCTCGCATACCATGACAGGTCTGACGGAGGGCTCATTACTACAGTTGCCGAGATGATGTTCGCAGGCAGGTGTGGCGTCGATCTCATGATGGATGGCATTGCCAGTTCCGGTTCGATCATCGATATGGTGAACGCGCTATTTAATGAGGAACTCGGTGCCGTATTCCAGGTACGAAAGTCGGACGAGACGAATTTTAAGAGGTGCTTCGCAACTTGTGGACCGCCTCCCGGCTTGATCAGAAAATTTGGCAGCGTCCAGCCCAAGTCTAAGCAAACACTGACGATTCGCTATGGCACAACCCCCCTAACCAGCCTCGACAGAAGGGAGATACACCAGTGGTGGGCAAAGACCTCGTTCGAGATGCAGAAACTGAGGGATAACCCTTCGTGTGCCGAGTCGGAATATTCAGTCATTCTCGACCAAAGTGACCCAGGCCTCTCTTACAGGCTCACTTTCGACCCCTCCGACACGATCCTCCCTCTCACGGCTTCGATAACTGGATTCTTTGGCAAGCATCCCCGAGTGGCCATCCTCAGGGAGCAGGGCGTTAATGGGCACGCCGAGATGGCATTCGCGTTTAAAGCGGCGGGATTTGACCCGATTGATGTCATGATGACGGACATCATTTCAGGTCGCTCGTTGGCTGACTTCGTGGGCATAGCTGCCTGTGGCGGCTTCTCGTACGGTGATGTCCTCGGTGCCGGGCAGGGCTGGGCCAAGTCTATCATGATGCACGAAAACACCCGAAAGGAGTTTTCGGAGTTCTTCAGGAGGCCAGATACGTTTACGCTCGGAGTGTGCAACGGTTGTCAAATGCTCTCGCGGCTGAAAGATCTCATACCCGGCGCCCAGAACTGGCCGACATTTGTCGAGAACACCAGCCAGCAATTCGAAGCGCGATTTAGCATGGTCAAGATTGAAGACAACAAGGCTAGGCCCTCGGTCTTCCTCCACGGAATGCATGGATCGGCACTTCCAATTGTGGTTTCCCACGGGGAGGGCAGAGCGTCGTTTTCCTCGCCAAATTCACAGCATGCCCTTGAGGGGGACGGGTTGATCCCAATTCGATATGTAGATAACTATCTTACCGTGACGGAGAAATACCCATTCAACCCGAACGGAAGCCCCGGCGGTATCGCCGCCGTGACCAACGAGGATGGTCGCGTTCTAGCTATGATGCCTCATCCCGAGCGGACGGTACTAGCAGATACCGCTTCATACGCGCCGCCCGCCCTCCTCGAGCAATGGGGAGAATTTGGCCCGTGGGCCAGAATGTTTAGGAGCGCCCGAAGATGGGTCGGATAGCCAATTACAGCCAAAACAAGAGAGGAATCCCTCATGAGCTTCCGAGCCTTATTTAGACACACCGGCAACGCATAGGAGACAGGGCCCCCCCTCACTACGGCGTTATATAAACGGACGCTTGGTACCAGGCCACCTAGGTATTCTGAAAAGTCACGGATGAATGCCACCGTCGAAATAGCTCCTCCGCCAAACCGACCTCGAAGGTCACTTTCCCGGCGTCATCTCGTCAACGACTCGGCGTCGGGACCCGGGACTACGCGAAGGATACGGGTGATAATGTTGCAACGACGGTCTCAATATTGGTATAATATCAGGCAGGGCGACATCGCTCTCAGTAAGCAGGGCCAAGTTAGGAGGTTAGCAATTAGCGAGCCGCCATCTAATGTGGATTGTACCAATGCCCCTATCCACTGCTCGGCAAGACAGCAACGTGCCACTCATAGCAGATTAGCAACTTCGATTGTGTTATAATTACCACACACCACCAAGATAGGCAGGAAAAGGCCGTAGAAACGGCGGGGCAGAAGACGGCTTGAACGCAGTCGCATTGCATATTCCGGGGCAATTTAATCCTTCCACCAGAACTTGTTTTTTAAGCCGAAGTTGTCGTCGGGGGCCAGCCGCGTGGCCGATCCATCGACGATTCCTCTAACCTCATTCTTCGAGTGCGTGCAACATTACTGGAAGGCCTATATCGTCAAGGGTCTTGACTTTAAGAATAGGATGTCAATGAATTCACCCAACGCGACGCCCTAGGGGTCCTCATTCTAGCTATCGTAATCATTGCAATCAACTGATATGATCTAGGGGAAAGGAGAGGCTAGGCAAGATAGAACTCCGCCGGTACGGAGCCCGTACGGACGACATTAGCCATTAGGACACGGTGGGGGGATTTTTAAGGGGTCACGATGGCCAAAGAAGTGGCGGGCCAAGGTAGGGGGTTAAGTCCGTCTTATGCCTGTGCCCGCCGTCATGCCTCCTCTGGCTCTCTCTCACGCGAGCACAGGCGGATGAAGGATGCTGATCAAATGCCGGGGTGTCCGGGTGCCCCCCCATGACGCCACGAGGGAAGAGAGCGGCGGGACCCTACATGGCACCCCGTCTGTGATCATTTCCCATCGCCGAAGCTCGGCTAACTACCACGTTTTCTTCCTCTCTCTTTCTTCACCCCCTGGCCCTTTCAGGTGAGGCGACCGATCCGATCGGATATCGCGTGAGTCTTGGGCGAGATGTTTCGGGAAGGTCGCTTTCCATCAATCCATCGATGGACGAATCCATCGTCAGGTCGATGGTCTGTAGGCAGATGTCAGATTGGCAGGGAGGTTGGCAAGTTAGTTCGGCCGGCCAGCCCACATGGTAAACAGGCGGCTGAGCGTGCGCATGTATACAAGGTAGCATCGGAGTCGAACCCCGTACGTTCCACTCCTGTTCCAGCACTATGTCTACGCTAATATAATGCGGTCCGCTTTGGGTCGTCAGTGGGCCTGGAGTTGATTAGGGGGGGGGGGGGGGGGGGGGGTAAGCTATGCACATATATGTAATATATAGGCATATATGTGTATTTACTCTATATAGGTACAGAGAGATGGGGTATGGAGGCATGCATTATATGTATGTAGGTTAGATAGATAGTAGGTAATAAGAGAGGAGGAGGAAGAGAGCGAAAAGAGTGTGAAGAGAGAGAGAGAGAGAGACACACACACACACACACACACACACAGAGAGACAGAGAGAAGGGGGTTAGGCCGTCTCTTCCTCGGCAATGCTACTGTGGACTTTTGTCTTTCCCTGGTTTGCGGCACATCGCACGCCAAGGCTCTGCTTTGACCTTGCAGCCGGGTATCTCGTCTCGTTTCTCCGAATGGGCAGACCATAATTGGTCACGATCCGGTTCAGATTTCCATTATTCTCGGGCGAGTGTCGCCTTCTGGCAAGCTAGGCTGTCTTCGCGAAGCCTTCTAACAGATTTCCGTTCGTAGCGCGTGCGGCTTGCCCTATAGCATACCGCTGCTATTTTAACGTGAGGATGATAATAACCAACAACCCGTCATGGGGATGCTGTAATATGTACACACATTATCGCTGGCACCCGCGGCATGGCGTTTTTTTTTTCTCCTTCTCTTCTTCCCACCTCGCATAGTATGACATCTCACGCTACGTAGGTAGGGTGATCAACGCCCCTAGGGGATGGAGGCGAGGCGGCATCGTGAGATATGGCATTATCGAGAACACCACTTACACACGTGCCGTATGTTGGCTTGTCTGTACACACGTACAATATGCCATGATGAGCTCTTCAGCTGTTCCTACCTGACGTACCTAACCCACCCTAGGTGCCCTTCCTTGGGCACCGTACCTCATGGAGGTACCTATAGCAGACGAGGGACGTTATTATAGGTGTATATGGAGTTTATAGCTAACCTGGTCGTCATCCCGGCCCTGTCCCTCTTCTAATTGTTTTTCGGCTCTCCCCCTCCCTTCTCCCCCCCCCCTGGACCTGCTAGATTGAGAAAGTACTTCGCCTGTCGCTTCGTCGCCTACGTTTGGATTGTATCCAGACCGCTTACCACAGCTTTATAAGTTGCTACATTTTCGTCGGCGGGCGGTGCTACGCGACGCGGCGAACAGGCATGGGGATGCCCCAGCTCGATACCTATGTCCGGGCATATGGTGGATGGTATCGATATGTATGCATGAATGTACGCGTGGACGTCATCCGTCGCATGCATGCACGATGCAGAAGAACGCGCGGAACAAATGGCGAGCCGTAGGTGCATGTATGGATAACCCACAGCGACAACGACAACGACAACAACGACGACGACCGTGGCAACAACAGCAGTAGTAGCATGAGCCACATAAGTAATAATGAGTAGTAATGGATAATAATCGAGATAGGTAATAGTAATGGTGATAAGTAGCACGTTGTGGCGACACGTTAGACCCGGTCCCCCGACGACGCCCGCTGTCAAAGAAGGTCTCAGCCGTCCGGACAGCGGCGACGATTCGTTCGACCTTTCCTACGGCGGGCATATTTGACGTGTTGATCAGGACTGCCCGATGACGCCACGGTCGCAGCGCCAGGACGAGGCGAACCAGCACTCGGTCTCACAGCGTGCAGAGAAGCTGAAAAGAGGCGGCGGGACACGACACGCGCCAAGTGCCGACGAATGAGGTCCCGCGACGACGATCCCCTTCCTGCTGGGCTCTGCCGAATGGGAGGAGGAGGAGGAGGAGGAGGAGGAGGGGAGGAGGACATGGGAGAGGGGAGGGAGGGCCGTTGGGTGCGAGATCGTCGCACGTGCTGATCGTCTCGACCCCCGAGTCTTATCACCCGTCTATTATGCCGGGGCGCGCCGCGTATTGTACCTACCGTGTGTATATAGGTATACCTGCCTACCTACATACATGCATACATGCATACATAACATACACCTACCTCCTAACCAGGTAGATATTACCTCTCGGTATATGTAGAGCCAACCTCAGTACTCCCCCCATCGTCGGCCTACGCGCCCGTAACGGACGCGCCCACACGTATGCGACGTATACCACGTCTAGTAAGGTACGGGAGGAGGGGACGTCGCCTCGCAGTGACGGCCTCGTAGTGACGCTGGACCTGTTGGCCCTCTCTCTCTCTCTCTCTCTACCTGGGCTCTGCCTCCCGAAACCCGGCAGTCCTCTCCCGAATGCATGGACTATCTACCTACCCATCATACCGTACGAATTCCCTCTCACCCTTACCTGGCCCTGGTCCGTTCCCCTTCCAACCCCCCTCCCCCGTCTCTTCGTCGTCTTCCAACTTGTTTTTCTTCGATGAACGGACGACGAGGTTGGTAAACTACCTAGATAAAACGCGCGAGACTCGACTACCCCCCTCCCCATCCCCCCTCTCTGCAGGAACGCTTCTGCTCGTCATGCGAGGTCCTTTAGAATCGTGGGGCGCCCCTGGACCGCACCCATCCCTTGGCCCCCCCCCTCTCCCCCCCTCCCGTCTCGGCCGCTGGTTCTGGATTGGGCTGCAAGATGAAATTGCGTCGGTATTGCTCCTGCAAGCTTGCTTTCTCGCCTGCCTCGGAGCGCGCACGTAGGGAAACGCAAGCGCCCCCTTTTCACTACCGTGTACCTTCATCACCACCCCTCCTCCTACTCCTCCTCCGTCACCCTGTCGTGGACATTGCTGTCGCCGAGTAAGCGCTTACGAATGCAGGTTAGCCGTAAGTCGTCGTTGCATTTCAGGAGGCAATAGTGGCTTTCCCCTCGAAATGAGAGGGTGTCTAGCACGCGCGGAGCACCGGGGGGGGACAGAGCGAGAGGGAAAACAAAAGAATGTCCCGAAGCAATCGTAGACAGGAACCGCCAACGGGACTGGCCCCTCTCTCTCCTTTGCGTCGAGCGTTGGACAAGTTCAGTAGCCCGAATGCCGAGCCTAACGTAACGCAGGCCCTGAGGGCCGGGACGGTTACGAAGACCCGGATCCAGCCTGGTCCCTCTTCTTCTCTCTTCACCCGCCCATTGAACAGGATACGGCTCGCCTCCACTGTGGCTTACTTTATTGCCTTGTATGGGTATGCAGACGAGCGTGTATGTGTGTCTGTATGTGTATATATATATATATATGTATATATATATGCCTGTGTGTATCCAGCCTATTTTACCCGCAGATATTGCCGGCGGTGAGCACTGACAACCCCGACGGTGGTGAGAGGCGCATGGTGGCAAGCGACTACGTACACGCTTCCACAGCTGCTCAAGCCGAAACTGTCTCTTCCTCTTCTCTATCCTGCAGTGAAGAGACCCCTCCCGCCTCCTCTCCCTAACGTACATATCCTAATTGCAGCAAACATCATCGCGGGGAGGGGGGGGGAAACGGTCTGGACTCGCTGGGTTATATTGGGAATCGTTGCTCGTGCAGGGTCCTCTGCCGTCTCCTGCCTCCCGTCGGAACCGCACTCGAAGCTGTGCTCGAATTGCCTGCGGTATAAGGGACTCCTGCGCACATAGTGTCCACACATAGTATCCGAGCATAGTACGTGTAGAGGCGGTCCCGTTCATAAAAGACGCCATGCACAACATCCTGGTCTAGTAGATCATTTGGGGCGGGCCGAAGATGCAGGCGATGGGGCCTCTGTTGCGCCGCACTATGGCAACGCATCCTTCCGATCCTGCAGGCGAGAGAAGAGGAAGAATGCGAGAAGAAGAAAGGCCGGGCGTTTTTCCCACCCCTCTCCTTTTCTTCTTGTTTTCCTTCCTCCTTCTTTTTTCTTTTGCTTTTTTTCCCCCCTCGTGCTTATTTCCCACATCGCACAGCCAAGAAGTCAGCGGGAAAGAAAGAAAATAAGGAGAATGATGGCCTTCGCCCTCCCCGTGATCCTAGGCGGCTGCGTGACAACGCGAGGTCGTGCTCCCGGGCTGCCCTCTCATACTATGTACGTACGTGCAGTCGTGCAAAGCAATATACACATCACATACCTACCTGCCTACATCCGTACATATAGTGATATATGTCCACGCAAGGCAATAAAAAACGTCTGCCGCGTACGCACCTACGTCCGACCTCACGTGCTATCACTGCCTTGAGTACTGCCGATTCTCCTCCTGTCCGGTCATCTACCTAGGTAACCCGAGGATGTACGTGCCAGCCGGGACTATATACTCACTACCTACATAAGGGACGTCAGGTGAATAAAGATAACATACATACGGGCTTAGGCGTACTTCCGCCTACCTACCTCTTATAAGGATCCGGGTGGGGTTGTCTTCGTTGCTATTTTTACCTCTCTCACCCGCCCGTCCTCCCGCTGTCGGACGATGACGGTGCTGAGAAATCGTCTCGGCTCGTCGAGCTGCATCGCTCAGGTGACCAGGCGGTAATATAATATAATATAATATAATATAGCAAGTGCCATGTATGTCAGAATGCTATATATCTGCCGAGTTGGACCGTGGGAGACGCGAAAGCCGCCGCCACCTCTCAGAATACCCGTTCTTGTTATGTTGCATCGGATATATATGTGCGTGCCATGCCAGCCCGTGTAGCCACGCCGCGGCACAGGCGGACTTTACTTGCTGCCCTCCCTTCTTCCTCCGACCTCTTCTTTTTCTTCTTCTTCCTCTTCTTCTTCTTCTTCTTCCGCCCCCTCCCGGTGGTGCTGGTGCTGTTCCTTTTCGTCCAGTCCCTAAAAATAGACCCGAAACCCGCAAACCCACCCCGCAGCCGTCCTGCTTGTTCCCGCACGCACGCTGGGTGCTTCTCGCACATTGCAGATCGAGACGTAGGTTGTTATGGAGGTATGTACGAACGAACAAATAAACGAGGCAGGCGAGCATATATGCATACATATATATATATGCCTTATATACACACACATACCACACACACATATACACATATACACATATATATACGTAGTCATATTATACCTATATATGCGTATATGTATGCGTGTGTACGCATGGGATATGTCGACTTGGCCGAGGAGCATGTGAGGAGCGGGAAGTGGGCAGTTTGCAACATCGCCGAAGGGCCTTAGCCGCCCCCCTATTGTTTGGATGAATGTGACGAGGCCAATCCGACACGTCGTAACGCGCCACGAAACACAACGTGGCCGGCACGAAGGATGAGGTTAAGCCTGTACGAATACGGCGCAGCCCAACGCATCCGCTCGGTTGCCCACCGTTGTTTTTGTTTTCTCCTGTGTGGTAGATGCCGACCGCCCCCTCGGCTTTTCCTAAGTTCTACAGCATATAGTACTTGTTATGTATGCAAGTCTGGATGCTTACATGGTGCGCAAATGTGTGGATGGATGATGGATGGGCGGATGGATGGATGGAGATAAATATGGATATATCCGGCTAGCGGTAAACGCAGGATAGATAAAAGATAGACGTGTAGGTGTAACGTGCGGGTGTGGATTGGTTACGAGACGAGTCACAATCGAGATGGGCACAACCGGCTGGCTTGTCAGAGCGGGAACACACAGACGACTGCCGAGACGGGGCAACGTCGCTCTTCTTTCCCGTCGCGATCGAAGGCCAAGATAGCATGCTGGCTTCAGAAAGAAAAAAAAAGAAGCAAAAGGAAAGAAGCAAAACAAGTCGTCAAATCGCATTTCAGCGTCTCAGGATCGCCTCCCTTTCCCCTCTCCGAAGACGGTGATAGCCCCATCTTCGGCTTTGCTCGGGTTACAACAATTCGCACGACGCGACACGACACGACAAACCCGGGCCGGGAGGATCTGGGAGGCGACTGATACGTTACAACGGCTCCTAACATTATACGTTACGCAGTACGATCATAACAGGACTAATAAGAGTAAGAAGAAGAATAAGAAGTAGAGTATTATGGCTTAGATTAAGTAATCAGGTGCGCATATTCACCCGTCAAACCTATATTCGGTGTACCTAACGTATAACACTCCTCTCGGAGGTATCCAAGTCACAAGTGTAATATCCGGCATGTAGGAGATATTGAGGTATGTATATATATATATCTGTATATAATATACCTACTTATATATACACAGATATATATAGGTGTAGGTAGGCAGGTATACACCTCCTCCAACCTGCCTGCCAGCCTAATGCACATACCTATACCATACATGCCTACCGGGGTGGGCACTACCCCAATCCTATGTAACCTCCCTGCCTAAGGCATGGTATAGTACGATGCACTATATCATACTATGCTTATATTATACGTATATCGCGGCCGTGCTATAGGTAGGAGGAGAGGCTGGACGGGAACCGACGCTCTCTGCGCGCGTGTGTGAAAAGGGGCCTGTTGATCCGGTTTATTGGGAAGTCTATTGGCAGGGCATCGGGGTTGGACCCCGAATAGGAAAGTCAAGGAGCTTGGGAACGGAGATCCCTGTCCCCCCTTCGGGACGCGGTTCCCGGGGCTGCTCCGGGTGCCGTCGAGGGCTGCTCCTCTTCCAGGCTTTCTAGAAGCCGACGCGCTCGCGCGACTATTGGCCCGAGCTCGAGGAGATTTACCGATCTCACCCACACTCCGACCAAATATCAGATTGTGCATTACGACATTGCAACCTAGGGTAGCACCACCTGACGGCGGGCGAGATGGGACGGAGTTGGGGGTTAGGATATGACGGAGGGTACACGGGCAGCCTCGCTTACACGTTCGTCCGCCGTCGCAGCGCATCCACATGTACCATAGCCATGTAGCAGCAGCAGCAGCAGCAGCAGCAGCAGCGGTAGCAACAGCAAGTCGACCTAGAGGTATGTAGGTGACCTAGGCAGGTAGGTAGCCAGGAACCCGCTCTCTCGCTCGCTCTGTCTCTCTCGCTCGTATTTCGTGGGAATTTCCAAGGCATTTCTGATCTCATCGCAGCCAAGCGAGCAGGACTCGTACACCCCCGGCTGACACACTACCTGGCCTGCGTGGCCGGTACTTGGATAGCAGATACGGCAGATACTCCGCGTACATGCATACACATGTCCATATATACCTACGTGTCTAAGCAGGCAGGCATAACAGTTGGTGGCGGTATGGTGGATTACCACCCACATGGCCGACATACACCCATACCCCCAGCGCATATACCGAGTAAGAGGAGAAGGGGGGGGGGTGAAATCCAGCAGGAGACATCTCTACCCTGTCGTCTTCAGAGGGCGCTACTGGGTAGGCTGGGCTGATACGCACAACTCCTCCTCATCCACCCTGTACGGGTTACGTGAGCGTGACACGAATACAGCTAACTACTTAATGGTATACCTAGTGGTATATTTCGGTAGCGATGGTTAGTATTACGAGGGTTAGGTACCTGAAGCGTCCGGCGCGGCAGATGGGCAACCTACTTGATATTATGGGCAGGCTAGCTAGCTTACCTTTACACGTAGGTAAGGAGTTTCTCATCTCCTGACCCCTGGTGCTATAGAGGTTAGGTAGGTACTTACCTAGGTAGGAGACAGGTAGGTAGGTACCTACCTAGGTATGCACTCCATACCTCCTTGTGTCCACGCCTGCATACCTAGGTACCTAAGGTAGGTACATACGTGCCTACGTAGGAGGTATACCTAATATGTGCACAACCCTAGGTTAGGTAGGAGGTAGGTAGCTCGGCGGGGGGGGGTACGTAAGGAAAGGTACCTGCCTACAGGGACAGGCAGTTAGGTGCCTCCTTGGGTACGTACTCTTGGATACCGCTGGTAAGGTTCCGATGATGGAGCTCGCAATTCGGAAGGTACTTGTGATGTACCGTCTCCAACCGGCCCGGGCGCATCCCCCTCGCCACGGGGTACCTAGCGGGTACATGCTCTCTTTTTCTTTTTTTCTTCTCGCGAAACCGCATGGGGCGGCGGCGGGGGTGTCTCTCGGCAAGCGTCTGCAGCCGCGAAGGAGCTGAGCTGAGTGCGACCCAGCCACATGGCCCTGTCCAACAGCCGATCCTGAAGTTCTTAATGAGTGGGTTTTATTATTACGGACGTCAGAAGATTGGGTTCCTTCGGTCAGGCACCAGCATTTGCTCTAGCGTCTAGAGGTAGGTACCTATCCTTAGGTAGGTTAGGTACTTGGGTTAGCACTCCCTACAGAGGGACTGGAAGAGGCCTAAGCTGCCTGAGCTAATTACGTTCTCCCTTGCCTCCCGGTAACTACCTACCTACAATTCCGCCCTTCCCCCCCGATACGCGTATATGATATACATACATTGATATATACTCTACTCATAGGTACAGTCCGGTATGTAGGAGGTCCCGGCGCACAGATCACAAAGTAGGGTGAATTGTGCAAGTGCCGACCGACACAACCCCCACCCCTCTTCATACCTATGTGTGAGCACTCCTCCGTTATCCTCCATAGATACTTCCTCTCTACAGCTGGGCATCTCTCAATGCGTATGCATATAATCCTGCTGCTCGAGCTCTTGTAAGAGGAGAGGCACTTCGATGCATATAAGGCGTCTCCTCTCAGCCACCTGGGCACCTACCTTAGGTACCTAGGTACCTAGGCAATGCGCCTAGGCACCTCCCAGGCATGTACTCGGTACTTTTCCCTTACGTAGAACACCACCTATATACCTGCCCATCTAACCTAACTTCAGGTACTTCAGGTACGTACCTGCCCCCTTGCGATGTACATTAGGTACGTGCCTCTCGTAGCTCAATCCCCTCTATCGGCGCCAATGCGCGCCATTTTCTGCCCAGCCTGTGCATTCTCACCTACAAGAGTCCGCTCCCTGGCTCCATCGCCGCTCTGCCCTGTTCGCTTACATGGTACGTATCGGCACAACTGGGAAGCTCTCCGAAGGATTTGTCCACGATGCCTCACCACTCCCCCCCTTTCCCTGGATTGCCTCCGCCTACCTTCCACTAAGCCCCAAGCCTAGCAGCAGTTGTGGTAGCAACAAGCCAACAACATCATTTCGCTAACCGCCAAGTCGACAGCGACTCGCTTCCGTTCGGCACTCTTTATACCAGATCCGGAACTGTGCCCGTGGTGGCCTCCGTGTTCGTGTCCACGCGAGAGCGAGAGCGAGGGATAGAGCTTGAGCCGCAATCTGCGATATCGTAAAAGCGTGCTCCCCAGAGCCCAGAGAATATGCATAATACGGGACCCTGCGCCTCTTCTACTTGCGACGGGAGCCCACGAGATTAGAACATGGCAGAATACGTGCTTGCCCGTCCCTGCCCAGAGAAGCAGGCCTCCCCCTCCCTCCCTACCCAGCGAAGGCTTTTGCCGCGATGCCTTGCTTCTCTGCTCGCTGGCAGGGCGCGACATGCGGCCCTTACGTCTGGGGAATAAGGGGTTAGGGGAGAGAGGGGCACGGAGAGCGGACTGATTAGAGAGATATGCATCAGACCGGCCAAGGCTGGCACAATTCGGCACTGACAATTGCTGAGCTAGCGGACATCATTTCGCTAATCTGTGTGTGCCTTGGTTTTGACAAGGAATGACGCAGGAAAAAGGACTTGCACCGGCTGATGAGACGTGGCGCTTGGTCTTCGAGAGACTAGGGACCGGTAGATCATCTAGATGTGGTGTACTCTCTATGGCCCCCCCCCCCTTTCCGACGCGACGAAGCTTGGGCCTCTCTCTGCTTCACGCTGCCGTTAGCCTTGGTCAGGGCCTAAAGCCAGAAGAGTGGCTTGCGCGGTTGCTTCATCCCGATAACCAACTTAGATTCGACTGCACCGCACACGGAAGGATAGTCGCCCCCCTTCCCCTCTAGCGCTGCAAGTAGCCATTCTCGGGCCGTTGTCGAGACGATCCCTTCGACTCCGACCGGTTCCATGCTTCCAATTCTGACCGAGTGCCAACATGTTGACAGCTCACACATACTCATACAGCCAGATCTCCGACAGCCGTTCGGCTTGCTGTAGGGGGAGGGGGGGCTTTGCCAACAAGGATAGGGGTAGGAGAGAGGGGGGAGCAGCGTCGGTAGTTCGATTATAACATTCGCCCGGCTGGTTGGATCAGATTGAGATGATCGCCGGTCTAGCGGATTTCTGGTAAGCCCAGCATTAATTGTGCCGTGAGTCTTTTCTTTTCTTTTTCTTCGATTTTTCTTGATTGTATTCGCGTTGTTTTCTTTCTTTCTTCAGCCACCAAGCGGGCAGGTTCCCCCGGCTGAACTTATGCCTAACAATTCCGCTGAAGAGGCGACATAAAACAAGCCGTTGATGAGGATAGCTCCTCCACGGTAGATTTTCAGGTTGTCCAAAAAGCCATATGTGCACATTATACACACCCAATACCTTTATGGGCAGGTAGAGGTGGCGGTAAAGCGACAGGGCGCCCTGAGACGTCGGATCGGTTGAATTAGAGGATCCAGTCCCCGTCAGCGACGGGACCACCCAGAACCTAGACCACCGCAATTCGATCTGCCGTGCCATGAACGTGTGCTCAATTGCTTTGAGCCAGGCCGCCAGCCCCCCCCCCCCTAGAGTCGGCCGACACACGTCCCGACGTAACAATTTTGGTCTGCCAGCTAGTTGCCGGTAGCATATCACAATTGCCGGCTATGCTGGGCAGTCTCTCATCTTCGAGATAGCCAAGCCTATCGTCGTCACATCGTCATGGGGGGGGGGCGGGCTATTCTCTCCACACCTCATCGGCTCTTGTCTTCCTACCTGGCTGGTGGTTCCGAGCCCTCGGCCGGACTCGTGTACCGGCATATTCGACGAGGTAGGAATGCCGCCGAACTAATAACGAGGAGGCGAAAGACGCCTAGGGGCTTAGGCAACTAATGCCCGCGAATACTACCAGTGCCGGTAGCCAGGCGGGATGGTCGAGTGATGCAAACGGCCGGCAGGTAAGGGCAGAGGCGACCCCCCTCCCATCCCCCTTCTCCTGCGGCGATGATTACATGTGTGGCGGGGCTAAAGCGACAGCCCGGTTTCCTTTCCCTTTCTAGCTCCATCAGCCCATTCCGTAGGGGGAGAACATTAGCGAAATGCGGGTTCCGGGGTCCAGAGGAGAACAAGTGGGAGCCTTGGGGACCCATGAACAGTCGTAAGCCACTCACATCAACCCGAAATGCCTGGCAAGTCGATGGGTTGATGCGCAGCGCCATGGAGCGGCTCCTCCCACTCGGCCGATAACGCCTTTTGCACAATACCCAGCGCCTCGGGCACTTAGACTACTCCGGTCCTTTGTCGGTTCGCGTGGGCTTTTTCTTTTTCTCTCGTGCTCTCTCTCTCCACCCCTTGCCTCCCCAAACGAACGACTGCGGCACGAAGGGGTCGGCGAGGGTGGGAACCGGTGGAGATTCGCGTACCAGTTAGGGTATATCAAGGCGTTGTCGACTTTCCCAAGAGGGCCTAGCCGGCCGAGCTATCCAAGATATATCGGTTGGCGATCGTACGAGACGAGGCAGTCGACGGGCTCGACGCCTACGTAGGTAGAGGGACTCCCGGGCCAACTCACCGGCTCGCCTCCGAAGTTCTGATCTCCTGGGACGCCTAAGCGTGTAGAGCAACCCCTGGACTCCCCCAGGCAATCTAACGGCTAAGATGCTGGGCATTTCCGAGCCTTCGCGGGCGGCTACAGGCGTGCCGCCTGCAAAAGGTCCATGCAGTCCCAGACCCCTCGGGGTTTGGCGACGACGCCTACGCCCACCGCGGTAGACCTAGCCGGCGCTAGATGGGATCAGATGAGAGAGAGACTAAATCTACCCACACCGTAGCATCTACGTGGCCAACTTAGTGCACCCAGAGCGCCGGAATCACACTAAGAGCAGCCTAGGTGCCGGCGGCACGCGGGCTTTGCTCGTATACTCCCGGGCAGGCTCTCCTGGGGAGATATAATAATATCCCGGAGTGCGTCGCGACGATGCCTCGTGTAGCCCGTGGACCAGGGCGGTAGCCGTCATACTGCGTATTCTCGTCCATACAACAACATCGACAAGCCGTTGCTTGGTGTCTGGCTAGTAACACATCGTCTCATCCATAGCTCGTACCTAAGATGAGGAAATCCTACTCTCTCTCTCTCTTTCTCTCTCGGTCTCTGCTTCTCTCTAACCGCCCCCTCCCCTTCTTTCTCCCGCCAAGGCACCTAGCCATGTCGTGGGTGAGCACGATGCGAAGTGCTCAGCGCAACGCCATGCACGCATGTTTGAGTCTATGCACGTGTCTCTGTGCTGTGTGTGCGCAGGCTGGATATATATGCACATGCGCAGGATAGCGTCGTGTGTTATATACCTATGTGGTATGCATGGTCTGGAACAACGACCTTGCTCTCCTCGACGGAGTTCCTGCGAGACCAATGGCGTCTGTGATAAGAGAAGAGCATCTTACTATACGCTCGCTTGGCTTGGTTGTGCCCATTCGCATCTGCACCTATGCACGTACCTCCTACGAGGGTTAGGTACTTTAGTATATGTGCATAAGCAGGTAGGTACATGCTTGCTGAGCCCCTTAAGGTAGGTAGGTAGGTACCTACCTAAGGTATATACATATACGTAGGTATGTACCTACCTGGGTTTGGGTATGCACCTATGAGTAAAGTGCATTTGGTTAGGTCCATACCTACCTTAGGTACCTATCGAATGTCCCTATATCCATATACATAAAGGGATGTACGCTGGCAAGCCCCTCGCGTGCGTATCCTGATTACCCCATACGCGCATGTACCTATAGCACGTTTCACAGGCATGCAACACCGGCGATAGGCCGACAGACAAACGCGCACTTCGGTAAATCGAGGTTGCCGTCGCTGACCTCGGTACGTATCCACGTGTGGGCGACCAGGGCTGGCCCGTACCTACCTCTCTCCAAGATGGGATACATCGCCGTGGGTATCTTAGTACGCGTGTACATACATGGGGAGTACCTGGCGAGATCGGGGAGCCACGTACCCGATGTCGATTACCAACACCCTCGGGTACGCGGTAGAGGTACCTCCGTCGCGGAGACAAGCAGGGGACGCCCAGGTACCGCGTACGTACTCGCACAAGTACCTCCCCCCCCGAGGCGGACAGGCAGGTACCGCTGACACGGGTTGCACTACCGGGGATTACAGAAGGCACACAGGGCCTTCCTTTCCTAAATTTGTCGATCAGCTCCGTTCGACCAACGAGTACCGACCCACAGGGAATCAACATCAAGCCTCCGTCTCTCCGACGAGTTAGTCTCACTCGTCCGCCTCTCGCTCCTCTCTCTCTCTACCTCTCGCTGCCTCTCTCACTTGCACACTGACACAGACAACACACACACACACACACACACACACACACGCTGTCTCTGTCTCCTGTCTCTGTCTCTGCCGTCCCACGACATGCTTGCGCAGGTAACGTTGGGTTACCTACCAACCCCCGGTCCCCTCGATTCCCCGTGGCGGTACGTGCCTTTACCCACCTCGTCTACGACACCCAGGCCTCCGTAGGCCTCGTTCCCACCCGGTCTCCGTATGTACATCACGACGCCTCCACTACGCCGACACTGCTACCGTATACTGCGTGCTAGAATCCAGGGAGGATTCGCCAGGCGGTAGCGGCCTCTTCGCATACACAGATGCGCCCTCTATTCGTCCCAGTCTCCCCGACCATTCGATTACCCTTAACCACATCCGTCGCCGCGTGGGCTTTTAGTATTGAAATCTACCGTAGCACGGGGCTCGCCTTATGATCTAGCTAGGGTCATCTGGGATCATCTAGGATCTCCAAGCTTGCCAGGCATCCCCTTCTAGCTTATCGACGGGACCCCAGGAGGACCCTGACAAGTGCCCTCTCCTTACCGAGCCCAGGATCTACCCTCGTACGTACTACGTAGTATGTATGTATCTACGAATGTCTGTCAGTCTGTCCATATGTAGGTATGTATATACATACGTCCGTACGTACATACCTATACACATACATACACTCATATATATATATATCACACATAAACATATGAGTAGACACGCTCTCTTATGATGTGTGCGTATGTATATATGTGGTATATATGAGTATGTCTCTGTATATGTAGGTATATATGTACATGCGGTAGTAATAGTAAGAGGAGAAGGAGTAGGAGGAGGAGGAGGAGGAGTACGTGTGTGTGGGTGTATGTGTGTGTGCTGCGTGCGCACCCCGGCCCGGTATGGCCTCATACGGAGACATCTACCTACCTTTTTCTACCGACTAGCAGCTAGCCCGTCTCGCGTACTAAATCCCATGTAAGTGGGCGTGTGTGTGGACTGGCGCATACACACTACGCGCATGTAGGTAAGCGTGTATATCCTATTAGGAGATGTAGGTAACTGATCATAGGTACGTGCCTCCCGAGGACAGGAAACCAACACCATGCCGTCGGAGCCGACCACGATCAGACGCGGGAAGTCTTCTGGAGGTCTCTCCTCTCTCTACCTCTCTCTCTCTCTCTCTCTCTCTCCATACCCCCCCCCCCCCCCTCCGCATGGGTTGTGACCAGGGTAACAGTACCTGGCCTCGTCCGTTCCCGCCATGGAGCATGGGGGTGGACATGGGATTCTTCCACCTAGTCGCCGCTGCTACCTCGATCAATCTCGTCTTGTCTCGTTTTGTCCTGTCCCTCTTCCCTGGACGAGGGGACCCTAGAAAGCAGCAGAGTAACAGGCCCGTCCTACTTACATCACACACTCTCACTGGCGGTGCCGCCATACGTGACCCGTCCAGTTACGAGATATTACCATACAATACCTCCCTCACCCCCCGATTCCCTCTTCAGGCCTGCTTTCTCTCTCCTCGAATCATCTTCTCTCCTCAGCTCAGCCAGACTCGTCGTCACTTGCTATTTGCCTCCTGTATCTAGGTATACGATTCACCCGAGAGACAACTGGGGTACCAATTCCGAGAGGCTGCTAAACTTATGAGAACCCATCTGTCGTACATTGGCTAAAAACCCATTACACGGGTCAATCCCTTCTGGCCCTTCGCCTCTTGTCAGCTTTTAGCTCTGACTTGCTCGCCGCCTCACACTAGACTCTTCTGTCACCACGTCGACGGCCTTCGCCCATCGCCTGCTGGCCTCTTAATAACCCGTTACGAGACAGCCTGTACCGCACCGCACACCACAGCTCAGCTCAGCGCCCACGCCAATTATCCGGGATTCTGGCCGCTCCCAGCGCCCCGGCTCGACGAACCTACAGCAGCTCGGAGGGTGTGTCGTATGAGTGTGCGTGCTGGCTAGCTGCGCCGCTCCCAGGACTTCCCTTCTTTACCCGGCAGATGCCCCAAGTATATACCACTGACCCAGCAGCGTATATTCTGCTCGCCACGCCGTTTTCTTCGGGGCTCCATAAGTGTGCGCCGCCCGCCTGGGAATTCTGCCAAACTTCCTCTGTCCCGGTTTGAAACGCTATAAGGACCGATCTGGACTTCGCACCCGGCCTCAATGGGGATACAAGGTAGACCAGAGCCTCATCGTCCGCCAGTTTTTCCTAACACACCTCCCGGCCTGGTAAGTCCGACTTCGTCCGCCCACACGCCTAGGATTTCCGAGGAACCGACGTGGGCAGCCACCACCACCGTACCTATTTCTCCCCCTATGTCTAGCTATGATCCGAGCACCAGATCCGATATGTCAACTAAGGAGCCGGAAGAGGGTCAAGTCCGAAGAGAGAGCGTCCAGAGCGCGCCTAGGCAGCAACTCCCATCGTTGAGCAGCCTGTTTGGGCCGGCTCACCACGTCCGCCCGGCCCCTTCTCCTCGGCTGGATCGCCCCAGTCTTCTTCATAGCTCTCACCCTCCCCTGGATCGGCCCCAGTCGAGAAGCTCCTCCTACTTTCCGAACGTCTCCCCTCCCCTCAGCCAACCGCGGAGCGTCTACGAGCCCAGGCTGGAACCGGAGAGGCCAACGCTCCCGTCGGTCGCGTCCCAGTTTCCCGGGCCGCTCAAATCCCCGACGCGCGATTTCGATCATCCGAACCATGCGCCGCGTGGCGAGCCGTCTCCTAGAAGGTGGCCGAGTATGAGCCATCTGGACTCTAGGCGGGGGGAGTATGTGTTCGAATCGCCATCGGCAGCTCCCCCTTTCCGATCGGAGCGCATGCCGCTTCCTCCTTTGGGTCAGAGGCTGGGCTTCGAAACGAGCCCGGTGTTCAAGCGAGAGAACGCGATGCATCTGGAGCCATCGGGTCGTTCGCCGACTCTGGTGGGAGCCCTCATGCCAGAAGGAGCCCCCGTGAAAGACGGGCTAGGACCCAAGATCTGGACAGGGACACACTTCTTGCCCCGTTTTGTGAAGCAAGCTGAAGTTCCCGGGGAGGGGATGTGTTACTTCTACGACGACGGGACTCATTGCAAGACGGTTATCGATGGGGAGCCGGTTAACGCCCACTGGGGGGTCACGAAGGCGGGGAAGCCGAGGAAGCGGCTCGCGATAGCTTGTCTCACCTGTCGGGAGAAGAAGATCAAGTGTGACCCCGACTACCCCCGATGTGTCCAGTGCGAAAAGTTCGGCCGCGTCTGCAAGTTCAAGAATGCGTAGGTCTCCCCACCCCCTCGATAGGTGGATGTGTCGGGTTTTGTACGTTTGCTAACTGACTTGCCTAGGCCGCGAGGTGGTCATAATACCTCTCCGGTAGCTTCTCCGGCGGAGCATGACCTGTCCAACGTTAGGCAATTCGGAGCCCAGCCCAGTGTGACGGACTTTGGGAGGCCGAGAAGCACATCGAGCACACCTGTCTCGCCTCGAACTAACAAGATGGGCCGTCATTCTCCTGAATTACTCCCGGGCCTACCCCCTAAGAGGGTCCGGTATTCCTACGACGAGTACCCGCGGCACCCGCCGCTCCCACCGAGCCGATCGTCCCCAATGATGCCAATTCCCGACATGAAAAAGGCCGCAAATGGCGCCATACCGGCCTGGCAACACCATGATTTTGGTCGTGATATTCTTTCCCGGCCGTGGCAAACAGACCCGTAAGTTGACGATCCTACGGAGAGAAATTGCTTGGGCTATCTCGACCCTCATCTCCGACCCCTAAAAAAAGTAAAGATCAGAGGGGCTTATTGTTATACGATACAGAAGACCCCATACCCGTGTATAGCACTGTAAGACACCGGCTATAATTCTATATGGCCCAACAAAGCGATCGGCATAGCCTCGCAGATCCCCCCGATTCGATACGGATATGAGAAGTGCCGCCAGCGCAGGAGCAGGGGTTCGGTTTCTGCTGCCACCTGAAACGGATGAGAACGGCCATCGATTTACGCTAGACTAAGTGCGAACACGGACAGACGATTTTCACGAATCGCATTCTCCTGGGGGGGGGGGGAGACCGAGATGATCATACACGGAACGGTCGTCTCGTGGAAATGTAATCACTTGCTGAGATATCTTCACAGGGTCCAATCTTAGGTCTCAGGAGGGGAGCCCCGAGGTCCTACGAATATTACGCCCAAGGATAGGCGTTGTTCCGTTCGAAAAGCAGCGCCGAGAGCCTATACAGCATGCCCCTGGGAAGACCAGAGGTGAAAATAGCGACTCGTCTTGATCTGCCCCGGTCATGAAATTTGTCTAGAACCCGGCCTTCTATCTCTTGATTCCGCGGTCTGTCTGCTAGCCGAGTCCGTTGAGTATTCAACGCTCCTGGTAGCACCAGCGTCGCCTTTATCGGGATATTGGGCTACAAGATGAGATGACTGGACGCCGCCACGACGGTTTACACAAATGCCAACACTAGCACAAATGCCAACACTAGTTGAAGATTTTCTATTTCATGGCCTATCTGATCGTCCAGATTCAGGCCTTGAGCGCACATTTCACCGGCGTTCTGGATCCAGCTTTTTTTTCCATCTTTTTTCTTCAAAATTTGGGCCGGAGCATTGCAGGGAATAGGCACTGGGGATGACTTTCAGATATACCAGTCTTATGCATTTGGGTGGTTTATTGGTTTATTGGGGTTTCCTCGGCTGCATTTACGTCTCGTTTCTGGTTGTCGTCCTCTCTCGCGGAGTCGGGCTAACCAAACTAACTGTTTCGTGTCTGTTTTTATCATCCTTTTTCGGGATATATATTTCTTTTACCCACATGTATACCCTGTACTATAGCCCTGTCTTCGCCGCATTTTTGCAAGCACGTATATGTATGTATCCTGGCACAGCATGTGGAATTCGGTGCGGGAGGGGAGGCCAGGGAGGAAAGCAAGGAGTAATCCCACGGCGAAGAGAGGAGGATCCAAAGGGGCGAGGGGAGAATGAGGAATAGATACCAAGCAACTACCGTAGGCGACCAATGCTAGTTTGCTGTGATATCTGGGGCTAACCAACCCATCTACGTAAATACAAGAGGCTTTCTACAACACGCACGCACGCACATTCACTCGCGGTCCATCACGCACATAAGCACACCACGTAACTCGTCAGGATCCTTCGGACCCCTCTCTCCTCTCCAGCGGCGAGTGGGCTGCGCCATTCCCGTCAGGCAAGCCATGAGAATCAGGTTGGTCGGGATTTCTAGGCCTTGCATTTTATTGCGTGACTTAATAGTGCCTCGATGGGGGGCAGACAAGTCGGCCCCCCCCCCCCCTTTTTGTGCTACAGTTGGAGAGAGAGGGGGGGAGGGAGAGAGAGAGATGGGGGGAGAGAGGAAGAGGAAGAGGGAGGGAGGGGAAGAGGGAGAACAACAGACAGAAGCAGGCAGGCTGACTGGCAAAGCGCCTGCAGGTCTCAAGATTCTCCTATTTCACTTCGTTACCAAATGCCGCTGTCGAGCCAGATCAGGCCAGATCATATCAGCTGCCACCGAGGAAATGCCAACGGATGTCTTGTAAGAGGAGGAGGAAGGAGGAGGAAGAAGAAAAGGGAACCAACGGCACTACCAATCCCCGTCACCCGCGCTCTGTGTGTACGTGTAAGCATTTGCCATGCTCTCGTACTGCCAGATGGTTCATACGTGCCGTTTCCCTGCCGTGCCCTTCCTCCACACTGTCTACGCCCTCCTCCACCTCGCGCTCGTTTCGACCCCCGGCCAGTGGACCGCGGGCATGCATGCGTAGGAATTGGTACGCACGATCTGCTGCTGCTACTGCCGCCGCCGCCGCGGCGACTACCACCGCTACCACCGATAACGCTCGACACCCGCCTGCTACTTTTTCTTATTGTTTTCCTTGGAAGTAAGTGAAGCGGGAGGAGGAGATGGGAGTAGGAGGAGAGACTGGGGGGGAAGGGAACTGCCTAACGTTATAGCGGAAACGAGTCCGAAAATGGATTCTCATCCGTGCTCCTGCTCCCACCCCATAACAGGAGAGGACCCCGGACCGGACGGGATAGTAGGTAACATGATGAACCGAAAACGATCGAGCGAGCAAGGGAAGGGGGGGGGGACGGGAAACGGCGCGAACGAGGACGAAGATAGTACTGAGTAATAATGATGATAATAATAATAAGAACCATAAGCAATAAGACGTTTCCTAATCTACCACCTGCCTGTCTACCTTTACATACAGCACACCTACCCACACCCACACACACACACACGCACGCACGCACGCACGCACATACTATAGTTATGTGTATACCCGGACTGCTATACCTAACCTACCAGGCAACCCAACCTGTCTTTACCTAGTCTGCCAGCCTACCTGACTAACCCAACCTACGCACAACCACAACTCGGCACGAGAGAGAGAGAGAGAGAAAGAGAGAGGCATATGGAGAGGATAAGAGGAGATCGAGTGCAGCGCGCGCGTACATAGATACAGACATGCCTAACTTACGTGCCGAACATACCGTCTAGGCATCTCGGGCGTTCCTCTTTCTCTTCTCCTTGTCTCGCCCCTTTTCTCTCCCCCAGTATAATCAAATAGGCACGTAGGAGAGCTAGACCGGGCCCCGTGCTTCCTACGTATACCTACCGTAACTGTTATACAAACCCCGGATCTACGTAGTACAGAGGGACATATCTATGCCCGTCGGCGAGAGCCGGGGTATCTGGTAGTATACGTTTACGGGGACGATTACTGCCATTACTGCTATTACTACAGCTGCTGCTGCCACCCACGTCAGAGGCTGCTACCGCTACCGCTAACCGGCGTACTCCTACGAAAGAAGGCCAGACGCTCTGGAACGGCGATTTTAGGTACACATGGTCTGTCGTTGTACGATGTGTTGTATGGGTGAATGTCAGGAGGTATGAAGAGAGAGAGAGGGGGGGGGGTCTAGATGGACTCCTGCCTACCTACCTACATACATACTTACACATACCTAAGTATACGCATGCATACACGCATACCTAACCTACATGCGTACGTACATAGACAAGATTGTCGTGCGAGCAGGTGGGATTCGGGCGTATTCGTGCACATAGTTAGCATACGTACATAGGTAGGTAGATGGTAAGGTGATGTGGTTGTATGTGGTTGCATGTGTAAGTGCAGATATCGCATTTGCGTATATGTAGGCGTGCCTAGGCGTGCGTATCCGGGTACACCGGGGTTGGGAGGAGGACAGGCGGCGTGGGCGGGTAACGTAGGTAACGTGGGTAACGCTATGTTAATTGTCGTCGCCAGCGGCAGCTCCGAATAGCTGCTTACCTACCTCTAGTAGGGAGGGAGCCTGAGCAGGGAGTTAAGCAGCGTCGCACGTGTACTCTCCCTTTTTTTTTTTTTCTTCCCTGTTTCTCTCTGGGCAAGCCACCGTCTGACTGCCCGACCCATTTCTGTCTTTCAGCTCGTCTGCGTCGCATACAACCACGCGACGGGGGCGGGTAAGTAGGTACCTTGGTTATCGTCTGTTTTCTTCTTCTTCTGTCATTACTATATGTCTCGACGCCACCCACGTCCAGACCCGTTACGGCTCTCCCTCGCCCCTCTCCCTCTCTGACACGTTACGCAAGCACAGAGCTCTAACATGCGAAAGAGAGGAGGTAGGAGGGGGGCGAAGGAAGGAAGGCATAGGCGAGGACGGTGTTGTCGCGTATTAGAGCGTTGTTGTCGCGTAGGGAGGAGAGGCGTCGAAGTAGGGCGGAGCGCCAGAGAGCTCGTGCCTACAGGCGATGGATGTGCTTGCATACCTACCTCCTAGGTATACTCGCACCCACACACTGCACGTACATGCCCACCACTACTCGAGCTCACACATGCAGTACGCGGGGGGAGAAGTAGGGGGCGGCCGGCACAATAGGTGAGGTAAGTAACGCGTCGGACTCGGCAGGCTAGGTAGGTACCTAGCCAGCAAGTGAGATGGATTTATTTATTTCAGTGTATGCGTGTATGTCTATACATATTATATATAGAGATATACAGGTATAAAGATAGAGAGAAGGGGAGAGAGAGGAGAGAGAGAACAGGCTACGTCGGGGCCTATGGCTATAGGCAATAATACCTACCTACCTACCTACCTACCTACCTAGGTAGATAATAGCAACAAGCTAGACTCTAGTTATATCGCAGTGGTAACGACAATAAGAATACCTACCTACCGTTACAGCAGGGGGCATCCCATATTGGACGTCGCATGCGTAATGTACGTAACCCTGTATAGGCCCGGTTGGTCGAAGGGTAGCAATGGCCCGGCCGGGGAGGGGGGGGGGGAAGAGAACGTGGGAACGGGTAAACCGACTTCAGTCTAGATCTGTTCTACGTGTCCTGACGTTACCTCGAGATTTCCCCCTTCTCTCTCCTCCTCCCCTGTCTCCCTGCCTCTCTCCCTCTCCCTCCCGTCTCTCCCTCAGGTCCGCATCCCTCAGGTCTTGCATCCTACCTACCTACTACGTACATATGTAGGTGGAATTCGCTCGTACATATATATATATATATATATATATATGTATATAGGTGGTGGTGGCCTGGGCCGACTCGGACAAACCCGCATGAACGTCAGGAGGTACATGCCGTAGGTAAGTACCTACCTACCTACCTACCTACCTCCTACCTCTAGGTACCTACCTAGGTAGGTAGCTCAAGTAGGTACCTAACCTATATAGGAGGTACCCAAGGTAACTTCGCTGCTGGGTAACGCCGGGCTAGAGGTACCTACAAGTCGGCCACTCGGCCGAGCTTACGCATTGGTGGGAATTCGGACGTCGCACCCAAGTAACGTCGGCCAGGGTCTCGCTGAGGTTATTTTCCTGCTTTCCACGGCCAAACCTCCCCCCCGCTCCCCCACCGGCGAGGGGGGCTGCTTAAGGTGTTAGGTACCCTCTTACCTACCTTAGGTACCTAACCTACCTTACCGCCCTAGCGAGGTACAAATCCGCAATCTCGCCCAAGTTACCCATCTGCGCATTATTAGTCTCACCTACCTTAGGTACCTGCTGGGCACGACCGTGACACCACCGTCGTTGCGGGGCATCGTCGCCATCCGTCGTACTACGGGACGTCAGGATGTAGTACCTAAGGCAGGTAGATAGGTAGATACCTAGGTAGGTACATAGGTATTTATGCACTTACACCCTGCATCGGGGTACGTACCTACCTGGGTACCTAGGTACCTACCTACCCATGCATATACGCATGTACATATGTATGTATGTACGCGCCATGCATGCAGCCAGCACCTATCTCGCCGAAGAAGAAGAAGAACAGGAAGAAGAAGCGAAGAAGCACGCCGTGGGCCAGGAAGAGAAGACGAAGAGAAGAACAAAAAAAAGAGAAGACCAAGAAGAAGACCGAGAACGTGCTCCACCCCATCCTCTCCCCTCCTCCTCCTATCCTCCCTGACCCCCCTCTCTCTCTGTCTGTCTGTCTCTCTCTCTCTTCTGTGGTGGCGCCCCGCCCCCTCTCCATCCGTAGTTCTGCCTCTCTTTCATTTCTTTTCCTTATTTTATCTCTATCGCTTCCTTCGCCGTGCGCATGTGGTTTGGTTTACCTGCACGCATATATATCTAGGTAGGTATGACATCCATGGAGTATGCCTATGTATGCACATGTATGCGCATGGCATGTGCACAGGTACCTCTACCTACTTTGATGCGGTAATAGCAATAATAATAATAAACCATAGAGAAAAGACGTCGGCCAGGGAGGGATGAAGGAAGCGAGCCCAAGACAGAAAGAAAAAAAAAAGAGGCGACCAGGATGACCGACAACTTTCGAGGCGACCCCAAGAAATAACATTAGCAGCAACACCAATACCCGGATCGATCAATTGCCATCCATCGCTAGCATCGACCCGGCATGGACAAGAGATAGCCGCATGTCCCTAAATAGAAAGGATCCGGGTCTCCCTACCTACCTCCCTAGCTGCCTACGTACATGCTGTACATATATATATATATATATATATATAATATGTATGTGTGGGCGTGTTGTGTTCGTGCGTGTGTACGTGTCCAAGTATGCGGTGGTAGTGGTAGTGGTAGTGGTAGTGGTAGTACTTGTCGTAGTAGCAGTTAGCGGTGGTGGTGGTGGTGCTGCTGCTGGTGGTGTGGTTGCACCGCGGTGACCCAGGGGACTGGTTGGCGCAATACCGTGCTGATTCCATCTGGATTCCTCGATGGGGGGCGGGACTTCGAGCCGGCGGAACGTGGAGGGGACGAGGAGAGAGGGAACGACGACGACGACGAACTAGGGGTGACCGGGGAGGGGAGGGGAGGGGGGATGTGATGGTAGGTAGGTATGTATGTACATTCATACTACCTGCGTGGGTACGTACGCCCGCACGTACCCGTACGCGACGCGGACATGGGTGCTGGCGAGATTGGACGCCAAGACAACGAGACTACATACATATAGGCACCTAACCCACCAAACCTACCGCTATATGTGTATAGTGGTTGGTGCGTATGGTGTAAAGGAGCTAGAGCGTCCAAGCACGTAAGAGAGAGAGGGAGAGAGGGAGAGGGGGAGAGGGAGAGGGAGAGAAAGAGAGGGAGAGAAAGAGAGGGACGGCCAGAGGGCCAGAGGGCCAGTAAGTCGTGTCTGTAGGTGTGTACGTCCAAGTAAAGAGCATGTGGATGCGTGGGATCCCATCTGGGAAGTGGTATTCTCGGTATGTATGCATGATGCCGTGGCATCTCTCATCTCCCGTGCCGTCTGATGTCTGAGAAGAGAAAAGAAGGGTTCTACAGATCTCGGCATAGACTTGGAGACCGGCCGGCAGCGCCAGCAGCATAAGCATAACCCGCCAGGGAGAGACGTCCAGAGAGATGATATGGTTGGGTACGGCGGCACGCACGTTGCAGATACACCAAACCCCCCCTCCCTATCTCCTCTCTCACGCACCACCACGCACCACCATCATCCCTCTCTCGCTCGACAGACGGACAGCTTCACCTTCGGTACACGGACATCATCTGGCATGTATCGTAGCATCGGCTGTCGTCATCGTTCTCTCGCCCATTCGCCCGCTCCCTCTAGCCCGCACCTCCAACCTCTCCCCCCCCCGACAGAACCTAGCGAGCTTCGGCTCAGCTCAGCTCAGCTAAATCCACGTAACCATGCCGTCGGGATAGGCGGCTTCCCTGTCCATACACGGGATTTGAAGAGCCACGGCACTGCTCTGCTGATCGTATCGAGATGGCCATCTACCCAGAAAGCCTGACAGCCGTCCTCGTGACCATACCATGGCCCGTCATCATGGTCGTAATGGCGGCACCTCGCCTGCCTTGCCCGGATCCGCCCATCACTTGCCGTAGTCTCTTTCCCCCCCCTCCCTTCCCCCCCGACGTGGCAACATCTTTCCGAGATCCGCCGTAATATCTCACTCACCCCTCGCCCTCGCCCAACCAGCCCACTTTTGGGTCCTCTGGCTCTTACTATGGTGCCACTACTTGTTGCGCCATCAACAGCGCCAGGTCGGAGTCTGGTTGGCTGAAAGGGGGCAGAGAGATCGCGTCCGTCGAAAAATACGGCCCAGTTAGGCCTCCTCTGCGTTCACTTGACCCTTCTTTTCCCCCCATCCCTTTTTCTTACTTTTTTTTTTTCGCCTCCTCGCACCAGATGGGAACACGTTCCTAATGAGGAAGGTTCGGAACTCATCCCTCTACTAATGTACGGGGATAGTAGTAATGGTAATGATGCCGGTAGTGGCGATAATAAGACCGAATGCGGTGGCAGCAGCGGCGGCAGCTTTCTTCCTCGTCCTCGTGTTTTCGGCTCCAACAAGAAAACGGCATCTGCCTCGTTTCCCACGTAACACAAGGTGCGGAAATGGCGGCTTACCCAGCCCAGAATGCGGTGCGATGGTGTGTGCAATACGAGGCCATATCGCTCCGGTGAGTTAAGCACGTAGTAAGGTGAACTGCAGCTCGACGCGCGAGAGAGGGACACAGAGAGGGAGAGAGATGTGCCGAGGACTTTGACGCGTCGATCCGCCGGAACAGGCTCGACGGCGGCTCCCTCTATGTTGAGTAATGTTAGCTCGGTCATACCCTACTTCTGCCCCAACTGCCTGCCTGCCTGCCTGCCTGCTGCAGGCTTCGCGATGCCGTGTCGCCTTGGGGGAATTTGTCAAAAAACCTCGTCGGCCTATCACCGACGAGAGGGTATATTGATCACCTTTCCGAGCCGGCCAACGATGCGACCTCAACAAACAACCAGACGAACGGGCAAACAAAAGAACGCCACCCTATATACCGCTCTTCCCCAAGCTGCGACGGCCCCAACACTGCAATGCCGTGGTATTATACATAACGCCTGGCCTCTGGCGGAACCCAGACTACGCCCCTTGCCACTTTGACTTACGACATCACTCCTTTTTCATCATGTCCGAGGCCTGCCGTGCATACTGCGTCGCATCTTCCCATGCCTTCTGCGCGTTCACAGCCTGACCCTGAACATCGTAGCTCTGTGCCAACATTGCATCCGCCACGCTCATCCACAGCGTGTTGCCGCTCTTCTTAGCCTGATTCGAAGCCGCCTTCGCGCTCTTGAGCGCCTGGTCGCCCACGATGCTCTGGAACAGCTTGGCCCGCATCAGGTTGAGCGCGATAGACAGCGTCTGCACGTCGCCCAGGAACTGCGCATTGTTCAGGGCCGTCGAGATATGCATCTTGACCGCCGTCATCGGGATGGGCGGGTTGGTCTGCACTGCCGCGAGCACTAGGTTGTACGCCGTGCGGATCTCCAGGTTGGGATGGTCGGCGCAGAGCGGACGGAGCTGTCCCAGTAGGTCTAATGTCAGTCGGTCGTCTCTATAATCGGGATGTTGCATAATCCAGAGCCGGTTGAAAGTCGCCAGCAACGACACCTCGACCTCCGCCATTTTCCGGCTCCTAGGTCTTCCATCTTGGTCCTCGAGGCTAAAGATCTGGTGGTAGAAGATCGAGTTGGCTGTTTCCAAATCGCCAGTCCCTTGGTGGTATACTCCCGCGAGATACGTCGAATACAGTACGACGATGCCCTCCAGCGGAGGCTTCACCATGCTCTCTAGTTGTGCCACGCAATTCTTGACGTCGGCCCATCGTGTATGACTTGCAAAGTAAAGACCTCGGAGGATGTAAAGATAGCAGACAAGCTCCCTCCGCCAGTCTGCCTTCGTAATGGCGTCCTCGAGTGAAGTCGGCAGACCTCGTAGTCTAATGCCAGCTACGAAGAGAATTAGTGATGTGACCGTAACGTGGCGCTATGACGGGTCCCCTTACCCCTTTGCAATTGGAGCAGAGCCTCCTCCCAGAGCTTGAAAATCCTGCTGTCATTACGGGGCGTTTGGCACAGCAGTGCGAGGCCACTATATGTGTATCTGGGTATGCTGTTAGCGAGGAGACGAAGGTTGCCGGCACAGACATCTTACGTTACGGTGAATGCCTCAAGCTTGCTCCAAAATGACATGGCGAGATAGTCGCAGGGGTCGTCGTCCGAGCCAGGCCTCAGCACAGCCGACGTATCGTGACTGATTACGGGTATGTTGCTTTTCCGGATGGGAAGCAGAAGCTCGGTCTCCGAAGAACTCCAGGATTTGTCTTCGATGGAAGCATCGATGCGGTCTTGGAGCTCCTTCAATTTCTGCATGATCGTCTGAGCCGACTTCTGTTGTAGGCTGCAGGCAAAGTCCAGCATGAGCGCGAAGACCTCGAGCTGCGGTATATGGACAGAATCCTCGAGCTGATACTTCATGGCCTGGGCGAGACAGCCCTGTATACGAACTATGGCGTCGTCCTTCATAGTCTTGAGCAGGCTCAGGCCCTCTAGCAAAGAGGCTACGACAAAGACGGCGCGGTCGCCCCTTTGGCTCGCTAGGCTAGCGATGGCTCTGAGATTCTCGAGCGCGTGCATCTCGGCCGGATTGGCCGACTGCAAGTACATCGAGGTTTTGAGAAAGCGAAACGCGTAAACCCAGTGGTAATGTTTCACTCTGCGCTCGCATTAGCAGATGTTGGTGGCATCAAGTCTGGGGAACTGGAAACGCACACTTCGGCATCCCGGATCCGGCCGTCTACGGCGATCATAGCTGCCTTTACCTTCTGCTGCGAGAAGAGCAGCTTAATCTGAAGGAAATGCATGGCATACTTGAGGTCGGTAAACCGATTCTACGTCAATCGTAAGCAGGCAAACTAGTGGACTTGAATGGGACTGGCGGGGGAATCGTGATCATACTCTTTCGCAAAGCGTGATGCCCTTGGTTAGAGCCGTCTCGGCCTGCATCATATTGTTTGTCTCCTCGCACAATATGCTGGCATATCGAAACCGTACTTTGGCTTCTAGGCGCGGGGCCAACTTTGTATTCTCCAAGGCCACCTCGAGACAACTTAAGCCCGTCGCGACAAGCTTTTGGTATTCTTGCAGATTCTGCGGGTCGGCATTTTCCGCTAGCGACTGGGATTCTTTCCGCGCCTTAGCAAAGAACTCCTCGGCCAGACAAATCAGGAGGGAACTGGTATCGGCATGGTGCGGGAGCAGGCCCGGCGTCGGAGCAGGCGACCTAGCCGAGCTAACACTCGGGCTTCTCGTGATCCCTTGAGCAGCCAAGCGAGGGCTCGCGGAAACGCGATTGCCATGTTCCATTCGCATACCCGCACCTATACCAGCATTTCTACCCGCGGGGTGAGGCGCGAGTTGCCCGGCCATCTGGGGAGAGTGGGCTATGACGGGAGAACCCGTGTGCTGCGGCGGCGGAGGAGGCAGTGGATGTTGATTCTTGTACTGGTGTTGCGGTTGGGGCTGCGGCTGAGGCTGCGGCTGCGGCTGCGGCGGAAGTTGGGGTTGGGGTTGGGGTTGGAGTTGCGGCTGCGGTTGCGGTTGCGGCTGCGGCTGCGGCGCGACCGAGGGTGGATGAGCCTGGTAAGAAGGGGACGGCATAGGCGGAGGCATATACTGCCAGTCCATCGGTTGGGCATACTGGTGCCGCTGCGGAGTCTGCTGGAGAGGCTGGTGCAAACCATGCTGCGCCTGCGGCGACGGCTGGAGAGGCGGAGGGTGGGAGTGCGGAGGTGGAGGGTGCGGAGGGTGAGGAGCGCGAGGTCGCTGATCGAAGGAGGGGTCGTAGGATTGGAATTGATAATTTACATTCTGCGGCGGCAGTTGTCGATGCGCATCGTGGGCGTGGGCGTGGGTGTGGGCGTGCGGTTGGTGAGGATACGGGACGGGAGCGAAGGCGGTATTCGGGTACGGCTGCTGGAACTGGGGGTTTCCCCAGGCGTCGTAGCCGTTGTGGACGGCCTGGGGATACTGAGGCTGCTGCTGGCCATTGAAACCGGAGCCGTGGCCATGTGGCATCGAGCCGCGATATGTCATAATTTCATCGCACTGAGCATTCCTATCGATCGACGGACGTGGTCGTAGCAGCGGGCGGGCGGGAGTATCTATTCTCGACTTAAGAGCGGCGGTCGCTGATTCGCGAGGCGGGCATCTACCCAGGAACGACGACTCGTTTGCTATTCCGATCCAGATTAGATGGCTGGAGTTGGTTGGAGTAGATGTCGAGGTATGTTGTAGAGAGGATGGATGGACGACTCGCAGCGCGCGCCGCGATGTCGTTGGTTCCGTCCAACCCTTCTTTTTTTAGCATGTCACGTGCTATGCCGGCTGCGGAAAGCGCGCCGCTCGGGTCGCCAAATCCGCTTGGGCCACCTCAGCTCGAAAGTTATGAAGACATCGTGCAGGTACATCAGGTACCTCTAATCGGCGCTGTCTTTCGTCGTCCTCGTCATCGCCCTCACCCTCGTCATCATTAGGTAAGGAACAGGTGCCGAACACGGATGGCCTACAGGTAGGTACCTACCTAACCTAAGGCACAGATACCACCTCCTAAGGTAGGTAGGTAGGGTAGGTACCATGTACCTCTAGTCAGATGCCGGTGTGTATAGCGTACCTCTGACCCTAGCTAGGCATTAGATACCCAGGTAGGTGCCTCTTCTTGGTGGAAAGCGATCCGTACGGAACCCAACCCGACGGAACGAGCACATTTCACTCCCACGGCCACCTATATCTTGGTTGTGGATGTTTTTTCCCCATGCGGTCGGGTTACTATCAGATTGTTGTGCTACGGTAACAATAGGTGGCGGTTACATGTGTTACATGTGCCACATGTATGAGTAAGTGCGTCTTATGCTCGCCCCCCAACAGGTATATCATAGGTAACTTCCCGTCTATCGCTCAAGTACCTACCTACGATAAGACCGTACGCAGATCATGACAGTCCCGGTTGATATTTGGACATCGCCGTGGACTAGAGAAGCAGGACCACTCGTGGCATTGCGGCTCTGGAAGGGTACCTACGTTCAGCTTAACGTGTGCATGTCTCTCCCAACGTGTGCATGTCTCTCCCAGTAAAATCCTTAGGTACTACCGTACGGGACGAAGCTTGAACCGAGCCACCTTACCCGGGGAGCCCTGGATACCTGAAAGGTACACCTCCTGCCGGCATTGATCGATAGCCTATCCGTAGGTCGGATTGGACGGTATCAGCTACGGCGCACGTCCTCCAGGTAGGTACGTAGTGCTCGGCACAACCCGACCGACCGAGGCAAGTGGGGATCGATGCCGTTACGGGTTCTCGGTGCTACACGATCGGGCGAAGCTATTCCGATTTTAGGGCGTTGCAGCACCCGTACATATCGCATGTCCCATTCCCATAACCTGCACCCATAACCTGTCGAACATAGTGGGTAACATCTCGACACGAATTCTGACCCCCAAGTCTCCTCGGAACTCCCTATCTACATCAAACCAAATTCTCAAAATTGTATACCTACCTACCTAATCTGCCTGTCCTTCCTAGCCCCCAACTGCTAACGTACCTGCTTCAAAGCATTCCCATTCCCGTAGCTGGGCTTGGTCAAGCCGGGTGTTTCCCGAGTTACCGCTTCCTCGTTCGTCGCCGGATAGGGGTGGGTGGGTTATACCTACCTCCCGTTAGTGCCAGCCGCAGCCGCAGCCGAGATGGAGTGGCTTGGCCGAGCCAAGATCAGCTTCACGGCCTCGCCGAACCCGCTCGGCTTGAGGGAGAAGGATGGCAAGCTGACCGACCTGCTCCGGATATGCGAGGCCGCCGTGCCGCCGTGCCAGCTGAACCCCCTGCTCTTCAACGGGCACGCCCAGACGATGTGGACGGCGACCGCGTCGCACGCGCCCCCGCTGCACTACAGGCGACGCATCTTCGAGGCCGACCACGCCGAGTTCAACGGCAGCTTCGCCGTCGACTTTGCCGTGCCCCCTTCCCCCGACTCCGACCGCTCCGGCGGCCAGCCGGCCCCGGCTTCCGACCCCTCCCTGCCGCCAAGGACGACCTACCTCGCCGAGCCAGAGCTCGCAGCCATGGGCTCCGCCGACGGCCGGCCCATGCTTGTCGTCCTGCACGGCCTGTCGGGCGGCTCGCACGAGATCTACCTGCGCTATGCGATCGCGCCCCTCATCGACAGCGGCAAGTGGGAAGCCTGCGTGGTGAACTCGAGGGGTTGTGCCAAGAGCAAGATCACCACGGGCCTGCTCTACAACGCGAGAGCCACCTGGGACGTCAGGCAGGTAGTTAACTGGCTCAGAAAGACGTATCCCAATCGGCCCCTGTTTGGCTTGGGGTTTTCGCTAGGCGCCTGCATACTTACGAACGTAAGCGATCTAGATAGGCCTCTCTTATGTATACGCATGCATATAGAAAAAGGCGGGGGAGTTCAGCAATAGCCATGCTAATTGTCCCCGTAGTATCTCGGCGAGGAGGGTGCTGCTACTCCTCTCAAGGCTGCGGTTGTAGTTGCGAACCCCTGGGCACTCCACATCTCGTCGAAGATGCTCCAGAGCACGTTTATTGGGCACCACGTGTACCAGAGAGTGCTCGGCAGTAAGTCTCTCTCTCTCTCTCTCTCTCTCTTTTTCTTCCCCTCTCTCCTTCATTAAAAATTGTCGTCGTTTCTCAACGTTGCCCGGGCTAAACTTCGGAACCTCAACCTCCAGATGCCATGAGGTCCCTCGCGATGCGACACAAGCAGGAGCTTGACAAGTACACGAACATCGACACGGAGCACCTGAACGGGCTGCGGTTCCTATGGGAGTTCGACCGGGCCTACCAGTGTCCGACGTGGGGTTACCCAACCGAAGAAGCCTATTATCGTGACGCCTCAAGCTCCGACTCGCTGCTGGCTGTGCGGGTGCCTCTGCTCGCCCTCAACGCCACCGATGACCCCATCGCCTGCAACGCTGCCCTGCCCTACGCCGAGGCCGCGACGACCCCTTACGCCGTCCTCTGTACCACCTCTCTCGGCGGCCACCTCGGTTGGTTCGAGGTCGGCGGTGGCCGCTGGCACACGAAGCCCGTAAGTTAGGATCCCAATCCTTACATCATACTGCAGCCACTTAAGAAAAAAGCGGCGGAGGGAACGGAAAGAGGGGCAAGAGTGCGATCATCTGCTAACGTCCTGGCAGGTTTGCAATTTCCTCAATCACATGGCGTTCGAGGTGGACCTCGACAGCATAAATCACGACGCCGACGGGAAGCCGAACTCAGGGAACCCCAAAGTCGGAACCCACTTCGACCCGGTGCGACGCAAGATGCAGGTGAAACTGAACCAGTAGCTGAGTCTTTCAGGCATATAAACATTGGGACCCGTGGCGTGCTTAGAGATGGCATAGAACTTCGCGGATTGGATATTTAGATGCAAAAAGCGACCGGCGTTTCTTCATATAAGCCATAGATAGGCAGGCAGCCAGCCAGACAGATAACATAGACGTCTCAACTTCGACAGAGCGTAGTAGTGAGCGCGGGGATGACCCGCCTTAGGCGCCGCCAGCTGCGCTGTTCAAGCTAAGCTTGATGCGCCAGTTGATGAACTCGTCCGTCAGGATTCTTCCGTGCCCGACCTCCTCGACCTTGAATAGTTCTATCTGCCCCGAGTGTGGCCGTCTCTTGATCCTCCAGACACCTTCGTCGTTGATGGCGGTTCTCAGCCCTAACAATCGAGTTAGCAAAGGGGCAGGGAACAGTAACAAACATGGTCTAAAAACGTCATCTTCTCTTACATTCTAGGAAGCTACTCGCGAAGTTGATGCACGTGTCTGCGTTCCAGCTCCTGACGCCCCGCTTGGCAGCCGTGTCGGGAATCTTGGCCGTCTGAATCTCTTCAAGTTTGGTAAGGATGCCCTGCTGTGACCGGAAGCCAACAATGATCTTTGGCACGCCGAGGAGGAAGGACTGGATCCAGAACTTCATAAGCTTGCGCTCAAAGTTCTGCATGCCGCGGTCGTCGCGGATCTCGGCGCTCGTCTTGAGCTCGACCCAGTTGATTGGCGCCCCTTTCTGCTTAGGTTTGGAGTCCCAGACTAATTTCCGGTCAACGTGGCGAGTTCACGGCGTTGCCGACTGTGGTAAGTACTGGGGGTGGTAGGCTTACTAGCATCGACTTCACCCCCTAGACATAGGAGCGAGCTGCCTATTCCCGTGCGAACTACGGAGCAGTACTGGGCTTTGTTGTTGACGATTTCGTTGTCCCTGTTTTCTATGAGGTCCCTAGAAACTTCTCCCCAAGGACGGGGCAAGCAAGACAGCGTCTCGAACTTGTACCCTATAGTGATGTGAGTAAGCATCCCCCTTCCATACACCGAGACCCTCGACTTTACCCCAATAGGTCATAATGTCAGGAGAGATCTGTCCGCGTCGCTTCTGCTGCTGACGACGCTGCTCTTGTTGCATGACCTGTCCGTATGCGAAATTCTCCTCGATGAATCTAGGCTGGTATGAGATTAGTGTAATATGATGACGATGGTCCGAGATTCTCTAGAAGCATACATGCAATCCTTGGATCCACCATCAGTCAAGACCAGTTCACGAGGACAGTATTTGCATTGCGTACTTGATAAAGAGTAGCATCCATCTCGAAGCTAGGCAAACGCTAGGTTAGATCTGTACATGCCATACATATCAGTGATGTATGCACACCCATCTCTGTCTTCGAACGGGGCCGACATTATCTGTGAGCGTTAGCAAGACGAGTTCCTAGCACTGGCGCCCACCCTACTAGTGCAGACCCTCACCTTGGTCATCATGCCGCGCCAGGTGACAATGTGCGCATCGATCTTCTTCCCCTCTTCCTCCTCGTGGGCCATGATAGTCTTGAGGAGGCTGTCGATATGCTCGTCTACCGAGTTGTCATGCTTGTCGAACTGCTCGAAGCCCTTGGACAAATCGGCCCCGAGCTCCGCGGGATGATACCACTGCAACGAAGAGTCATCTAGGTGGAATTGGCGCTTGCTGTCGTACGAGAAATAAGCTATTTCCTATGAGCAAGCGGGTCAGCTGCCAGGAGCATGCCTATATTTTAGGTATAGTAGACGGTGATAGTAGCCTATGTATCTATTTATATTGACAAAGAGACGTCGGAATTGGCACGGACTCTAGGTAACATGCTAGCTAGCTAGAGGTCTACCGTATACTATACCTACCTTCGGTCGTTTTACAGGCTGGCTTTCGCCTCCAAAGCGGTCGATGGGCTGGATGTCGAAGGTGCTCGCCATCAGCGAACGATAGCGAGATAGGCGGCGCTGTTGCAAGTTAGAAGCCGTGTGTGTAGGGAGGGATGTCTAGGCCTAGACGATGATGTAGGTACAAGATATGAAAGTGTTTCTGCCACGGAGAGTTGGGGGAATGAGGCCTTAATCATATTTGAGAGGGAGAGGGGTATTTAATAACAGAAGCAAGGCACCTAAGGGTGACACCGGTAGAGGCAGGTTAGCAGGGAGGTGGACAAACGTATCAAAGGCGGGTGGGAGAACATCACGCACCGCGTCCACGAAGAGGTACCAGAGGTACCTTAGGTACCTACCTCTACCTACCATGCAATGTCCCTAAGTTATGTAGGTATCTAAGTACCTACATAGGTATCTGCCGGCCCTATTGTATGTCGAGTATGAGCCACAGCAGAATAAGTACATGCTTAGGATATAACTACCTACATCTCCTAATAGCATATGGGCAACCTTCATTAGCCTCAAATAGGTACCTGTCCACCTCCCACTTTGAATGCCCCCATAGTTGCCCTATCCATTGAGGTGGGGTGAGCCGAGAGGGTTGCAGCCGCACTTTGGTCTAATAATATCCCTAAAGTGTACATCGGGTACCTACATGGCTGCTGAATGTATGCACATAAGGGTTGAATGTGTAGTTCAATTTCCACATTCCATTACACCTCTAGGTACTTTTATGGACAACCCAGTCGCCCCCATTTCTCCCTCTCAACTCAACACCATAGCGATGGTATCACCAATATCCTTATAGTCATATATAGTCATACGAACCTCCTCTTTGGAAACCTGCCAGCCTCGACAGTTCTCCGAATGTAGAGGATATATCGCTAGGCCACACAAAAACACCTACTGCAACACCCGCCGAACCTGCGTACCCATCGATGGCCGACCGCCCGCCTCCGCACCTCCGACCTAGCAGCAACAGCAGCAGGGCCACGCGCGCCAACACGGCCGGTGTGCGGCGCAACCTTTTCCAGAGCCAGCTGACGCGCCGCCCGACCCCGACGCCCACTGGCGCGCCCGTCTCCGGCAGCCACGCCCACCCGTCCTCCTCCGCCTCCTCTGCCTCCTCCTCCCATCACCACAACCACCACCGCCGCCATAACAGCGGCACCAACAGCAACCACTCTGCCGCCGATACCCTACGCCTCGGCGACGTTGATGTCCTCTCCGACTCAGACGACATCGTCATCCGCGACCGCAACGGCGACTTCCAGGTCGGCGACCCCCCAACCCCCCCCCTCGACGACCCGGATGAGGCCGCCGCGCTAGACGACGCCCAGGAGAACGCACGTATGCAAAACCATCCCCCGCTCGGTCCTCGGCTATAGCTTTTATTTTTCTTTCTTTAGTTCGAGTCCTACGATGCATGCTAAAGGAGCTACTAACGGACTGGCCCATTCATCTTATAGGCGAGAGGCAGAAGCTGGCCGAGGCCGTCAAGCACCACCAGATCAACCACAACCGTGCACCGGCCCAACCCGAAGGTAGGATCGCACGCGTAAAGATATGAATTCTTGCTAACTCGAGAAGAAGAGGTTCTCGAGGCCCTCCGAGCCAGCATGAGAGCAAAAGTAGCCGCGCTAGCCGAAGATAACTGGATGTACGAGCCCGAAGAGGAGCAATTACGAGCACAATGAAGAAAAACAGAGGCACGGGTGAAAAAAGATGGCCATGAATGGCTGTGATGTTGGACATTTTAATCACCCGAGAGGTTTGGCCCTTCATTGCTATGCCGCGTCCGAGGCCGGTCCTAATCTAATCCCTCTGCTGCCGGCATCGACGTGGGAGCCTTGACGGCCGGTCTTTTGGCACCACCACCCGATGATGCGCCCCCACCAAAGAAGCCGCTCATCATGTCCATTAAAGGATTGCTTTGTCGAGGTCTCTGGATCCCGAAGTACATCTCGGCGATCATCTCCAGAGGCTCTTGCCACGCCTCCACCTCCCCGAGAAGAGTCCCGTACTTGGTGAATAGCTGCTTGTGCACATCTCCACCGCCCCTCTGGACGGCGAGCAGGAGGAGGCCCAGGAAATTCAGTAGAGGTATGCTAGGGTAGACTCGGATGTCGGCGGTGCTGCTGCTGACATCTTGTATGCCGAGCTGTCCTTGGTTATCCTGGTTCAGGGCGCTCGTAAATGTTCGGTAACACGTATTCGCTGCTCGGACATTGCCAGTGAGAAGGTACGGTAGGACCGCTCGACCGGCGTATAATGCGGCGGTGTGCGCTTCGTCCTGCTTAAACCACTCGTATTCCAAGCGAGCGAGCACTTCGGCCGAGTCCTTGGTGCCCAATATGAGGTGCTTTTCCGCGTCGTACGGCTCGTGCTCTTCTGCGTACAGAGAGCCTACAACATGATGGAGTTCGGGGTCGCCCGCGGGGTATTCGCCATACTTAGAGGACCACCTATGTAGACATGGGTTAGTCCATGTTAGTTTCGGAGGGGGGTCCAGCACAACACAAGAACCCGAAGAGGACAGGGCACCGCACGATATCATCTCCCCTATGTACTTCCTGCGCGTGGGCTCTTCGCTGTCGAACAAGCGCAGACAGGTTAGTAGCTTGTTCTTCGACGCGGGATCTGGCTTCAGCTCGGCCTGCTTGTATGTGTCGACTAGTAGCACGCATAGATCCCCGCCGCTGCCGCCCTGGCCTGCCTTCAGTAGCGACTGGGCGACGTTGTAGAGGATATCGATGGCGGCCTCCCAGTTGGACGCCTTGGTGTACCGCGCCGCCACCACGCGGGTCTGCTGCTGAGCCTCGTAGAACTGTCCCTCGCCAATCCGCGCCTGTAGGCGGGATATGATCTTCTCGATCTTGTCGCCCTTGCCGCTCATCACGTTTGTTCGTGTGCGTCGAAAGGGTGCGGGGGAGGGGTGTCCGGAACGCAGGGAATGGGTCACGAGGGTTCAACGGGCCGAGATAGAGGTGTAGAAAGAATGGCAGGGTCAAGGATTGAGAATGCCAGCGGCGCTCATCTTGAGAAGTAGGTAAGTGGAATAAGTGTGGATGGAGCGAGCCAAGTGTCAGGTACCACAGAGTGCCGTTCAACCAAGTTGAAGCCCATTGACGGTAGAATAGTAAGTTCCCTGTGGTCATTTACGTAGACCCTGATTACATGCAGTAAACGCGTTGTGGCGCACGCGCCACAAACGCCACACATAAAGACCTGGACGTATATGTACATATGTTTGTACATAGGTACTTCCTTCTGTAACCTGCCTACACATATCCCTCGACAAGTGTTCAAATTTTAAACTGAGAATTCGGGGGCGTTAGACACTGCTAGGGGCTCGTAGAAAAAAAGACGAAAAAAAACCAGAGTGATCTCTAATGGGTTGCTAGTTTGCACTAACCGTGAATCGAACACGGGGCCAGAGTAGTATCCAGAAGGTGGGAAACTCCGAGGTTACCACTACCCCATTAGTGCGTTGTGATGATTATTCTCTTTTTCTCGTTCATATAGGTAGTTAGGTTCATTCCTTAAATCCGGTACTCCCTTTTTTTGGCGAGCGCCTCCTACACTTCCTCCGTACCTGTCTAGTTCACCGAGAGCGACTCTCCTAAGGTACCTATTCTATTAGTTAAAGGCATGATGTGTAATTGGCAGGATACGCTGCCCTGTCACTGTGACTCACCTCCACGGTATAGGCATATCCCCCATGCTGACGAGACTGAGAATGAGAGTGTGAATTCAGTCTGTGGAAGTAGGCAAACCAGCTTCCTGGTACATCGGTGTATTCCTCCAATGCCGATCCCGTATTGAATACGCTCTGCAGAATAGTGGTGATAGGTGGGTTCCCTGAACTGGCTCAGGTTAAATAATTCACGATCCCCTTCGTCCCTTTCGTCCCCCCGTCCGCGATTTCTTCGCTCATTCTACCTTTCTTGATTATTCGTCATATCTACGTTTTTATTATTCATTTAATTAATAGAACTCAGCTATCCGTGCCTGCATATGTAGCTATATCTTTTCGGTATGCTGGCTTCACGCCTCTCAACCTCCGTCCGTAGCAGCACTAGCGTTGCTAGGAGCAGGCAACTTAAACTCCGACCTGGATCGATGGCCAACTCCCCTTCGACGCAGCCATCGATATGTGTAGCGGCGTCGAGGCCTTTCTCGGCTCGCCCGAGGCTCGCGACAGAACAATCCAATAAAAACGCTTCAAACCCGCCCGAGAACCCCTCGGTCGGCGAATTCAGCTTCGAGGGGTTGGGCATGACTCGAAACGTCAAAGTCTTCATCATCGTGGCACTGATCGCCTTCGGCAGCATGGAGACCTATTTCTGGGTCCAATGGATTTGGCGATGGTGGACAGGTGGCAAGGGCGATGAGCCAGAAAGCGAGGCTTGAAGCCGGGGCCGGCCCGGGTTTGCCCTCTGTGACGCGATTCTTTGTTATGTCGACCGGCCTACTAACATTTGGCAACCACCATAACAAGGGCGGCCTCGGGCGTTGCGACCATTTGTACTATTTTTGGTATTCTTATTGCCCGGGTTCTGGTTGAGGAATTATCGTTGCATCCTACTCTGCTGTTTTCGGTGTACTCTATATCTATCGACATGCATATACCTAGGTACCTATATGTCTGTGTGTACGTCCCAGGACCGGGACCAAAACTCGCGCCTCAATGTAGCGAGCTTCTAGATTGCGAGCGAAGCTCCCCTTGTACATATATTCATACCTTGCGCACATGCATGTATGCACACATACTTACATACCTATGTACACGCCTACTCATATACAGACCTCACATCCACGTCCACATCCACGTCCGCATCTACTATACGTCCACACACACACCCACACACACAGGCATGGGCAAGTTAAACCTACGAACGCTCACTACGCGCTTCGGAAGCGGCGATACCCTCCGAAGCGATGTCCAGAGTTGACCCTCTTTGTTGGAGTAGCGAGTCCCTGTCTGGTGACGATAACGTGCGTCTCTCTGGGAGGGACCGCCAATATTTCCGGTTTTGCGTTGCATCGTGATGGTTGTCCAAGTTGGCACCGCTTTCGAGTGCAAGAGTGAGGCCGGAGAAGCCCTCCCAAAATGGAGCCATAGCCCATGCCTCGAAACTACCACCTCGCGCTCGCTTAGGCCTGGGCCAGCGGTTGCTGTTCTGCCTGCCCAGTTGGCATCGTGCACCTCCCATGTATTCACGCGCACACGGCCGTTCCCTATGTGCTTACATACCTACATAGAACCGCGCCGAGAGCGCGTGGGCTTCTTTTCCGAGCTAGCTACGGCGAAGCTGAACAAGTCTAGCTTGCCACCACCACAGGGACACGGGTAGGCCAGCCTCTCATCGATGCCAACGTACGTATGAATAAAACCCCCATCCATGCCTTGCAACCCGACAAGACAGGGTCGGCCATCGGAAGGAAGGGGACTTATCCCAGGCCGTGGCCATGGCAGCATGGGTGTCGCATGGGGGGGGAGACCACCCGCTCCTCGTTGTGTATGAGTATGTATGCACCGCCACCTGTCTCTCGAGAGTCGAGACCCTCGGTCCCCTTTGCCTGTTCGGATGCGAGCCCGACTTCGACATCAATTGGTCAGCATGCCACACCAGCGTCGAACCCTGCCGTTCGTGTACTCGTGCCCTGTTTTCCGAGCATGCTTCGAGATCTTTTAGCCACATATGAGTAAGGTCAAGCCACCCAGATCCCTCAAAACTATGTATAATTAAACCAAGTCCGCCAGCGCCGCGCTGGCGCTGTGCGAAGACGATACGAAGCTGTGCTTTTCCTGGTTCCTCTGCTCTCTGCTTCTCTCTCGGAGTCGTCCGCAGTTTGGGTCTCACACTCTCGCCACTTTCTCTCCTCGGGTCTCCGTTACGTCACTCAGTGTGACTCGGCCGAACTGACGGTAACCCGCACCACACCATGGCTGCGGTGGTAGAGGAGGCTGTTACCGCTGGCGGTGCTGACGAGGTCAAGCCATACAAGATCCATGTGAGCCACGCGCCAACCTCGATGATCTTCACTCAACCGGGACTTGTGGCTGACGCGCGCGATCCCAACCTCGAATACAATAGGTCTCGTCAAAATATTTGGATCTCACTAGACAGAAGCTAGAGGTTACCAGACTGCCTCACGAGCTCGCCGACCCCAAGTCCAAGGATTGGTGGGAGCCCAAGTCTCAGATAGAGCCACTCATCGACTATTGGTAAGTCCATCCCCGTTGACGGTCAGCCAAGATTGGCTTCTGTATTTCCCATCTGTTCTCGATGACTTCGTCTCATATATTTATTACGGCGCATCGTAGGAGGCTAACGGTTACATAGGCTCGAGCAGTATTCGTGGCGGACACAGGAGGAGCTACTAAACACGGAGTTGCCTCAATTTCGCACCGGGCTTTCAATACCCTCTGCCAAGGCAGCGGTGAGAATTCACTTCATCCACGTTCATTCCTCACATGCAAACGCGATACCCCTTCTCTTGATACCCCCTTTCCCCTTCTCGAATCTTTCCCTCGCACACCTGATTAAGCTCTTCATAACCCCCGAGGACGACAAGAATGATCAGTCTTTCCACCTGGTCATACCCTCTCTGCCGGGCCTGGGGTTCAGTGACGCCTTGCCGAACAACACTCCCGTAATCTCGGCCACGGCAGAGCTCCTAAACGCATTGATGAGCCGGCTTTCGTATCCGCATTACCTGGCGACGAACACGGGCGCGGGCACGGCCTCCCCTGCAGAAATCGACTTCAAGCTTGCTGATTATCTCGTTACTTGCTATCCGGACTCCTGCTTAGGTGCTCACTTCCTCTCCCCCCCGCTGACACGACCTCGCATGCAAGAAGCACCTATAGAGTGGGCCAGGTGGCGCGTCGCGAAATTATTTCGCAGCCCCATGCTGGGTTACCACGAGGAGGACTTTTTGGCTCTCAGGCGGACCGGGTACGTCCGTCGGCCAAAGGCGAAGAAGTCGCCAACACCTGCCCAATTTGGACTGAATAACCTGAGCGTGTGGGAGCCCAATACTCTGGCTTATGCCTTGTGCGACTCCCCGACTGGCTTGTTAGTGTTTGTTTTGAAGGGCCTCCGTCTGCTCAGTCCCCAAAAGGATTTCACGCCAACTGAGATTATCAACTTCGCCCAACTAGCTTGGCTGCCCGGCCCGGAAGCAGCTATGAGATTCTGGGCACACTGCATATCCCATCCGGAGAAGGTGGAGAGGAAGGCTGCTAGGAAACCAAAAATCGGGGTCACAGTATTCCTCGGAGAGAAGCCGAACACGGAAGCGAAGGGAGGCGGGCCAGAACAGGAGGGGGCAGAGGATTGCTATACCTGTCCTAGCTGGGCCAACGTAGGTTATAATGTGGTCTACACTCGCCGAGCTACCGGCCGATCCGGGCTCTTGGCCTGGGAACAACCCGAAACTATCGTTGCGGGTATCCGTGGTGTCGCTGCAGCGGTTTTAAAATCGGACACCCGACTCCGGCCCGCGAGAACCCCGGCCGTGGCGCTTCTCGAACAAGTACCAGCGCACACCGGCGTGGCCGGGGGTCAGGCACCGTCTGTCCCAAGGACAAGCCCCGCTTCGAGTCGTCCAGCACCTGAGCGTCCGGAAGAACATAATCAACCGCACCGAAAGATCAACGACGAGGCGGCCGTGGGGAGCAGTGAGAAAGCCACCGACAAGGAACTATCGACATCTGCGACACCCAGTCCCGCACACGGATGAACAGGTGCAACCGCGTGGGTAAACGAGTGACGGTAGTGCGACCGGATGGCGAGAAGCATAGCCGATCCGGGTTACGATAGAATTGGGCGCGTCTGGAGTTTCGGCGTCTATCGGACGCATGAGGGAGAAGGGAGGTAGCTGGAAACATATACCCGTTTGCTGCGACTGCGTTATATTGATGACACCTCGACAACGACAGCTGGCGGGTATCTCGAAAGAAGCATGGCATGGCGCTGATATGGCGGACGTAGGTAGCTAGAGGAATTTAGCTCTAGAACTGCGAATACCTACCTTGTTCCTAATACGTCGATCCAAATTCCCTTCCTGTCGCAAATCTCGAAGGCGTTATTTCTGCGCAGGGCTGCATACACACGTACATACATACCTACATATTATACTGCCGCCTACATCCGCTACCTCATATCGTCGTAGGTCGGTAGCTGGAGAGGACGAGAAGAGAGGGTGACCGGGAAATGGCGTACATACCTGCCTGCGTACCTCCTATGGAGAATGCAGGAAGACGGAGTTCGGGAAGAATTCCGTTGCCTACCAGTTCAGGCAGCAGCTGGCAGCTGTCACGGCTGATAGGCTATTGGCTGCGTTTGATGCTGTACAGGTACGTGGAGCAAACCCTGGCTGGTTTACAATTACCTAAGGTACTTAACCTTAGGTACCGTAGGTATGAAGGAGAAGGTTCCTAATGCACAATGCACAATGCACAATGCACAATGCACAGTACCTTGGTACATGCATCATGTGCATGGCGAAGTACCTGGGTACCTGTCAATTTAAGGTGCCTACTGGCATACAGGTAGGTACATGTCTGCGGCAGGTATTAGTACCTACCTCGGTACTTAGCGTCACTGGTACCTGTGAGATGGTATATCTACCTATCGATAAGAACCTGAGTTAGCCTAGAAGGGAGGAGGCCAAGGTGACAAGTAGCAACCAATTCTGGAAGAAGGGACGAGAAGGAGGAGCGGAAAACCGCACACAACCAACCTCTCGCCGGTTAGCTGCCAAGTTTCCTTCAGGCTTCATAATTGCCATAGACATTTATCTCCTGGAAACGCCTCCGAATGCTCTCTTATCGCGGCTGTCTGACGCATCCGAGCACACCCATACTCGGTCGACCCGCACCCATCCATTGGTTGATGTAGCAGGAGCACGGTGGCATGACTTCACTGACTTCATCGCGATGGGTGCCAGCGACTCCAAGCTAGTCTTCAAGAAGGGGATCTTCAGGTTGTCCGAAGAGCGCCACATACCTGCTGACGACCCTTACTGGACCTCTGTAAGCACCAGGTCTCCTACCCCTCTCTTCGCATTGCTGATTGCCCGCAGTTTTGGGAGCTTCCTGAGTCTTCTGAGGACGTGTTCAGTCTGTTCGCGCCTGCGGATATCCGCCGAACTCGCGACAGGGCAATCGAGAATCTAGAGACCCTGATACTCGCCGTAACGTCCCGCCTGTTCATACTGCGACACCACCCCTCCTTCCCCGATTCCGAGTTCGCGCCCGAACGTGATGCTCTGAACTGCATTCGCATCCTCACCCGTGTCCTGCCCTACTTATATGAGGCGGACCGCTTGCAGCAATGGGAGGAGAAATTCTTCTGGGGTTCGAGGCGGAAGCGGACACGGCGGTCTGCTATCGCGAACGAAGTGCTGTTCGATGAGGCCGAGGAGGATGTGAAACCACCCGTCGACGAGTTTGAAGAGGCGAAGCCGTTGGCGGAGGAGCTGATAGACACGCTCATCGACCTGCTGTTCTTCTCCGACCTGACCGTCCCGAGGCAGCCCCACGGCAAGCCAAAGGTCACCCATGCCATCTGGCAGAGCGGCGTGGGCTGCAACACCGCCGTGGCCACGACCAAGGAGTACGAGAGTAACCGGTGCGAGATCCTGCGTCTTCTCTTGACCCTGGCAAGCCAGAGCATGTTTATGTCGCCTAGCGTACTCCCGGCCAAGGGCACCAAGGCCTTGACGTACATATGCACATGCTCGGATAAACAGACCGTTCTCTCGGTGCTGTGCTCCCTGCTAAATACGGTGAGTTCGGAGTAGCAACGAAGTCTTAGCTCCTCCCTCAGCCGCTGACCCTGCTAGTCCCTCAAATACAATCCGGCGAGTTGGCGAGTCCCTTACAATACTCTGATGTTTAAGGATCCCAAGGAGATCCTCGTTACGTATACCCTGCAGTTCTTGCTGGTTATCCTTCTCTACCCTATACCCGAGCCTGCCACGGGCTCTGCGCCGAAGAACTACTACCGCCATTTTCTCGGCAGATTGCACCGTCCTCAAGATTTCCAATTCATTGTCGACGGCATGACTCGAATCCTGAGTCAGCCTATGCAAGCCAACGTCTCATACATCCCGGGAACGCAGACCGCCACTCGATTCTCTCCCGAGATCATCATGCTCTTCTGGGAGATCACCCAGTGCAACAAGCGGTTCAGGTCTTTTATGATCGATACGCAAAGGGCACATGATTTCGTCATCCTGATTCTTTTCTACGCAACCGAATACAAGGCAGATGCCTCAAAGCAGGGTGTCGTAAGGATGTGTGCTTTTTTACTGCAGACGCTCAGTGTGGAAAAGAATTTTGGCGTCAACCTCAACAAGAGTTTTGAAGGACAAGATACCCTACCCACTGCGATACGAATTCCCGGGTTCAAGGGGACCTATGCGGACTTCTTAATCCAGGTGAGCGGAAACCGCTTACTCTTAGACGATCTAATCTAACTGTTGGGCTTTGCTTTCCCCAAGTCTATATACAACCTCATAACGAGGAGCCAGGGAAAGCTCTCTGCTATATATCCGGCGTTGCTCGCCGTCATCAACAACATCGCGGCTTACCTAGAGGGTATCAATGGCATCACAAGCTCGAAATTACTGCAACTGTACAGTTCGATGTCCTCTCCGTCATTCCTTCTTGCCAACGACAGCAATCACAATCTTCTTAGGTCGCTCTTAGAGTCGATGAACGCCATCATCGAGCACCAATACAAGAGTAAGCTATGGATCGACCCCCGGCATCTAGCTTATCTAATGGTGGCGTAGAAAACACCCACTTCGTGTACTTGATATTGAAGAATAGGAAACGCTTCGAGGCCCTGCGCACTTTCACACTCGAGAGCGGCCAAGAGGAACTCGAACGCCGAAATCGTCGGAGGAAGGAGTCTGGGCAGTCGTCAGACCCTTTCGACGCTGGCTCCAGGGGAAGCTCCCTCGATAGTTTGCGAAGTCCTACGACAGCACAACCCCGAACGCCTACATTGAGCGATGTCCCCGAGGAAGATTCAACATTTGCCATCGGCGACGCCGAGGATGAGAGCGATGACGACGACGACGACCGACCGACGCCGGCACAGTCGAGTCCGAGCGAGAATCCTTCTCGAGCCTCCTCGGTGGCGGATGTGGAAGACGCGGTGCCGACGCAGCTGAGGGGAATGTCCGAGAAGGCTAGGGGGAAGATGCCGGCCGGAATGCCGACATTCTCTCGGCAGAACAGCACCACAAGCCTAGGAAGCTATTCGGGGGCCGGTCAATCGATGGTCAGCGCTTTCGAGCCATCGGCGGATTGGATAGAAAGTTGGCTTCCGGAACTCCCCTTACATACGATACTCACGGCCGTGCAGCAACTGACGGCCCTGATTACGCGTCAGGGGCTTACGGCCGATTCGCCGTCGGCGGCAACGTTGAAAACCATTCAGGATGCCGACCTGGTCGCCATCGAACCGTCTCCCCCTCGGGTGCATTCGTTTGAGTGGTCGCCGTTGGCTCTAGGCTGGTACGAATCGTTGATTTGGAGTTTTGTGTTTGCAAGCGAGATGCAAGTGGCGAGAGGCACCGTCGGAGTCTGGAACGGTACGGCTATCAAGCTGTTTAAGGTGCAGGAGACGGCTGCCCAAGGGCCAACCCTAACGTCACCCCGAGGAGCGGTGGACGCGGTCGGCAGCAACATCGTATCGAGGATTGGGTCTATCAACCTCCGAGCGACGGCGGCATCCCCGGCTTCGCCTCCCGGGCCACCCTCGCAACGTGGTTCGCAGGCATGAACGTGTCGAAACTTGCTTTCACGGGACACTCGAGGGCGAGTGACGAAGGCGTTGGGGAGTGGAGTAGTTTTGGCCCGAGGCGCGTTCCCGAGGCGGGCGGTATTCGTCACGTCCCATACTACCCCCCTATATCCCCCCCCCCCCAAACCCTCAAGAGGGCTGGCTTAATTCTTTTTAATCCCTGTTGATCCCCAGGAAACAAATACATCGTGTAGCCAATTTAGTCCCGAGTTGACCAAATAACATCCTGACTGTTACACGTGACCGATACCTGTACTTCACTGGGAAGGGGGGGTTAACATACAAGTCGGTGAAGATGACGGTTGGTAGAATCTACCTCGGAGTAGAAGTAGCACGGACGCGATGGGTAGGGGAATCAGCCGGGAAAAGCTCGGCCGGCGGGGGGGTCCGAAGGGTCTCGCGACCTTCCGTCGACCGACAAGGCATACCTATGACAAGCAACCAGTCGTACTCATCGAACACATCAGGGCGGCGGACGGCAACGGAAAGTCGATGGGGGGAGTAGGGAAAGAGGGAAGAAGGCGTGCAAGCGACGTCGGTAGGGGCTTATACCTATGGCTAGGAGGTAGGTAGGTACCGATACCTATAGCGAGGCGCGCGGCTCCTCGCTTGCTTCGTTCTGCTGGACCTGTTCTGTTCCTCCTCTATTTTGAATAATTTACCCTCCGCGCCCGATCGTCTCAAGTCCGCTTCTTTCACGCACCCGCTGCGCTCGCCCTCCCTCTCCCTTTAGTTACCTACCTCGTCCTTCAAGCAGATCGTCTTATACCTGCCTACCTCCTCCCACTGCTCTTCTTATCCTCTCCCTTATCCAGCTATCAAGCTGGCTCGGGCAGGGTATATATATGGGGACCAGCACGGAAATATAGAGAATTAGCCCCCGCAAAGGCCCCCTCGCTACACAGCTACGGCGGGGCCTTCGCGGGCCGGCTCCTAGCAGCGGTCTCGAACCCGGCCCTTCTTCGCGACGGCGAGTCGTCTTTCTTCCTCTTCTTGGCCTCTCCCTCGCCCGTCTTCTCAGCTCCCCTCTGCTCCCAGCAGCCAGCGCTCTACTGCGAGCGGCGGCGGCAGGGGTGAAAGATACCTACGATGAACAGTAGTCTGGCGGAATAGACTCGACTTGCGGACCGCGGCGGGGGCCCCCCTGCCTGCCTGTTGCCGCGATCGCTGCGCGAGCGGGGAGACGACGAGGCGGCGCGCTACCTAACCAAATTCATAGGTAGGTAGGTAAGGAATGTCGGCGGCCTCGAAGCTCTTCGCGTGGGGGGAGGCCCAGCCCGTCGCCCTAGGTAGGCAAGGACGAGCGTTCCGCTTGGCCGCGCCGCCGAGGCCACGCTCCATCTTCGTCCTCGCCCAAGGCTGGCGGCAAGCTCTTCCCCACAGGAATGCACCGCAAACACGATGGCCGCTAAAATTTATGTGGCGTCATGTGTTGATGGGTGACGAGATGTTGTCCCCCCCCCCACACACACAAAAAAAAAAGATGGCTCGACGGAAAGGCAGCTGTCGCCAGCCGACACAATCTCCCCCCACCTATAAAGGGCCAGAAATTTTTTTTCTCCTGCTCCTTCAGTTCCCTCTCTCTATCTCCGTTCTTCTTCTCCCCACCAACCTTTCCCCCTCCCCCTTGCCAGCACCTCCTCCCTCCCCGACACCAATCCCGCAATCCCGCCCGGCCCTTCCGCCCGACACCGCCGCGCGATTCCTCCCCCCGAAGAGATAGACCAGGAAGGACGGACGGACGGGCGCGGGTCGGCTTGGCCGGACCTACCGCAGGCCCCGCGCGTCGGCGACCGTGCGGGCAGCAGCGGAGGACAGAGAAAAGTAGTGCGCGAGGTGAGACGACAAGAGGGGACGGCGCGGAGGCGGCGAGGGTTCGGTTAAGGGGGGAGGCGAGAGGAGGCGAGAGGAGGAAAATACTCGTACACATTTCCGCGCCTTGCGGCGCGTGCAGTCGGTGCAACGGGCGCTGCTCGGTTACCGGCGACGAGCAGGCGGGAGGGGGGGGGCGCGAGGCGATGGGTAGAATACAGTAGGGGGGCGGGCCCCCTGTGACCGACGCTATTATCCCTCCTCCCCCTTTGCTGCGAACACACAGCTTCAAATTATGCTAGAGCTTGCCGCCTCGAATCCAGCGACAGCGCGCAAGTGTGGACAGTGAAGCGAGATGGAAAAGAGAGCCGCGTCGGGGCCAAACACGCGTCCCGACGTTTCCGCGGGCACCGTCTCCCTTCCCCCCCCCGAGAGGGAGGGGGAAGGGGGGGCATCCGGCTCGTTTTTTGGGTCCCGTCGGATTGCTAGGTGGCCTGCGGAGAGATTTATGTATATCGTGGGGAATATCTATGATACCTACCCGTGCTATTTTATCAACGAGAATTACTTGTACGGGTAGAACCAAAACTTCTACCAAAAACAAAAAACGTTCAAGCCTGGTCGCAGAAGATGTGATGGTATTGCTAGGCCTAATTGTTGCGGGTAGTCCATACTAACGCTGGCCCCCGCCTGCCGATGCTGTCCGAACGCGATGGCAAGCTCGGTCTCTTAGCTAGGCTATATATCCCCCTGCTCGGTCACATCCTACTTTCGACCGGCGGTCTACGAGCTGTCAGCGTAGGACACCGCGTGCCCGCCTCTAGGAACCGATCAGCTAACCCCGGCTACTTACTTACTCACTTGAAGTTGTTCTTCCTGGTCCGAAGTTCGTCCATCACGTCCACAGGGTCCGTCTTGCCGGTGGCCTTCTGCACCTCGGGGTCCTAGGATACGTTAGAGCACGCGCGTATCTCCCGCATGCTCCCGGGCGACGAAGCGGGCCGGCGTTACTTACATGTACTCGCATGAAGACGTTATGTTCCTGGTTCCGTAGCTTGTCAGCACCCAACCTCGCGGCGACATAACGAACTGGGCCGCCCTCACCTTCTCGTCGGCGATCGTGTATTTGCCTTGGGTCTGCTGGTATTTCTCCACGTCGGCTTGTAGTCTCTTCGTGGCCGCATTTAGCAGGATCGTAGCGCCGAACTTGACGTTGGACTTGGTGTACTCGTGGCCGGGCTACCCGAGGTTAGCCTAGAAGGCGAGATATCCTTGTGAGGATAGCTGGGGTCATCGGGAGCTCACGTAGACCTTGGTATCGTCGGGCAACGCGGCGAGCGTCTCAAAAGCCCTGCACATCTCCTGGGCATTTCCTTCGAAAAATCTACCGCAGCCTGAAGGTCTGTCAGTTTCCCTTCTCGTCCCGGCCTCGCTTACGACCCGGCCCGCCTATCCCCGAGCCGCGGGACAGGCAAACACATACCAGCGTTGAACAGGGTATCGCCCGTGAAGACAGCCTTTTTCACGCCGTCGTCCACGTACCAGCAGATGCTGTCCTGTGTGTGACACGGCGTATGAAGAGCTTTCACCTCAAGGTTATCCCCAAGCTTGAACCCCTTGCCGTGGGGCGGGGTAAGATCAACGCTCTGGCATTTGTTGCCTCCAATGATGAGCAGTCCTGGGTTGCCCAGTTCAGTCTTCTATAGGGCGCCTCGGGTTAGAATGGGTCGGGAATCAGGGGAGCGAAGAGTGCGAGAGTAGAGACGGAAAACGGGGGGAAAGAAGGAGAAGAATAGGCATATTTGCATGGCGGCGGGGGTTTGTTCGCCTAACTATTTGATCGTTGCCACCGGCATGGTCCCAGTGACTATAAACATTATCAGCGTCGCCGTCGTCGCCGTTGTAATTATACGTAAGTGACCCCAGTGAGAGGGCGGTGGTGTATACGGGCACTGCTACCTACTGATGCGTGTTTACGATGGTTGTGAGCTTGATACTCTTGGATTCGATGGCCTCCTTGAGGACAGGCACCACCCTACGCCCTCGCAGTCAGTCAGACAGTCCCGACAGTTGGTGTAGCGCGAGGGGGGGCGAGGGGGTCACTGCTAGCTAGCGAGATCTACATAGGTAGATATAGATATATAAAGGTGCGTGTGCAAGGCATGCGAGACTCACTCGTCAGGATTCGCGGGATCGATGATGGCGGCTTCTCGGGTCTTTTCGTCGACGAGGAGATAGGCGTAGTTGTCGTGGCTGCCAGTCCCTGATATGCGCACGAGCAGGTATCAGTCGGGAGGCCGATGAAGCTCACGATGACACTCTCCTCATCCTCCTCTCCGCCCCTTTCTACCCCCCCCCCCCCCCCCCCTCTGTATACGCCTCACTCGTCTTGTCCATGTAGGTGAAGGAACGGTGCGCGCAGGAGGGGAGAACTTACACATGGGGATTGCTTGGATATGCATCGCGCGGGCGAAGGCGAGCTGCGGGGCAGGCCGAGTTAGCGGCTGAGAGAACGCATGACCGTCTGGAACCGGGTTCCACTCACAGCCGGGGACAACGGGGCAGCTTTCCGAACGGTGTTTCTCAGGGTTGCCGTAGCTGTCGTCGTCGTCTTCGTCGTCGTCGTAGCCGCAGTCAAGAGTGGCCGGACTCTAGCGAGGCAATTCATGGGACACAGAGGCTCGGCGACGGCGACTCGCAATTCGAGGTATGTGATGCTGAGGTGCGGTGCGCTAACGGGGGAGGCATTCGGCACTGGGTATTAGAAATCCAGAGCGGCCTGCCATCGAACCGCGGCTTTTCCCTGACGTCAACTTGGGCCTGCTATCGCTCGACGGCCCCCGACGGTCCGGCAGCGCTACGGCCGAGCCCGCGTGCCAGCTGCGGACTGATTCTGGCCGATGCTCGCCAGCTTGCCCCGGCCTATCAACTTGCCGGAATTTGTCATGCCAGCTTTCAACCAAGTACCTACCTAGGCAGTGTTGTTGACGCTATTAATGCTATCAATGCTGTTGATGCCTCTATCAAGTATCCCCTATGCATTATACTAGGCACCTAATGGTAGTTGAATCAGTGGTGGGATGTAGGTACAGGTAGCATTAGAATGTATCTAAATACAGCAGAACAATGTATTAAACGCAACGTGCCTTAATAAATGACATAACCTTCATGTCGGTCGAGTTTCTTCATATCGTCCTGCGTAGCCCGTAGTACCTCCTCCATATCTTAGTAGAGGTTCCAGTTGGAACCTCCCATCTCCGACCACCAGGGAATACCTCTCTCCGTAATCTATTAACATGAGGGACCAAATGGCGTGAAGCATCTCCGCGCCTTCTCGAGGAAATCCCTCTCCGTACTTATCAACCCCCTTTTCAAATCCCCCAGTACCGAGTCATCCTCATAGTTCCAGCGTTCGAACTCTTTTTGTGGCTTGGCGAATTTGCCCGGGCCTTCATATCGGACGCATATCCAGAATGACACCCGGAAGAACGACTCCGGATCGTGCATGAACGAACGCGGTTCGTTGTTCAGAAGCATTAACGACTCGCAAAGGGTAAAGCCGAGCACGAAGCGCCGGTTATCCTAAGCCGCGAGCACTCCCCTCGCATATCGGCCCAGGTCATACCCTGTCTCGCTCTCTTGATCAGCAGATGGATTGCTCGTGAGCTCTCCCCTGGTATAATGATCTGCGATCAGTCGACGGTCGGGTCGTTTATGAAGCTGATATCCAACTTACGATCGGCGGTGGAGCCTCTCTCACGGGCTGGTTCGGTTGGGCTAGCGGCCGCCGTCGAGGCCGAGAGACGGGGTCTTCCGCTAGGTCCGAGAGGCTGCTGGTAATTCCTCCAAGTCAGTTTAAGACATCTAGTTCAGTCGCCTTCTGGGGCCAGTCCTTCCAGCCAGCGTCCTCTCGGTAGAGCGGTTCGCTCCCTTCTTCGCACTTGCGGAACACGGCCTGCGCTATCGCCTCGAGACCGGGGACGCCTCCGAAGCAGGCGTCGAAGAAACCAGAGACCCCGATATACAGCTCTTCCAATTCCTCCTTTGGTATGACGTCTACGCGGTGTTCGGTAGAGTTCGTTATGCTGCCCGCGTTGTAGCGCAACGGCGTATTCTTGACGACGACGGCGTCGTAGACCACTTTCCAAACAGTTTCATCGGGCATACCATCGAGGACCGCCCGAGGAAGAGGGAGTAGAGATTGGAGGTCGGATTTGCCCATGCTAACCGAAAGCTCAAACTGTCAAAGGGTATGAAAAAGGCTTTCATAACCCGCAGCAGACGGGAGCATTTGAGCTCCCGGTAGCTCATCAAGTGCGACGATGAGGCTGACGGGTATGGGTTTAAGGGCTTAACGTGTTAGAAGAATCTCATTGCCGTGAGAAGATATACGTACTCTGATCGTCCATCTCGAGGACTTCATTAAAATCTCTGGACAGATAGCTAAAGGTATTACGAAATTCCTCTAAACCCCTTCCGATGGGGTTAGTCCGAATGATGTTCCATTTGTGAGCCATCACTGAACAGAGCGACGATCGATACCATCGTTACAGGGATTATAGCGAAAGGTAAATGGAGTATAATTTCGGTGTAGTTATGAAGGATTGCGGCGAAAGGTAACCAAGGTGTATGGGTAATTGGTCAAGGGAGACACGAACAGATATGTAGATATGCGTATATACATAATATACTCCTCATACGCACGCGTCCGTATCCGTCCCTCTCCCGCCTACACGACGCCGATCGGCTTCGGCTTCCACGTGCCTTCGTACTTTGACCACCCTCTTACCTGGCTCGCCGGCGTCGGGGGCGCGTCCTTCTTCTCGACGGCCCGCGCCGCCGTACTATCAACCTCGGCCGCCGCCGCCTCCTCGAGCTCTCGACTCGACGTCTCGAGCTCCGCCCTGACGGCATCCAGGTCCTTCCTCCCGTTCGGCGGTCCCGCCGGGCGCTCCGCCGCGTCCACGTCCGTCCCCAGCAAGGAGGGAAATCCCTCGTCTAATAGTGCCCGGGACAGCCGCAGCGACCGGGCGATGATGCGAGGGTCCTCGGAGGCGTCCGCGATCTCGGCTAGATTCTGTAGGACGACGCTCTCGTCCCACCGCCCCAGCTGCCGGCGCAGCGCTCCCGCCGCTTCCTCGTCCTCCTTTTCCAGACACCGCAGCAGCAGGTCCCGGCAGGCGGGCGCCGTCTTCTGTCCGGGGACGCCGTCGGCGCTGCCATCCGTGAGGTTCTTCCAGTAGTAGTCCCACATCCAGGCGAGCGCCGCGCGGGCCGCCGCGCGCAGCTTGGACAGCGAGGGCAGCTGCTCGTGCGTGGCCTGGTGCCGCAGCTCGACGAACGTGGCTGGCAGCGCGATGGTCTTGGCCACCGAGTACATGCTCATCTTGCGCTGCTTGTCTTGCTGTCCGTCGAGGAGGCCGGTTACGAACCTTGTCGGCCGGCCTTGTCAGCTATATCTAGTTAAGCGGCTTGCCCACGGGTTCGTGGGGAGGGGGGGGAAGGGGGGGAAGGGGACGGCGCATAGGTAGGACCGTAGAGCCGCGGATGACGCACCGGCTGAACGCGGCCGAGTAGGCTGCCCTGATCGCGTACGCAGAGGATCCCGTCTGGGCACCGGCGTCGCGCGCGTCGCTCGCGTCGTTGAGCGTGGCGGCCGTTAGGAGCGCGGTGGACTCGACGACGTGGGGGCACCCGCCACGCTGCATCCACATGGCGACGCGCGCGACAGCGTGCTGCTTCTCTGCCTCTACCTCGGCCCGCCGCTCCCTGCCGCTGGCGCCGTCGTCGGCGACGTCTTTTGGTAGTAGCGACACATCTCGCGGGGTTTCAGCCTCCGCTCCCCGATATAGAGCGGTTGGCCCGCTGCCTTCTGCCGCAGGCGGCGGATCGGGGTAGAATTGCCGCCGCACCTTTAGGAGCTCGGCCCGGTCTCGCCAGGGCGTGTGCACGTACTGCACCATGATACCTACTCGCCGCGCCCTAGGCGCTCGCCGTCCGCCTCAGGTCACCGCGTGGGTTCTGATGAGCCAATCAACCAATCGGCACGGAGAATTCCTTGATCGGCGGCGAGGCACGCTACCGGGCTTATAGCGGGGGTGGGTATGTAGATGAAGGACGATAAAGAAGTCAGGAGGTGGGAAGATGTGATGATGGATGAGGGCGGTAAAATTGCATATACCTAAGGGATGGATAAAGAGATGCTGCTGTTTCGAATCGCCGAGGCGGAGGGCGCAAAGAAATCTCTCTTATCAGAGAACGCGCGAAGGTACCGCGGCCGACCGGTAATAAACGCGACTTATCCGATGTACCTTGAACTCTGCGTCCCATCACAAATACACAATCTAAATGCATACCTGCCTCCTCCTACCTCTCATAATAATACCTTACCTGCCTACCCCGGTGTATAGGGAGATGGTGATAGTCGCTCAGCGTGATCTGCTTACGCTGCATTTCAGAGCGCATTGGTATCCGTAGTAGATTGCTTCTCTCCTTTTCCTTGTTGTTTCCGTCTTCTCGCCGTCGGTCGATCCTCCTTGCTAGGTGGTCTCAAAAAAGCCAGCTCACGGTGGCCCATATACGACCGAGACGAAGGTTTCGTCTCTAATATCCCTACGCACATACCTATGTATTGTTGCCAACCGCTTGCAGGCCCCGTTCGACACGAGAAAAGCCCGCGTCGCACGCCTATTGTCCATACCTGCATAGCTGAACACCTTTTCATTTCAACCTTTTCGCCGTACAAGCCCTCGGTCTTCGCCCTAGGGACGATCGCGTAGTACTCTCTCCCCCCTTTAAGCGTTTGATCGGGGTATCGTCGACCTCGAATCTTCACCGGTGCGAGGAGAACGCTCTAGGAAGCTGTGTACCCGAGGACTTGCACGACTTGAGGGATCCTCCTGGCTAATCGAACTCGAGCCGAGGGGTCCCTCGAGGTCCTAGGACACTAATCGGAACCCTCGTCTTGCGCTCTAGCGGATCGAGAAAACAGGGTGGCTTGGGATAAAATCGTCGACTCTAGCTCGACCCCAGCGGGCGCAACAGGCGTCGAGGAGCTCCTAGACCGCCTCCTCAGAGAGGAGTTGAGCGCCGGCTCGGGTAGCTGACGAGGGTGCAGCCGGGGTCGCTGAAGTAGGGCTTGGGCGCCTATGGGAGATCCTTCGACGCGACGTCCACCGTATTCGCCATCCTTCCATTGCCTGGCCGCGCGCTCCTAGGACAGAAAAGCATGCGCCGAAAGAAGACCAAGGGATGCGAGATCCTTAGGAGCTGGCATCGTTCACGATAGGTAGCGCGGGGAGGGTAGCGAGGCCCGGCACGCTGCAACATCGAAACCTTCCTACGATTCCTTTGGGAGGACACCGGAGAGCGACAGAGCGATAGGCAGGTGGCGGATCTGCTGGCTCCCTTACCGGGATGCCATTCTGTCCTCTTGTTCGTGCCAGCGGATGTGCGTAGGCGTAGGCATGTAGAGGTAGGTATGTAGGTAGGGGGGGGAGGGGGAGTCTATGGGTGCGATGGCGCGCGCCTTAATTTCGTTGGCCACGTAGGGTCCCGCGTGTGGACGTCGGGTGTAAGATTGAGATGGCGGCGACGCGTTCCCTTCCCTCGCGAGGACAGCGTCGAGCTGATGTAGCCCTGAAGGAGTTGCGGTACATGCGAAGGCACCCTATGTACGTGTAGGCAGGGTGGCGTGCACTTATTAGGTGTTGGCTGTGGAATTGGTAGGTGGTACGTATCACGGGAGGGGCACGCCGGGTTCCGACCGCAGAATAGATACCGGGGTACTTCCCGTGTGCGTGTATGAGAGGTAGAGAGAGGGTCGCCGTCGCCGTGGCGTTCGATAGGTGGAATCTGGCCGGTCCCCCTGAAGCCAAACTCGCGTGGCGATCGCCGGGAGGGCCTGGCGGTCCAACCTTATAGTAATTTCATGTTGAGCATGTCGACATGTGCTGCTATACGTGTTATTGTTATTGCTGCTGTTAATTGCTGTCGAGGCCGAGCAAACCTGTTTCCCCTACATACTGCCTCTCAGATACTACGCATAATAGGCTAACACTCCCCGGCTGCTGAGGCATTGTGGCCCCCCCCCCCTCCCCTCCCCTCCCCTCGTCCTCGCATGTCTGCGCATTTCGCTCGCACTGTTTTAGGCCGGAGCACTGTCGGGTAAAAAGCTACCTACCTAGGTTACCATGGGAATGTGCGCAGTATATGCAGACAAAGCCAACGTCTGACCTAACATGAATCGGCGGATGGGGAGGGGAGGGGGAAGGGGGGTTACCTTCGGGAGAATACGACGCAAGGCCAACAACAGCAACCATCTGGTTTTATGAGTACACTGGATCGCAAGCGCTATTGGGCTGTTGCATTCCTCCGCCGAATTGCATACCTACAGCCCATACATTTTATTGCCTGCCTTGGGTTAGGTAGGTTAGGTAGGTAAGGTAGGTAAGGTAGGTAGGTAGGTAGGTAGGTAGGTACCTAACCTGCAGCCCACCTGGCAACATTGCCTTGGGTAATCCTGGGTCGCATAAGAAGAGGATAGCTAGTTGGTATGGGGGTAGGCAGGCAGCGCTAGGAGATCGGGTTTGGCGCTTCGAATCCGGCAGCCATGCACGGCACGACACTGGTCGGTAGGCTAGGTGCCCAATGGGAGACGGGGACGCGATACACGGCCATTTCTTTGGGAACGCGGGCGGTTCCAGTGCTGAGAGAGCCTGAGTCAGTGCAGGGCCGGATGCGTACTTGGGGCGGACGCATAGACGTCCGTATGTGGAATTGGTAGGCATTGAGATTGGCCCGGCTGCCCGCCTCTGGCTGGGGTTAGGTACCTACCTCCCGCCCGAGGTTAGCACCTAAGGGCTAGTGGGTAGGTAGGTACCTAAGGGAGTGCGTGTATGTATGTATGGCCGTGCCGATGTTGAAGGGAGGGGGGGGGGGTGGCCAGTTTGCCCGCGGCCCACGGCCACCGGCTGAAGAGGCCAGGTCGGATCGGCGTAGGTAGGGCATGGATCTGCGGGTCTGTTTTATTTAGCACACACGCACACGCACACGCACGTACACACCCATCCGCGCTATTGTTAGGTGTCTAGGAGGTAGGTAAGGACCCAAGGCAGCGTCTGGGATCGCACGTACCGGCGTACATATACATTAGGGGCGCACATATCTACCTACCTAGGTAGGTACCTAGGTAGCCTAGGGCCGGTCGCCAATCCGCCGTCCGCCATCCAGCCTCCCCTCCCCTCCTCCCCTCACCCCCCTCCCCCCCTTTTTCCCCGGGGCGCGCCTCCCACCCAGGACGAGCGAACGAGCGCGGGCGAATCACGCGCGGCTGCCCATCATGCGCATGTAGAATGGGAAACGTCCCGTCTTAGCGTGACATGTGACGCAAGCATGGCTGCATGACTAGCGGGCCCCACCAGCCCTCGCCGCGCCCCACATGGGGATCTGTTGTGGATCTGGTGGGTTGGGGTGGGGTACAGCCCACATGGGATGTCTCGGGTCAGGACCTGCCTGCCTTAGGTACCTCTTACCTACCAGCCTACCTCTTCTTTTGGGAGGTACCTACCTTGGGTACTTACCTGACCACCCAAAAGGCGGCGTACCCAAGTATCCTGCGCCGCAGCGGGACGCCCACGTCCGTTTTGGCGCAGAGCCCCAAATAGAACACTGGAGATCCCTGTTTAGGCTTCTGGTCTGAGCGCGAGCCCCCTGCATATCGAACAAACGTAGAGGCCCCGTCCAGCCTATCCCGTCCGAGTACCTGGGTACTTCGGCTTCTGCGCCATACTCATAGGTGATTATATCGCCTTGCCTCGGGTACCTTGGGTAGGTACCTATCGTCCATATGCAACACAACCCATAATAATATACGCCTGCTCATACAGCCTTCGGCCTCGTCAAGCGTTCCGGAGCCCATGTACACCACCCTCTCTACGGCATCGCTGCTGATGCCCGTGCAACAGCGCCGCATCCTCGTCGCAAGCTGATACATCGTCCCGTCACTCGCTCGACGCCCACGCCTTCCATCATCTTCCACACAGAGTTGCACACCGGCACAGTTTCGTGTTACTAAAAAGTTTCTCTTTTTTTCTTCTTATTTTTCCCAGCCGTGGTTGGCTGCGGGCCTAGTGCTCGGGTTTTCTTGCACATGTGATGCCGCCCTGTCTAGCTAAGCTATTTACAATACGCACTCCTCTCCCGAGGTACAGGTAGTCTTCTGGGGCTCCCGTCATACGCCCTCCTCTGTGCGCTCTCTAGGTGTGTTAAAGAGAGAGAGAGACGAGGAGAGACGAGGGCGGCTATCGTATTGCCACCGAAATCGCGATTGCTCTGGTTGGGCCGGGGTTGACTACGTAGTCCTGTCCTTCTTCTCTGGCAGATCCTCCTCGTCATTGTCGTCCTCCTCGCCGTCGTCTTCGGCGTCGTCCTCGTCATCAGTAGCGGGCGGTTCCCATGCTTCCTCCAATTTCCAGCCCCTCCCCCCTCCCCTGTAGGTTGTCCCTAGTAATTGCAAAGTTGTCGTTCGGTAGCTGTCTAGCTCTGGGTCGGTTTCGTCCTTGTTTGGCGGATCGTAGAGACCCATGCCTACTAATATTTCCCCCTCCTCATCCTCCTCCTCGGGCTCCTCTAGTGGTTGGTACGGTATGGATTCTTCCGGAGTAACTGTTGGTTGTTGGACCGGTTGGTACTCGTCCGGTGTTGGGGGTGCCGTGCAAGTGGTAAAGCCGGGGGTGGCGAGACCGTCCCATTCAAACGACGCTTGGCTCGTGAACGACGGGAAGGGCTCCGTCTCCTCGGGGCTTCCACCCGGCGCGTAAGGGTTGAGGACAAACTGCGGTGCGGGATTCCACGCATCCTGCGATACATACGCCGGCGCGCCATGTGGTGGGTGAGAAACGGCAGAGAATGGTAGGCACAGCGGTGACACGCTGGAGATAGGCGAGGCCTGCCCCGAATAGACTGCGGGCGTCGGGGGCAGATTCTGGTACCCGGCGTAAATGTCTGCTTGGTGGAATGCTGTAGGGGCAGGCACGACGTAGTGTGAGAAATCCGGCTGCGGCATAGGTATATGCATATGCGGCTGTTGGAAGTGCGAGGTCGGATGCCAGCTCACCGGGCGGTGGCTCCTCTTTACAGGTTCCTCCGGGGTCGAATAGGACGCGCAGTCCTGAATCTGCTGTAGGATAGCTTGGTCGAAGACTTGTTGTCGCCTCCGGGCGAGACCGCCGTCGTTCAACATGGTCCTCCGCCGTGCCGCCACGGCCTGCGGGCTGTTACTGGCACTGCTTGGCTTCACGACACGCATAGCACCCGGCGTTCGCTGTCCCGTCGAGCCGCGAGATATCCTCCGCGCCGAGTCGCACAGGGCGAGTTGCTGGGGGAATTCATCGTAAGTAGCGTCTAGCGAGTAGCCCTGGAAAGGCATGTTGGGCATAGACGCCCCTACGAGCGCAGGCATCATGGGAGGCTCGAGGGCGGCGGTAAGGAAGGAGTCCGAGTTCAAGAGGTTGTGAGATGGGAAGGTAACGTGGTGGGCTGCAGGTTGACGAGTGGAGAGACGGGTTAAGTAAGAAGAGACCGGAAAGAAGGGAGGACGGCCGGATAGAAATATGAGAGGTATTCAAAGGCCAGACTTAAGACTCCCTGGTCTACGTGTAAGAATGTAGCACGAGACGAGGAAGCAAAGGGTTCATTAAAAGGATAAATCCAACAACTACAAACGTGGGGAGAGCCGCTGCGTGGGATGGCATAGGGATGGATGGTTATATTGGGGCGGTAGGGCCGAGAAACAATACCTACTTCAGAGACATAGTCGGGTTTGGCATGTTGTATGGATGGATGGATGGATATGGGTAAGTGTGTGCGTGTGTGTGTAAGTATGCATGTAAGTGCGTGCGTGTAAGTGCGTGTGTCTGCGCGTCCGCTCCGCTCGTATGTCGGTTGCCCGCCTAGCGGTTTTAATTTATTCTCGTTAGTATTGGTATAATACCCTCTGCCGCCTGCGTCATATGGTTCCGGCAGGGGTCTCTGGTCGGTCTAGAAAGGGAGGCTTCATTGTGTCGAGACCCGGAGACGGGCAGATGGTCAAGGTAACGCTGGCGTGGCGGGCTATTGTGTACTACGGATGTATGTCTGTACGCAGGCTACTTCTCCTTGCTAGGTTGGGTCGCGTAGGCCGGTGGTGCTTTGAGGGTTGCTATGGCTGGTTGCAAGGTACAAGAATGCTAGGTTGGGGTGGGCGGTCAAAGGAACGGGTTTCGACTTATGGAGGTTTGGACGGGACAAAGCCAAAGCCAGCGGGCCTGAAGAAGCAACCCACGGCCCCCATCGTCTTGCCTCTTCCGTAGGGTGCCCTGCGGCGTCCACGAAGGTGAATGGTCGCGAAGAGAAGAGGGGGTGTGAGAAGTTGGAGGAACAAGGAGGAGGAGGAGGAGGGAGAAGGGTGTGGGCTGGGAGAATTATGAGCACAATTTGACGGGAGGGTGCGTCAGGACAGCAGGGAAGGGGGATGTGTGCCTATCCTGGCTCGGGCCAGGGCCAGGGGAGCTAAGGCACTTTTTTTTTTTTTTCCTTTTTTTCTTTTCGCTTCCTGAAGATTTGTTGGCAAGCTTAGGGTCGACAGGGAAGGGGGGATGCGGTGCAGGTGGCAAGATCGAGAGAGAGATAGAGCAAAGTACGAGGGGACTATAGGTACCTACCTAGGTACCCACAAGGTCACCTACCCACCTTACCCAAGTAAGTATATACATCCACAAGTACGGAGTATATACCTAGGTACCTACATACACACTTCCCTACTCCATACATTGGGAGGTAGGTGCGCACACACGAGTATACAATACTCACCAAAGGTCAGAACTAACCTAAGGTATCTAGGTACATGCCTAGGTACATGCCTATGTAGATATGTATACTCATAATATATGCTACCTAGGTAGGTAGGCCTACGGCATGTACGGACATGGGGAGGTTACCTTGTAAACCTCCTGCGGTACCTGGTATTTGACTCAGGGCTCCGCGTCGTACCTAGAGGTAATATATAAGAAGGGAATGCATGTGTAAGACGTGCCCTAGCGTGGCCTGGCAGGACCCAACGGATGCTTCTTCGAATCCACGGCGGTTCCATCGGCAGGGTAACCCTGGACCAGGTGCCAGCACCACTGGTCCAACCGTGACGCCTGCGAGGAGGTACGCAGCAGCATGCACACTACTAGTAGGTGTGCTCAGTAGGTACGTACCTACTGATTAGTCTAATCACCGACCCGTACCTATCCATGAGAGGCATCTACATATATATCGTCGATAGAGCCATTGCGGCAAATGCAATGCATTACATCGCATGCCTGCTCCTAAATCATTTACCCCGAACCCGAGCCGAGGCGTTTCTTAGGCGCTGTTGTCTACGCAGGATACGCATCGCACTCGAGATTTTAAAGGTGTCTGCTACCTGCCTAGGTCCATATACATGCACCCGCCTATAAGCGCATCTGTGGTACGTATCGTATCACGTGGAAACATATGCTACTGTTTTTGTTATTATTGTCATTATTATTATTATTATTATTATTATTATTATTATTATTATTATTATTATTATTATTATTATTATTATTATTATTATTATTATTATTATTATTATTATTATTATTATTATTATTATTATTATTATTATTATTATTATTATTATTATTATTATTATTATTATTATTATTATTATTATTATTATTATTATTATTATTATTATTATTATTATTATTATTATTATTATTATTAGCCCGTAAGGTGGGCCAGATGGGACGAACGGAAGCCAGGGCATGGACTGTAAAGCAGCCGAATGGGCTACGGCGCCAAGACGCGCGCTCTCTGGACGGAATGGGAGCTGGGGTGGAAGAGAAAGAAGAAAAGGGGGGGTGGATGGGAGAGGGGGGGGGGGGTTGAGGGGTGCGTATATTTTGGCTGGATGTGTGGGGAACGGGTGGAGGCAAAGAGTGGAAGCTGGAAAGATCGCACATCCACATATTCATCCCTCTAGAGTATATGAGTACGGTAATAGGCACTAAATACAATAGAACCTGGAACAGCTGGTCGCACTTTAGATAGGAGGTAGTGTACCTCTTTTTGCTTTCTTCCTTTCCTTTCTCTCCTTTCCCTTCTCTCGCTAGTGTCCAGCTTTTCTTACCGTTTACCATACACCGGTATCTGTGCATGGGTGTAGGGCCGTAGTGCTCGCTCTATCCTATACCTCCGAGCATCCGCCTACCTCTTAGAGACTTCCGATGGCACTATATACCAACAGGTGCCCCTAGGAGGAGGTGCTCCCGCAACGGACGAGGCAGCCCGGTGCGCGTGCATTTTTTTATTTATTTAATATGTGCATGTGTACACGGAAAGGCGCCTATATACCTATGTAGGCTGCCTTGTCCATCCTCCTTTACGTAGACATGTAGGTAGGTAGGTAGGTATGTAGTATGTCCGTCTCTCCCCCTGTTGTATGCGTGTGTGCATCGTACTACATGTAAGGAGGGGCCATCTGTCCCGGCCCCCCTCCCCAAAGCCTCCCTCCTACCTCCTACATGTACAGAAAATATATGCCCGCAACCCGCGGACATATCTTGGGTATGTGCATACGCTACGCATCCATAGGGAGCACCACGCGATTGTAATCGGTAGGATGCATTAATAGCGATACCCCACCGGTGCCTAGGTGTCTGGTTCACCTCCCCATTACGTCTCCATCTGCCCTTGTGAATCCGCTTGCTGATCAGGGCATGACATGGTACGCATTTCTATCAGTTCTCTAGTGAGAGGAGGTAGGTACCTACCTCCTTAGGCTATAGGTACCTACATAGGTACCTAAAGGTGCCGTCAGGGCTCCTCAGCGTAATGAAATTAGACGTTAGGTACCTCCTCCCACCTATCTACCCATATCCAGGCACATTATCTTAGGCACTGAACTGCCCGGTAGAGAGCCACATGGGTACATACTTCGTATGTACCGAGGCCCTCGAACGAAGACTTGGAACGGCTCGGAATTGCCTAGCCTGAGTACCTTGCTGGCATGTACCCTTGCTGCTATCGATCAAACGATTGATGGGTTAGACCAGGCGATAATCCTCACTCCCCCTCCCTCCCTAGTCCCTCTTCCTAGACGCCGCCCATGGGTCGGCTGCACCAAGTTTCATCAGAACCGTTTAACGATCCCACGACATTCTGGATAATGATACCTGCTAAACCCCCTTCCGCGGCATACGACGGCATCGGTCATACGTTGGGCACCTAATGTATCGATGGTGCATTCCTCTCTGTGTGTGCGTATGTGTGTACTCATATGTCGGTGCCTCTTCGTCGTATGTCTGCGCACCCCACGCATCCATACACGCATCTAACCCGCCCACGCACACACCTCTACGCGTGTGTGTATGTATGTATGTATGTATGTATGTGTGCGTAGGTGCTTGCCTACATGCACACTTCTAAACACACTGGTGAGCTCGAGCTCTCCTCCTCCTCCTCCTCCTCCTCCTCCTCCGAGGCGCATCTCCTATGCCACGTATGGATGGTGTAGGGTGTCGGGTGCCCGGCTGAGAGGCGCGCTCCGGAAAACAGTAATGAAACGCAGATCGCAAGGTCTCACACCAAGCAATCAAAGCTGACTGCTACTCTGCGTTGACTCGGCAGGCAGACATCCCACTCCTCGACAGCGGACGTATCCATCAGCGGCCGTCAGTTACTACGACACATGGACCGGCGCCGGGGCAGGAAGTTGTGGCTGGCTGGCTGCGTCGGGTTGGTTCTCCACGGTTGGCGAATGCGAATCCGCCGCCGTCACGAAGCATCACCGTGGTCATACCTTACTCAAGCGTCTTGGGTTTGATTACCTAGGGTCGCAATAGGGCGCGAGCCGATGCAAAAGCGGCAAAGGCCTGCCCCAGTCGTCGACTTCATCAACGCCCTAGGTGGCTCAGCCACCGATCAACACCGCCTGGGTACTTCATTGGGGCCTCTGGCCCGAGAAGCTGTCCATGTATGTACTCATACGTTGTGCACACTGCGCAGAATGAAACCCTCCCTCTCCCTGCCCGGAGCCGTTAGCCCCAAGGCCGGCCCTAAGTAGATGGGACAGAGATCCTGGGCCTCCAGAAACAAGCTGCCCGATTCCTTCATCGACGGAGCGTCTGCCGGCTACCGGTACTTCTAGGAGGTACGAGACACATGCCTGTCTGCCAACCAACAAAACCCTGCTTCAAGGGTCCCGCCCGGGATCGTTGATGTTCGTTCCACCCACGATTCGTGGCGTCTGATCAATCAATGCCCATCCTACCTATTCATACGTGCTCGCTGGGCGGACAGACAGGCTAGACAGACAGGCTAGACATAATGGAGGTGCCGCCCCGTCGAATACGGTACCCCGTCACTGGGAATCACACGAATGTGCCCAGTACGTGATGGCTCGCTGTCTCTTGTTGCTTCTATTGGCGGGCGAGGCTGCTTATTATTGCCGGTAGCCCTTCCCGATCTCGAGAGGCGGTGGGACGATGACAATTCGATCCCCGTTCAGCGGTACCACTCTTATGAGCGCCCCCCCCTTTGGTGCTGGTCAAGACTTGATGCAAGCGCTCTGCGAGTCAGAGATCGTGATGCTGTTCTGCCAGTCTTACAGTCCCACACCATGGGTTTTCTTCTTTTTTCCTCTTACGCCCCTCCATCGACTAACCCCCTTTGAGCCAGTTGTTT